AGTAGCAGAATAACTATGAGTATCGGTTTCACTTGGAACTAAATCCGTGGAAGAGTCGGTAGCTGTAGCGGTTGGAGTAATTATCGCTGCTGATGTTACCAGCAAAATATTCTGGGTTGCACTTGGAGTAGCCGATGATGAAGTACTACTACTGGTGCTTCCATAAGCATGTAAAGTTGTCTGGGCTGGCACCACTGTCGGGGTAGTGCTGGCTGATTGTACGATGGCACTTGAATAATCAGGAGGGGCTTGGATTTGACCATCGCCAATTTGGGTAACAAGGGCAAAAGTATTTGTTTGCTTATTGTTGGCGTTGGCTGTAGTTTTCTGGCTGGTTAAAGCGGGTGATGTTGTGAGCGCCACTGAATTTTGGGCAGCCAATGTAGAGCTTGGGGAGGTGGTGATTTGCAACGAAGTGCTTGCTGTTTGGATAGTTGGGGCTGGGGTGGCTTGGATAATTTGGTCATCTTGAGATGAAGAGGTGGTTGAAAGTTTAATTGAAGTTGCCGGAGAAGCGGTTGTTGATATTTGAAGTGAACTGGATGATGAAGAAGAAGAAGAAGAAGAGGTGGTGGTGGTTCTGGAAGCTTTCATGATATAACTTGATGGAGATGAGGTGGAATCTGTTGCAGCGGCAGTCGATTGAGATGATGTAGTGATTATTAGACTGCTGCTGGTGGAGGCAACGGCTGCGACCGTTGGGCTATCTGCAGGGGCCTGGATTTGGCCATCGCCAATTTGTGATACTATCGCGTAGGTTGCAAGATTCTTGGGTTCTCTTTTGTAATAATGTATTGGCATTGAATATGTTGGTAAAGCCATTAATATGCTGAGCAACACGAGTTGCTTTTTGTCTAATATCATGACACGAGAGTTATTTCTTGATTATTATTATTATTATTGTTATTATGTGTTTTAATTCTGTTATTTTTTTGGTTTATGGCGTTCTTCACAGTCACTGGAAAGACAAAAAAAAAAAAAAAGAAAAAGAAAACAGGTCAGAGCAAACGAACTTGAGAGAAAAGAAAAGGAAAATATAACATCGAACAACGGCGAACCCGGATCATAATATAGTGTCGCCTAAAACATGGAAGTGCTGTGGCTCCAGAATTTTGCAAGGCCTCGGGAATGGGAGATCTGAAATTCTGGGTACTTTGAGTTGACAGGGCCCATGTTGAAGGACTGGGGCGGCCCTGCCTTACAGCGGGCTGCGTAACCAGAGCGTCCCACCCCCCAGGATTGGGCAGGCGGTTTGTAGCAGCGAATATAATTATTATTGTTTTTTTTATTGCATGGATCTTCAGATGAGGGTCCACGTATCCAAGGAAAGAACAAGTACCGGGCAGTGCCAGTGGATTCCGAGGTGTTGGCACAGAGAGAGAGGGGTCTGGAACGTTGTTGGTTATTTTAGTGTTTTTGTCACAAGCAGCGCGTGCACGTACGTACGGTAACAATGCCAGGGTGGATTTGGAAGATTGATTAATAATAATATATGATAGTAATAATAGGGTCGACGGAGTCCATAGTTGTGTTGTGCTCGACACTGTTTTGGAGTGGTGCTATTTTTTCTTTTTTTTTTTTTTGTAGCTGCTTGCTACCTAGCACACAGGGTGAGCTGAGTTAACTACTGCTAGCTGATCGGCTGATCAATAATTAGAAGGTGAGTGAGTGAGTAAGTAAGTAAGTAAGTAAGTAAGTAAGTAAGTAAGTAAGTAAGTAAGTAAGTAAGTAAGGGAATAATAATAACAATAACAATAATACCGGCGGCGTTGGCAGTTTGGTTTCGCGGTCCGAAGGTTTCCCGAGGGGGCGGTTGCTCGTCACCATGTGATGCTGGTCTGCGTGTTGTTGTTCTTGAGGGGAAACCCCCAGCCACCACCTCGAGCCTCCCCCAACCAAGTTGCATCTGGAAAGGGGAACTGCCAATGCGATCCGTCAGCATTTTTTCTTCAACCGCCAGAAAAACTCCTATATAAATAGGTACAAAATGTCAGGACTTTCTCTCCTCTTCTCCCCACACATTCCTGGTGATAGATCCATATTCAATTAATTTGATAACAATTACTACAATAATAATAATAATAATAATAATAATAATAATAATAATGGCTTCCCCTGACAAAGTCTTGAACATTGGTGTGATTGGTACTGGTGTAAGTTATCATTACTATCGTATCATCAATCTCAATTAGTGTGGGTGGTCCCTGATCCAACATACATACTAACGAAAACCCCAGATTTTTGCCACCGGTACCCACTTGCCAAACTTGCAAAAGATCCCCCAACAATTCAAAGTCGTTGCCTGTTCCAACCGTACCAAATCAAAGGCCGAAACCTTCGCCACCAAGGCTAACATTTCTAGCGACAAGATCTACGAAAGCTACGACGATTTGATCAACGATAAAGATGTCGATGTCATTGATGCGTTACTCCCTGTCGAAAACAACGCCATGATCGTCGAAAAGGCCATCAAGGCCGGTAAAGCCATCGCCATTGAAAAGCCTATTGCCAACAACCTTGAGAATGCCAAGAAACTCGTGCAATTGGCCCAAAATACCTCCGTCCCAGTGTTGGTGTTGGAGAACTGGCTTTATCACACCGCCACCGAAGTCATCAAGCCAAAGTTGAAAGAAATCGGTACCATCATTGGTTTCAACTTCAAATCCACCGGCCCATTCTACGCCGAAAACAAATATTTGAAGACTTCTTGGAGAGCCAAGCCAAACCACATTGGTGGGTACTTGTCCGACGGTGGGGTCCATCAATTGGCTTACTTGGTCGAATTACTTGGGGAAGCTGAAACCATTTCTGCTCACACCACCCAAGTCAGAGAGCAATCAGGTACCGACGATGTGTGGTTTTCCACTTTGAAAATGAAGAGTGGTGCCATCGGTACTTTCACTTATGGTTCTGCTTTCGGGGCCGTTGACAAGTCCAGACAATTTGTGATTTACGGTGATAAAGGTTCGGTAGTTTTTGACTTCTCACCAGCTAATCCAAAACCATTTGTTAAGTGCTCGTACGGCGTCACTGGCGAAAATATCAAAACTGAAACCATTGAAATCGAAGAAAAAGACAGTACTAATGGTATTGTGTCTGAGTTCAAGAACTTCCATGAAGCTACCGTTTCCAATGATAAATCTCTTTTGAAATGTAAACCAACTATTGCTTTCCATCATTTGGCTATCGTTGATGCCGCTTTGAAGAGTTCTGCTAATGGTGGTAGCTCAGTCAAGGTAGAATCAATCTGAGTAGTAGTTTATAGAGAGAGAGAGAGAGAGGAGCAGAAATCTAATAAAAACAAATGTTAATAAAAATATATATTTTTTCGTTTTGCGATCCAATTTTTTCTCGTGTGTGTAACAAAATGGAAATTGTATGACATGGACAGTGGACATGCCCATGCAACGTAGGTAGTCATGAATTGTTGGATATTGTACTCCAATAACTGTATATTGAGAGCCGATAATTATTGATTCGTTTGAGAATTAAAGCCAGACTAAATCTTCCGTCTTGCAGGAAGGTTAAGATTTGCGTGGGAAGTTTCTCAACATCACTTTTGTTGGCTCATGTTATACAGTTATACATGACCATCTGACTCTCGATGACTCGCGATGACTCTCTGAAATTACCTAATCTGGCTATCATGACTCGGTGCTCCCGCATGGTGAAAAGGAAAAATAGAAAGAAAAAAAAAAAAAAAATGTTGGCGGATTTTTTTTTCTTTATTTTTATTAATTTTTTTTGTCATATAAATACTGCGATTCAGTCTCTGATTTTATTATTTTAGATTCCAACTTGATGTTTTGATTCATTTATCATTCACTTCTTTCCATTCACTACCTCACAATCCCTTCCCTCTGGAAAAAAAAAAGATACCCCCCGTGCCAGCCAATTTTACATAGTTGCCCCCAGTTAATTGCAAATGGCTGAGAACAATAATATCATCATCTCACCAACGGTTTCTAAGAACCATTTGGATTCTCTTGATTCAAACTCCCTTGATCATCAAGAACCAGTGTTGACCGATTATGAATCGAAGAAACTCGACAGAATTTATTTCAGACTCGATTGCCGTATCATTCCTGCCTTATGGTGTCTTTATTTCTTATCGTCTTTCGGCTCCTCCGCTTATGGCAACACCCTCACCATGAATTACAAAGATGGCCATTCTTTGGAACAATCCCTTGGGCTCAACCCCCACCAACTTTCCGTCGCTAGTGCCCTTTATTACGTGTCGTTCATCATCTTTGACTTACCAATGAACTTGGCAATGACTAGACTCCCTCCACAAATCTGGTTGGCAAGAATCATTATTTCTGTCGGGCTCGTTTACTGCTGTTATACCGCTCTTTCTACTCCGGGAGGTCTTATTGCCATCAGATTCATTAGTGGGCTTTGTGGTGCCGGAGTGTGGCCAGGTATGGCATTCTACATTTCTTTATGGTACCCATCTCATAGATCGGCCAAAAGAATCGGTTATTACTTCACTGCGGCGCAAATTTCTGCTGCGGTTGCTGGTTTGGTCAGCGCTGGCTTCCAGAAAATCGATGGTAATAGGGGTTATTACGGCTGGCAATGGTTGTTCTTAACCTACGGGCTTATCACCATCGCCGTAGGCATATCTTTAGTTTGGTGGTTGCCAGACAGACCTAACACTTCAGAAAATATTGGGCAAATACTGGTCAATCGTTTCGAAGCTAAATTGCACAATTTGTTCCCAAAAAACCCTTACCCTCTTAATGAAGTCGATGCGGATATTCACATGAAAGATGTCGAATCACACACCAAAAGAAAGTTCGACTGGAATGCCAAAGACTTACTCGCGGTGATGAAGGATGTCAGAATTTGGCCATTGATCATGATGTATTTTGGTGTCGTTGGTACTGGTTTTGGCTTGGCGGTGTTTGGCACGACAATTATCAAAACTAATAACCCAAGTCTTTCCGATATCGATGTTTCGTTGTTGTACGCTCCAATCTGGTTGTTTGATTTGGGAGGGATCCTTACTCTTACCCCATTTGCCGATAGATATAAGAAATATAGAGGTTTGGTTTTCAGTTTTGCTTGTTGCATCATCATTTGTGGCTTGTGCGTTACCACATATGCCAAAGGTGATTGGAGCAGATACGGTGGTTTGTTAATTGCCGGCTACGGTTTAGGTCCAACCGTCCCGATTTGTATGGCATGGAGTGCAGAAATCTTTCAACCAAGACATGGGGACGTGGGAACTGCTGCGGCTTCTGCCCTTGTTTCTGGTCTTGGTAACTTGGGTAGTGTCATGGCCACTTATGCGTTGTACAGTGGTTGGCCTGCTGATAAGGAAAGAATGTACCGTGACAGTAACATGATTCTTGTTTTGATCACTGGTATCAGTATGATTGCATCTTTCAGCTGTTATGCGCTTCGTAAATTCCTTGGTGATTTTGATAAATAGATTTGCTTATTCCTTCTGATTTATTCTTTTCTTTTTTTTTTTTCATTGACTATTTTGTTGTTTCTCTATTGCTCCATCATTACAAGTATTAAAATAATAAAAAAGACTGAAATCTTCAGAGAGACTGATGTTTTTGTTTGCCTTATATATCAATATCACTATTAACAGGCAGGGTTTATTCCAGTTCGTAAAAGAATTTCCAAATATTTCAAGACCAAGTATACTTAATAATATTCCTTCAGTGGCCTCTGGAATTCTCGTGTAGAGTCTAAACAATGACTATACTTGGGATGTTATTAACCCCCTTCTAGACAAATTTTATGGATTTTTTGTTCTATTGACTTTTATTAATTTTCTTCTTTTTGATACATTCCCCCATTCGGCTCTTGCAAGTTGCCTGCCTTCTGGTACGAAATATAAAATATCGCGTTGAAGCCCACATCTCAATGTGATGATAGATACTCTATGATATGTGAAGTGAAGTGATTCATTTTCTGTTGTTAAAACAAGGCTAGTATTAGAAGATCCGGTATAAATTGGAAGCGAAAACCCCCAGCAATCGAGAATCCCACATCATTGTTATTCGACAGTTTAAAACATGGCAAAATGCGAAAAAAAAAAAACCAAACGCCGGTATATTATTACAATTACACACACAATCATGGGGAAAAATACGATCCAAATTCGTATTGCTTTGATCTTATATATCTCGAGCTGTATTATATTCAGTAAGAGCGTATATTAAATATTAGGGCATGATTGAATTTTATTATTATTATTATATCATCACTTATATTCATTTACTTATGTATTTATTTTTTTTTTTGACACATGTCGGTGTCTGGCTTGACATCAAAATAACTGATGGTGATTATTAGAAACCCATTGGCACCACCGCAACATCCTCATCCAGCCATTCTTTATCTACCGGTTGTTTTTATCCTCTTCACTAAGGAGGGGGGGGGGGCGGACTAAATATATGCTCTGAACCATCGATGGTGATAAAACGCCACCGGGTGTTTGTTTATCAAGCTGTTTTGTGGTACGAATCCCATCGGCGGGCGTATGCACGCGACCGATGCGACTTGTTGGAATTTCCAAAGTACGTTACTGAACATGCATTGGGGACAAAGACACACACACACCTGTCGTGCTGATAAGGTCCAAGACCCTGGATACTGCATTTATTTATTAATCATTGTTATTTTACACGGTATATTTATCTACTGGTTTTCCTCTTTTTCTTCTTTTTTTTGTTTTTTTCACGGTGATTGATTGGGTGTGTCAAGTTATTTCTCGTTTTTTTTTTTGTTTTTTTTTGCAATGAGCTCAAATAAACATGAACGGTCAAATAGCATCGAGAGCAGTTATTCGAATGAAACGTTGGCCCAGAATGTGGAAGCAGGGTATTCTCCCAAGAAAGAAATCTCTAATGATCAATCGCTACCCCATTTAGATACAGAAACCATAGGCTCATTTGAAGATATTCATAATGATGACAAACAAGAATTCTCACCAATAGCTTACACCATAAACAGCAGCTTTCGGACAGATCATAGTTCCCCCAACCGAAAGACTATCAATAACCATCGAACCATTTACATGGAGCGAACTCCAATCATCACCCCGGGGGTGATGTCGATACCGGCGTTTGCTCCCAATAAGAAGTATCAGATTACTACAAGCCGTCTGCTGGAAATGATGTCCCCATTCAATAATGTTAATCTCACCTCACCAGTGGAAACCAGTACCCCTGAGCATCTAAGTCGATGCTTGAAAGCTCATAATATTGCAGCGATCACATTATGTTCGGTATTCGGGACAGGGTTATTAATCAATACTGCCACGACATTGGCGGAATGTGGGCCATTCCCATTACTCATAGCATTTTCAGTCATGCTGTTGTTAAGTTATCAAGTGGTCAGTGCTTTATGCGAGTTGTGTACTTACATCCCTTTACCCAATGCCTACTCTGGCTACACCGAAAGATTCGTCGATCCGGCTTTAGGATACGCGCTTGGATACTTTTACTTATTTCAATACTTGATTATTGGACCAAACCAAATATTTGCTGGAGCGTTAACGGTCCAGTATTGGATACCGATAAATAAAGTGAATCCTGCAGTATGGATAACAATATTCATTGTGGTGTTGACACTATTGAATTATATTGACGTGGGGAAAATCGCCATGACCGCCGATTTGTTCGTTTTAGCCAAAATGATCGCGTACTTCTTCATGATCACTTTACTTTTGGTGATCATTTGTGGTGTCAATAGCAAAAACGACGTGATTGGTTTCAAGTACTGGAAAAATCCTGGGGCGGTCAATCAATCATACTATCCTAAGATCTCCAACAGTGGCAATGGCATCGTGGCAATCATTTCCGCGATCACCGGGAGTATTTTCCCATTTGTTGGTATCGAAAGTTTTTGCGTCACCGTCAGCGAAGCTCGTTATCCACGGAAAACCATTCCAAAAGCTAAAAGACTTCTCTATATCTCTTTGTCGGCGTTTTATATCGTGATTGCATTTTTGATCGGGTTGGCAGTGGCCTATAACGATGCAAACTTCCCTCGGGTTATTGCCAACCAAGACAAAACCACTGCTGCGTCGTCGCCGGTAATTTTGGCGGTGCAAAATGCCGGACTCAAGATCATCCCCTCGGTGTTGAACGGGGTGATTTTCATTTTCGTGTTATCGGCTGCCAATAGCAGTTTCTATATCAGTACCAGGATTCTTTATGGATTATCAGCCTCTGGTTTGGCTCCGGTGGTTTTCAGCAAAACTACCAGTCGTGGGATCCCGGTATATTCCATTGGATTGATTGTCGGCTTCAATTTCCTTGCTTATCTTGGGGTGTCGGAGCCCACAAGGAAATTGTTCGAATTATTTAGTAATTCAGTGTGTGGATTCACCATGATTTTATGGATGTGTATCTTGTTGACCCATATTTGTTTTTTAAGGGCAATGAAAGTCCAGAATGTCCAAACAAATCGAACCACTTATAAGGCCCGGGGAGGAATAATTCCCTCGTTCATTGCCTTGGCATGCTGTGGGTTTTTAATCATGTTCAGAGAGTTTCAAGTATTTCTCGACTTGAAGAATTTTGACGTCGACACGTTTATTACCGGGTATATTTGTGTCCCGGTGTTTTTGGTTATCTTTGTGTCGTTCAAGTTTTATTATAAAACAAAGTTCATCAAAGCAGAAGATGCGGATTTGTTCTTCTATAAAGATTGTGTTGATAGGTCTGAAGAGCAGTACATCAATGAAGAGGTCAACATGTACAGCTTGAGGGAGAAGACATTTTTCTTGAAGAGATGGTACTATAAACTCTTGGTGTGATCCAGGTAATTTCTCTGATTCCGTACTTTATTTTTGCTTAGCCATCTGTTCATTTCTAGTTTCTTTTTGTTTGTTTGTTTGTTGTTGTTGTTTTTTATTATTATTTAGTGTTGTTGGTATTTTTCTTTTTAATTTGGATAGACGTTTATACATACATGTATATATTTAATAGTTATGGTTTTTTAATAGACTTAGACAAATTTTATATCATATGCTGTGGTGCACATAAAAATCCGTCCAAACACGAAAAATGGTTAAAAAAAAAAAAAAAAAAAAAATAAAACAAACAACAAATAGCAGCCTTAACGGAACAAAATCTCCTACAACAACAACTACAAGAAGAAGAAAAGAAGCAAAAAAAAATCAAAAAAAAATGGGAAACTCAAAGGTCGTTAAGCCTCTTGCTCGCTCAAGATTCAAGAAAATCATCAAATCAAAACTTCAAAAACAGAAATCCCTCAAGAACGATTCGACTGACCTTTTGGTGTATTTGAACTATATGTTATTCTTGAAAACTCTTCTCAATGAAGCACAGGCTTTACAATCAAAAGAAGATAGTGAAGAATTAACTGTGGTTCATTTGAATAATATCAGAAGCTCGGTATTAAAAAGATTTCGTGGTTGAGGAAATGGAAAAAGGGAGAGTGAATGGTTACCGATATATAAGGATACACGCGAGTATAATACGCTGATGTTTACTAAGAGATGTCTTAATAAATACTAATGTCTTTGAAATTTATTTGATATTTGAAATGGTTTTATTATTTCGCTTTTGTTGCTAGCAGGGTATCATTTACCAGTGCACGATATTAACATGGGATCTAAGTGTGAAGCTTCCATTTAAGCGATTGCTATTTTCAAAAAAAGAATTGCTCTATGGAATATCAAAATATCTAGCAAAAGATCCCAACAGCCTTCATTGAGCATATTTCCATTTATATATCAATTATAATTAATATGGTCTCCACTGCTATCAGAAGGAACTGCGTGCGTGCTTTTTCCATGCCCAGGAGACTATCCATACAGGTATATATATATATATTAACTGATTGGTGGTCCATATTTTAAATTGTTAGTGGTCTATATTTGGCCAAAAAGTTTGGAATAAGTCTCGGGATTATTAGATTGCTCAGGCTATCTCCGGTATTTTTTTTTTTTTTTTTGTGTCACCTCAATAAATATCTTGCATGACACAAAACCCGAACATGGGAATTTTCCTTGAGCTTTTTTAAGTGCTCTAGAGAGCAATAATATAAAAATGAGTTTATTATTATTGCTTACAGCAATAAACTGTAAGATATAAAAAGAGATATGATCTTCCAAATTTCTTTTGAATTCTTTTATTCCTTACATTTTACCAACTCAAAGATCTCTAATTTTACAATCTTGTATTTTTATCCTTCGTTATCCATTAAACATGATTGATACTGTCTCTTTTGGGATCTGCCAGCCAGCCCCATCTTCGACATTTGTTGGAGATCTCACACACTCCTCGCAACCTTATCTTGAGCACAAAGAAGATCATGGTTCTTCGGAACCAAGTGCTACCTTTTCGCTACAGGAAACTGGAGCTCATCGTTGTAAGATACACGTTGAAGAAGAATTCATAGATTTCAGCTATATCGATTTTTCCAAGTTTGAAAATGGCTGTTATTCTGATGATGAAGATTTTTGCCTTTTTATTGAAAACGAGTTAGAAGAAGCTATTGATTCTGAGGAATCTTATTCTTCTCGTTGTTCTTCTTCCCCAGAAGAACAAGTCCAAGTCCAAATCCAAGATGATGACCAAAATGATAACGACCACGAACAAGATCTGCCTACACCGTCTTGCGATATGGGATCTGAATCCGGTTCTGAAGAGCTCGATACCAAAGTTTCGGAAAGTAGTGATGATGATTTTGATATGGAAAACGTCATTTCTGACGCCGATGATGATACTGAAGAGCACGAATACGCTCCGTGTATTTATAAAGTTTACAATTTTTCAAGCTTGATGGACTATCAAAAAGATTTTCAACTTCATAATCAGTTTAGAATCTCTAGAGGTTGCAAACCTATTGTTTCTGAATGTATTGAAACACCTTTTGGATATTTCCAAATCGATGATGGTGTGAGAAAGTTTAGACAAATTAGATGATATATAGCAAGAACAAGTTCTGATACCTTGGAAAAAATGAAAAGAAAAAAAAAAAAAAAAAAAATATGTGGAATTTATTATTGTAATTATGTTTTCAATTCTTCTTTTGTTTTAATATTTGAATTTTATAGATGAATTGTCTCCCCTTATTTTGTATATTATAGTTTATAGAGTATCCTTTTTTTTTTTTTATTTTTTTAGTAGCAACTTTCTTCACTAGTGAAGAGAGACCTCCTACTTGTGAACACAGATTAGTTGTAAACCATCGACAAAGTAAAATTCATAAGTAAGTAGGATATTTTAGTTAAGTGTGATGGTTTTTGGAATAATAAGGGACATTTCAAATCAGCATGATTTATTAGCACAGCATATCACGGAGATGAATAATGGACTATCATTGACTGCATCATTATAATGATAGCAAAATAGAAGAAGAAGAAAAGGTTTCTCTTTTGTAAGCACGGAACATATATAGAAACAAAGCAAAACCAAATATATTGGAAGAGAATAGGAAAAATATGTACATCATTTGAAAGTTAAAGCTAGAGATTTGATTTTAGATGCTCGTTGGATATATGCTGTGGTTGAATTTTTTTTTTTTTTTTTTTTTGGTAATCATGTTCCACTACAAGGTAAAGAAAAATGATATATATATATATATATATATATATATATATGAAGAGCTACCATGATTACTTAAGAATAGAGTTATCCTTGTTCCTAGAGAATTAGATAATGATCATCATCGTCATCATCATCACTGTAAAAAAGCACACGTACATTTATTTCCATTCACCAGCAGACACGCGCGTTCAAAAAAAAGTGAGAACTCCATTGATCAAAAGCCATGAAAATAAACAACAAGATTTTGGTGAATTGAGCCTTCAGTTTTTTTTTTTTTTTGGTTGTTGTCAATGTTATTCAAATTCCTTAATGATTAATAGTAGCGATAAAATATCCAACTGGAATCTAGTTGTTGATTTTGCCAAAAAAAAAAAATGTTCATGTTGTTGTACCTTCTTCCATCACTCCAACCAACCACCATAATTTGGAAATATCCAAAGAAGGTCACTGATCGGAGTTAATCTCAATTGAAAAAAATAAATAAATCAAAATTCAATGATATTTGTGGTATTTCCATTAGTAAAACCAAACATCCGCGAAGCTTTCCCAAAATTTGACTAGGTTTCATGCATGAAATTTCTCAAGGATTTCAAAAAATACTTCAAATATTGAAAAAACCGATTTTTTTTTTTTTTAAAGACAAAATTCAATATATTAATTAATTATATAACTATATATCTCATAAACTACTTAATGTAGTTTGAAAATTAAAGTGTTAAGGGAAAACCATTAATGGTGAAAAACCCTATTATTGAGAAAAAATGTTTTTATGCGTTTTTAAGGTTTTTAATTGTTGTTTTTTTTTTGATTTTATTTTTTTTTTTGATTTTATTTTCTTGTTTTTCCCCACCTATTTTTTCTTCTCCGCTTAAAAGATATTGCTTTCAAGCAAGAAGATCATTGAATCAACGGCCATATGACAATTGAAATGCCTTTTGGATTTCAATCTTGATAATTTTCGTTGGAAACCTAGATATCTATCGATCATTCTGGTTTCGTTCATGTTGGTGGCAGGGGTAATGATTGTTTGCCAGGTTAATGGGATATTCAAGTCAATTTTTTTCCAAAGTTTCTGGGCCAATGGACATTCAATAAGATGGTGCTTCATGATTTCAAATTGGATTTCCTTTGGGGCATATTGGGGTTCATCATATCTGGTTAATTTTTTGCTGCAATAGTCACAATGATTATTTACGTAATTGTGATTTTCAATGCCCAAATGAAAGATGTGAATATTTTGATATTTCCCCGGGAAATGTTGGTTGAATTTTTTGAGGTTATGCCAAAAGTTATCAACTTGTTTCTGATTCACCCCACTAATGTCCATGAGTGTTTTTGACATCTTGTTCACATCTTGTTTTTCCCGTTGTTTTTTACTTCCTTTAGTATGGTCAAAATCCTTAATTCTAATTGGAATGTGTTGTTGATATTTTTCAGGAATCCCTTTTTCAATTGAATTTTTCAAATCTTCAATTCCAATCTTCATTGGCTTCAACCTGATTGTACGTTTCTTTATACCAAGAACTTTTCTGAAATCCCAGTACGCTGTCCTTTCAGCATCTGAGAATGTGCTGCTATTCATAACTTCCAAGGAAATTGAATCATTGGTATTCTCAATGTCATCCGCTAGTTCAAGTAATACCACCCACCAATAATGAGTTTTGATATATTCATCCTTTGGTGATTTTGTTGGTGATGTTTTTTGAATGATGTTATTGATACTTGATTGGATTTTAAAACGTAATATCTGGTTATATTTAGTGTGACTATCCAAAAACAAATCCTGGAAAATTTTGGCTCTTCGGTGTTGGAGTTGAGACTTTAAATCAATCATTGAGAAACCGCCTTTGTTGTTGTGTGTCTTGAGTGTATCCAAAGAAATAGGTGTATCTTGCTTGACCAATAACTTAATCGATGTGTCAATTTGATTCAACTGATTGGGTAACAAAGGTTGGTGTAGTTCTTTGTAATAGAACTTGGATGCAATATATGTGTTGAATGCTTCTATTTTTGATTGAATCAGCAAGCTGGTCATGTTTGATAACTTGTATTTGATATGGAGGTCACGCTGCAATGTTTCCGGCCAAAATGTCACTGATGGTCCAATAGTTATCCCCAAATATGTCAATTGAAAGTTTTCATCAGCAATCTCAAATGGGAATGGTGTCAAAAATGGATAATTATCAGTTGGTATGATTAGTTGGGATTTCTTTTCATTGAGTTTGCTGCCACTGAATTTTTCAAATAGTCTAATACATTTCATTGTTTTGGAATAATCTCTTTTATCTTTGAGGAAAACTGTGATATCATCAGCAAAAGCAAGATAATGTTGACTGCTATATGCTTCAGGTATCAAATCTCCTTGGTAACTATGGCCTCTGGTATTCTGTTTGATAGATCGTAGTAAAGGTTCTACTGCTAATGCAAATAATGAAGGGGAAAACGGATTACCTTGGAGGGTACCATTTTTTAAATTGAATAATGGGCCGGTCATGTTGTTGATGTATAAGGATCCCGTTGTCTGCTTGAGGATGTTGATGATTAACTTGGCTAATTTTTTTCCAAAATTTAAATGGGACAATAGTTGTTCCATATATTCGTGAGATATCCTATCGAACGCTTTCTCCAAATCCACAATTAGTATCAGCTTTTGTGGATTTGGTATTATATGCGTTTTATCTTTTGGATGAATTAGACTATCTAACATTTCTCTGAAAATGGTGATGTTGGAGAACGATGACCGGCCTGGAATAAAACCAGCTTGATCTTCCCCTATGATATCGGGCAAGTGCTTCAACAACCTATTATTAATTATTGTGGATAATAATCGAAGATTAGTGTTGATAAGGGCTATCGGCCTATAGTTTCCAATGTTTTCTTTTGACTTTCCAGGCTTTGGTATGATGTTAAAGAGTATAGTTCGGTAGTGGAATGGTAAATTTCCTTCAGTTAGAATGTGGTTAAATTCTTGAAGAAGGATGTGTTTGATTTGGGGAAATAATTCCTTATAAAATTTGTATGGGATTCCATCTATGCCCGGTGTGGACTTCAAATTTGCCGAATCAATTGCCAGTTTGAGTTCTTCCATTGTTATGGAGGAATCCATTTTTCTCTTCTCTTCAGGAGATATTCCTTGGGTTGGAATCACGTCCTGAAGATATTTATGTATTTTTTTTGTGTCCTTTGTTCCTCTGGTTCCATCAAACAAGTCCATATAATATTCAGTTGCTATTTTCATTATCTCTTCATGAGATTGAACTAGTGACCCTTCTACATCTTTTAGCTGTTTTATTGGGCGTTGTTCTTGATATTGGTGGAAAACTTGGTTAATATGTTGATAATATTCCGTCACTTTATCAAGTTCAGGCACTTTCACTTTTTTCAACATGTGTTTGAGTTTTTCTGCTTTGCATTTAATATCAATTATTAATTCATCGGTTCCTTGGATATCTTCATTTATAGATTGGTGCCTGAGAACATTAATGATTCTGTCGGTCAATCTATATCTCTTCATATTATAGTAAGCCTTGGATGAAGTTAAAGTCAACTCCACTGTAACTGAATCATGTGTGGATCTTTTCCCAAAATGATTTGTTTGTGTCATATTCCATTTGTTTTCTTTGTTTTTAAGAAGCTCCCAGTGATATAGAACCTATCCAATCTCCGGCTTTTCCCTAATTCTGATGCTTTATTAGTGAATGTTTTCTTGATGTTATGTTTGATTGAATTGAATGAGTCCTTCAAGTTCAACAAAGTAATGAGATTAGTTAAGGATTCAGCAACTGAGTCTTCACGGCTTCTATAATTTAGGGAGTCCGAACGATCAATAAAATTATTAAAATCACCAGCTAACATGATGTTGATTGTCTTTCCTGGGAATCTAGTTTGAAGATTCTGATGTTGGGCAAGTAAACTGAGTTTGAGCTGATCATGGATCTGATTTTGCTTTTGGTATTGATTTGGATTATACAAGTTTATAATCCAGAGTGCTTGGTTATTTTCTAATTCAATTAAGACATCCGTGATGTGTTTTTGGAGTTCATGTTGGACAGTAATACCTGCTAATTTGGATCCTAACACTGGAATAGAATCATCAACAATTATTGCTGTTCTGGAACAGGTTGAATTATAGTATATGACTTTGTTATCGAACTGAAACGAAAAGTCTTCTGATAGATTTAGTTCTTGGAGCAAAGACACATTGGATTTTTGGGTGAAACTTATTACCAACTGGTCGCTGATACGACTCCGTTGTATATTTTGAGTATTGATTTTAATAATCATTATGTTTATTCATTGGAATTTTGATTTGTCTGTTTGTTTCTGGTTGCATCAGCTTCCAGAGTTGACAAATCATCATTGGTTGGTGTTAATTCTGTTTTCTCATGTACTGGAATTTCATCACCCAGTAGCATTTCATCCTCCTCATATTCTTCTGAATCCTCATATTCGTCTTTTGCATCATAGATGTATTCTCCATCATTTTCATACTCCTCATCATATTCTTCGTCATTATCATTATCAGGTTCTGCACTTGATTCAGACAGGGTTGGCTCTTTAGAGCCAGTTTGTGCCAGTTTTGATGTCACTGATGGGAGTGGGTCTTTAATGACTAACTTAATAGATTTTGGTACAAATGGTTTTGGTGCTGAAGGCTTGGTGGTGTTAATTTTGGTCAAAATTGGGGTAGAGATTGGGGTAGATTTTGGGGTAGATTTTGGAGTAGAAGCTGGGGTAGAAGTTGGGTTGGACAAGGTTTGATTAGATTTTGGGATAGTTGGATGGGATCTAAACACATTCAACTTAATTTCTGGTTTGGCCGAGTCTTGTTTGGTTTCAGCTGGTTTATCCCTTTGAAGGATTTTCTTTGGTTTGACGGATGCCTTCTTTTTGGAGGCCTTTCTAACTTGATTAACCGGAGGAGGGGTGATTTGATGCTTTCTGTTGATAGCTGGTGTGGTAGTTTGGATATTTTCATAATCGTCATCTCTTTCTTTGGATATTAATCCCAATTGGTGGAATGGATTCTTCCATAAATTGCTCAGTTCATTTTGTGGTGGTTTTGACTGTCTGGATCTAGATGAACCATGAACCATGGTGAACTCGGTAGAAGGAACTTCAATCACTGGTGGTTGATTTTGCTTCTGTTTGGGGTTCTCATGACGATCATCTGTAACATTTTTCTTTGGCCGCTTAAAGTAACAGTCTTTAGCTACATGGCTAGGCTTTTTGCAAATCGCGCAAGATGCTTGCTTGCAATTGTATCTGGTGTGTTCTCTTGAACCACAATTGATACAGTGTAAGCATTTAGTAATAACTTTAGAAACAATGTTGTCTTGGTGAATAACCGGGATTTGTTTTCCTGGTTCCATTTCCAAGTAACCATAAATGTAACGATTTTTAAGCTCCTCGTTAGGTCTTTTAGTCATGTCACTTTTAATCACTGAGAATGATGTTGGTTCAATTTGGGCTAGGTCAAGCGCTTGCTTGATGGTAGCATCGACAAAATAGTCAGGGGTTGTTTCCAAGGCTGTTATCTCAATCAATTGGATTTCTTTATCATTCTTATTGATATTGATGCGTGGCTTGTAAGTGGATTGTTCAATGTCAACACTTAAATGGCTAGTGACAAAATCAATAAATGCATTACGTAACTTTTCATTCTTAGTTTGTAATTGACCTTTCAATATTGGGATAAGTGAGGATTTGAGACAAATAGTTTCATTTGAAATAAACAAGTAGTTTTGAGCTTCAATTAAAGCTTTCTTGATGAAGTTGATATCATCATTATCATTCAAACCAGTTTCAATGTTGGTTAATTTAACATCGATTAATTTTTGGAAGGCATCCTTTATTGTACTCAAATGATCATCAAGCTCATACTTCCGGTAGAGCTCAGGTGGGATAATAAATGACATCATGATTTTTTGTTTATCTTGATGGCTCATAATAAATTTAATGTAATCCTCCTCTGCAATATTAGATTGTTTCAATCTTGAGAATTCATTAATTAAATGGGAATTTGTATAAAATTTGAAAAACTTTTCAATGGTGTAGATTTTGACAAATTCTTGATATTTCTCTTCAACATTTTCCACTTTTTGTGTGTCAAATCCGAAAAGTGATCCCCTCATGCCCTTTTCCTTAATGGCATATTCAAGGACATCTTGGTGTTCGAACTTGATTGATTTGAGATATTTAGCCCATTTAAAAACTCTTTCGAATTTGGCTAAAACATTTTGAAAAGTGGAGGTGGTATTCATAATCAGGGTCCCCTGTTGGGATGCGCCTTTAGAGCCCGAGGCGATTTGGGCGTAGGATCTGCTGAAAGCAGCAACTGGGGCTGGGTTAGTTTTTTTTGGGGTTTTTTGGTTTTCAGAGTTTTTTTGGGTTTTGTTGTTTTCAATTTTTTTTTGGTTTTCAGAGTTTTCAGTAACAAAATCAATAGAAACAGAAGGTTGTGAATCTCCTTGAGATTCAATGGTGGCTTGATTTGACATATGCATGTCGACGCTAGTGTCATCTGCACTATCAAGATTGCGATCGCAATCAACTGGAGAAACATTAATTTCCGGGGCTGGGCGGTGGGCAATATCAACATCAGAATCAGCATTAGAGGCCTCATTTATGGTATTAGATGGGGTTTCAAAGGTTTCAGCAGTACTTAAAAAAGTATTGTCATCTTCCTCAGTGATTTCTTCGTCTGAATGTGGTTTATTTCCGTGTTTGTTTACATTGTTTTGATCGGTTGCGTTGGGATTTGCATGATCTAAGTCAACGTTAATATCAGAAGAAACCAGGGTTTCTTGAGAAGGAGGATCATTTGTTGGATCAGTGGAGTAGTTAGAAGGCTTTGGAATTCTTTTGGTATTATTAATACTCATTTTTAGTCCAAAGGTATTTTTTTTTTATTCCGATTTTTTTTTTTTTTTTTTAAAGACAAAATTCAATATATTAATTAATTATATAACTATATATCTCATAAACTACTTAATGTAGTTTGAAAATTAAAGTGTTAAGGGAAAACCATTAATGGTGAAAAACCCTATTATTGAGAAAAAATGTTTTTATGCGTTTTTAAGGTTTTTAATTGTTGTTTTTTTTTTGATTTTATTTTTTTTTTTGATTTTATTTTCTTGTTTTTCCCCACCTATTTTTTCTTCTCCGCTTAAAAGATATTGCTTTCAAGCAAGAAGATCATTGAATCAACGGCCATATGACAATTGAAATGCCTTTTGGATTTCAATCTTGATAATTTTCGTTGGAAACCTAGATATCTATCGATCATTCTGGTTTCGTTCATGTTGGTGGCAGGGGTAATGATTGTTTGCCAGGTTAATGGGATATTCAAGTCAGTTTTTTTCCAAAGTTTCTGGGCCAATGGACATTCAATAAGATGGTGCTTCATGATTTCAAATTGGATTTCCTTTGGGGCATATTGGGGTTCATCATATCTGGTTAATTTTTTGCTGCAATAGTCACAATGATTATTTACGTAATTGTGATTTTCAATGCCCAAATGAAAGATGTGAATATTTTGATATTTCCCCGGGAAATGTTGGTTGAATTTTTTGAGGTTATGCCAAAAGTTATCAACTTGTTTCTGATTCACCCCAGTAATGTCCATGAGTGTTTTTGACATCTTGTTCACATCTTGTTTTTCCCGTTGTTTTTTACTTCCTTTAGTATGGTCAAAATCCTTAATTCTAATTGGAATGTGTTGTTGATATTTTTCAGGAATCCCTTTTTCAATTGAATTTTTCAAATCTTCAATTCCAATCTTCATTGGCTTCAACCTGATTGTACGTTTCTTTATACCAAGAACTTTTCTGAAATCCCAGTACGCTGTCCTTTCAGCATCTGAGAATGTGCTGCTATTCATAACTTCCAAGGAAATTGAATCATTGGTATTCTCAATGTCATCCGCTAGTTCAAGTAATACCACCCACCAATAATGAGTTTTGATATATTCATCCTTTGGTGATTTTGTTGGTGATGTTTTTTGAATGATGTTATTGATACTTGATTGGATTTTAAAACGTAATATCTGGTTATATTTAGTGTGACTATCCAAAAACAAATCCTGGAAAATTTTGGCTCTTCGGTGTTGGAGTTGAGACTTTAAATCAATCATTGAGAAACCGCCTTTGTTGTTGTGTGTCTTGAGTGTATCCAAAGAAATAGGTGTATCTTGCTTGACCAATAACTTAATCGATGTGTCAATTTGATTCAACTGATTGGGTAACAAAGGTTGGTGTAGTTCTTTGTAATAGAACTTGGATGCAATATATGTGTTGAATGCTTCTATTTTTGATTGAATCAGCAAGCTGGTCATGTTTGATAACTTGTATTTGATATGGAGGTCACGCTGCAATGTTTCCGGCCAAAATGTCACTGATGGTCCAATAGTTATCCCCAAATATGTCAATTGAAAGTTTTCATCAGCAATCTCAAATGGGAATGGTGTCCGATTTTTAGAAATTGTTAGTCATCATTGTATTAGCTTTATAAATTCACTACACATCAGCGGATTTAGCTCAGTTGGGAGAGCGTTAGACTGAAGCATCTAATTCTTCAAGTCTTGTAATCTAAAGGTCCTGTGTTCGATCCACAGAATTCGCAAACATTTTTTTTGCTTCCCCTCTTATGAATATCGAGAATTAATTAAGATATTCCAGAAAATAAAATACAAAACTTTTTGAAGAGAAGAAATCGGTAGTTAAAAAAATGTATATATAGCACAAAGATACTGACTGTATCATTAACACTCTTTCGATAAAATTTCAAGATACATATACAGCTCATTAGTACCAATTTGAGAATTTCAAGTGAAATTGAATGAAGAAGAATGGAAAAATTGATTTACCGATAGTAAATAATAAAAAGCTAATGAAAATAATGTAAAATTAATAGAGCACTGGAATGCTGTTGGAAATATAATATAACGAAACAATAAATTGAGGTAGAGAATAATGGGAATATGCTAATATTTATGAGATGCAAAGAGAATGATCAACTTGCTAAAATTGAGTTGATCTTGTAAATGAAAAAACAAAAACAAAAAAAAAAAGATAGGAATATAGTACAATAATAATAATAATAATACAAAGGTAAATATAAGAAATAAGAAAACCTGTGGTTGAAATTTAATAGCCAGAACTCTCTGTGATACACCCAGTCACACTCAGTTCCCAGTCTGGTTATTGTGATTGAGATTTCTTCTATTAGCATTCAATAAACCTCCGAGATTGAAATAGCTTTTGCTTCTCCGATTCTGGGATTTTCCCAGTTTTTCCTTGGATGCCATTTTTTGAGGATAGAAACGAGAAGTGCTAGAACTTTCACGAAGTGGAGGTCTAGAAGATTGGGATTGAAAATATGAGCTTTTATCATTGGCGGTAAATGGAGAAGCTTTCTCATTTGATGATTGCTGATAAGAAACATTCAGAGGCGATTGGTTTGGTGGTGATGTTGGAGATTGACGGAAGATTCTAGAAGGCGTCGGAATTTTCAATCTATTTTGAGAACGTGGTTTATGTTTCCCAGAATATTCATGATGTGGTAAAGGATCTAGACCAGAATCACGTTTGTGAGATTCTTTGATAGGCGGGGATGAGCCACGACATTGCGGTTGTGAATGCCTTTTATATTTGTTTGATCTCTTATTGTTATTATTATTCTTGTTAATTTCATTCACCGCCGGAGAAGATGATGCATTTTGTGGACTATGATCATTGAATGGATAAAATTGATGGTGTGGTGATGCTGCTGCTGACTGATATAGATCATCATTATATTGATAGGCAACATCATCATTATCAAAGGCTTCATAAAAATATTGATCGAAGTTTTCAATATAGAAAAGATCAGGGTTCCCATGATATTTTTCATCATTAGGATATTTATGGGATTTCTCAACATCGTCTATTGTATCATCACTAGATCTACCACCAGAAGTTGGATTTTCATCATTAACTTTGCCCGTATTACGATCATCAGAAAAGACATGGTTTTGTAAAAACCAAACCTCAAGTCTAAACATTTTGTAGATCAACTTTGCCATTCTTTGGAAAGTTTTGCAGTCCAACAACTCTTGGAATTTCAAATCATAATAATTGTAATAAGTATCTTTCTCGGAATGAACACTTAGGAATTTCATATAATCAGCAGCGTCAGTTTTTGACTTTTGTGGTTCAGGAGTAGCAGCAATATTTTCATTCTCTAGGTCTTGCCATTTAGTGCAGAAATTCCATTTCAATTCCACAAACTGTTTCAAAACTTCGACCAAAAATTGCATTTTGAAAATAATTAATTGTATAGGGTCTTCTCCACATTTAAAGAATTGAAGAATGTTATGTTGGCTATATTGAATCTTGAATGACTCGAAATGAGCAAATATCAATTCAAATGAGGTTTCAAAACTGTCTCGGAATTGGGTCCAGGAAGCTTCACTAATTATTATTTTCAGAGTATCATAAGTCTTATTAGATGTTTTCAAGTCACTTTGCATTACTTTCAACAATTTTCTCAATGTACTCAAAGAACTCGTGGAATATTTCCTGATTATTTGAAGTGACTCATCGTTAACGATAGTCAATCCTCCAGCAGTGTTCATTAAATTCAAATGGCCATAAGGACCATTAATTGGCATGAAATCATCATATCGGAAACGTTGAATTTTAGCAAAAGTCACAAGCTGATCAAGGTTTATCCCTTCCAACTTTCGAAGATCAAGTTCAAAGTCTTTAGAGTGTTCTTGTTGGTTAACGAGAAATTCGGGTAAATATAAATCAGTAATTCTGATACGATCAACAACTTCAATATTCAACATCAAAACTTCCGAGTCCACTAAATTTGAGCCTCCCATAACCGATTTTGATAAGTCATTGAAAATGTTGTAAGACACAATTCTACCGCGGACACCAACCTCATGAACATCTTTGGAAGATTTGATGAGATTATTGGTATCGAAATTTGGGTCCTTAATAAAGAATAAACCAATAACAATACCATTATTGTCACTAGCAGTATTTTGCGGGGAATAGTTGGCAAAAAGCTGAAGGATAGCTTGCTTTATGATCGGGTTTATGATTTTCAAATTTCTAATTTGGGACTTCGGGAAATTGGGGGTCGAGGTTGGGATAATCAATAATAAATCATCATCATGATTATATAATGGATTATGAGTTGCAGCATTGATGAGGGGAGTTGTATCTTCGAAAGCAGATTCATATTCACTGACAGACTTTTCGCTTCCCTTTCTTCGATCAGTGAAATAAAAAACATCCTCCTTTGGATTTTCAAGCTCATAAGGTGTGGCATTGTGGTCGGCTTCTTGTGCGGTGACATATCCATCATCAAAAACATATTCCATATTATTGAAACCACTTTCGATATTATCAAAGCCACTCTTTATACTATCCTTATCTGCAACTCCATTTTCCAAAATTTCCTTGTTTTCATAGTCTGATAAAGTTTCTGAAACTTTGATGGTCAAGTCTGAGTGATCTTCAGGGTCTAATAAGTTATAAATATCTTCCTTTTGGTCTGAATTGAAAATTGGTGTTTTTTCTTGATCCTGGTTTTTCTTGCTGTTGTCGACGACGTTTAAATCAGGGTTTTTCTTTTTTGGTTCATTGATAATGCTGAATAATTCTTTGACCCTATATGTTCCATCGTTGTCTGAGTTCACATCTGAGTATTTGTTTGATTTTGCAGTGTTTTGAACGTACTCGTCCTCGTTTTCCACCACGATAACTGGGTATCCTTTCTCGTTGACATCACTTAGATCCAACTGGTCAATGGCTTTGAATTTTATGTATTGGACGGAATCTGTAATATCAGAGTCATGCTGGGCCTCAATGATCTCGATTTTGAAAAGCTGATACTCGTAGTAATTGTCTAAGGTGTCAAGTAATCGTATTTCCGATTGGTGTTTTGCGATGACGAAACAGACGGCGATATTAGTTTCTGTAATGAAGGCGTCAAATATCTTTTTAATTGAGTGTTTTGAACAGATGAGGTTGGACACTTCCAACAAGTTTGAATAGTCAGAAAGGATGGTAGGAAGTTGTTGGAACACTTGATCTGGGATGTACTCGGTGTTTAAAGGGTTGTCAAAACAATCCAGATACATGATTGTTTAAGGAATTTTCTTTGTTTGTGATGGTCTATACTAGTTGTAAGATGGTATCTGGATCACTCATTAAAGATGGGGGGCACAAAACATTGGTGGGGGAGGAAGAAGAAGAGTTGTCATGTACCGAATGATTGACGGGGAATTGGGGATGTCTATATGTGATTTGGGTGGTGCTGTAAATGAATGATAGGGGAAAATCATCACCTACTTTGGGCAAAAAAAAAAAATTACTGCCCGTGTTGCCAGTGTCTCACTCCCTGTTGTCGGTGGTGCCTGCCTGCCAGGAGAGTTCATGTACGTGCGTAATTTACCCAAGCGCTGCTAATTTTGTTTGTACAGAGGGCTGTTGGCAGGGATCCTGGTTGATCCATATATATATATATATATATATAACAGGATGGTACCCTTTTGAAAGTCGTGGGATATCGGTATCCATATAATACAGATTAAAATACTCCACAATAGGAGCAGAAGCTGGACCCTCTCTGACTCGAGGATGTTGCATGGCATTGTCAAATGATTCACAAATATCAGGTCCGATTTTAATTGGTACGCGGGACGGGGACGAATTCACAGTTGTGCGCAATTTAAGTGGTAGAAAGAATTTATGGTCTGAGACTGAGCACCGAACAATTAGGTTCGTGTTGGCAAAAGGACGTCGTCGACTAACTTTAATTCGTATAGACAAGTCCGCGTCGCACTTTTTGCTCTGTGGTGTTGTTTGACGGGGGTTCGTTGCTGCTGCTGCTGCTGCTGCTGCTGCTGCCACCACTGCCTTTCTGGGTGGGTAGTGCACAAACACGTGAACGACACATGCCACCCTCAACATGCATCAAACTTGCCACAAACACAAACCATCAGCGCTCATCGAAGGGTATAAAAACTGGGAGCGTTTCCCCCAAGATTCTTTCCAAAAAAACTCCCAGAAAAGGAGGAAGAAGGACGGCGGACCAACATCTACAAAAAATAAATACTACAAAACATTCCATCCTCTACCATACAATGGAAAGTAGACCTCCAAAGCACATCGAAAGTAAATTCTTCAAACACTTGACCACCTACAAGCTCGGAAATAAAGTCGTTAAGGTATTTGTGAAAACCGCTGGCCCCTGTGCCCACGTCACCCTTGATTTAAGCGGCAAGTCTTTCAAGAAGTTTGTCATTACGAGTGATCACGTCCTCGATAAAACCTTGGTTGCCCTTGACGAATACGTTCCAGAATTCATGAGAGTCGCAGAGCCTATTGGTAAAAATAAGAAGAAAAGAGGAGACCCAGTTTTTGGTGGTTTCGATATCGAGCCAGCCGAGAGAGATGAGATTGAAGGAGATGAAGTGGAAGAAGTGGAGATGGTAGATGAAGATCCCGAGGAAGAAGTGGAAGAAGTGGATGCAATGGATGACTTTTCAACTACTCCATATGAAGTTTTCGTTCATAAGCCGGTCCACAAAGCTGCCCTTGATTTTAGAAAGTCTTACTCTGTAATTTTTGACACGAAGGGGAAACCTATTGTTAGAGGGTGTTTTGATGGATTATTTGCCCCATTCAATATTAAGCTTGAAAAGTTTGTCAAAATCAATTTCCCAACCGCAAAAAAGGTGCCAGTTTGGTGTTGCTCCAATGAAATGTCAAGATCTGGGAAATTATTCATCAGCGTCTTTGCCAGTTTAGTTTTCAAAAAAGACATTAAGATTCACAAGAAGCATAACAAGAAAATGGGCCACGGCCAAGGCAAGAAAACTGCTGTTGTGAAGATCCATGCTAAAAAAGAGATCAAAAAAGTGATTCATAAAGGTTCTAAGCATCACCACCATCATCATCCTCCTTATACTCCAGGAGGTCCAAGTATGCCAGGAGGTCCAGCAGGCCCAGGAGGTCCAGGAGGTCCAGCAGGCCCAGGAGGTCCAGCAGGCCCAGGAGGTCCAGCAGGCCCAGGAGGTCCAGGAGGCCCAGGAGGTCCAGCAGGCCCAGGAGGTCCAGCAGGCCCAGGAGGCCCTAATTGAAAAAAACTTCAAAGCTTTTGCTTCACTATCTTCCACCAATATCTTCCACCACTAAGATTGCATGATGCTTGTTTTGTAGTACTGGTGTTGTCTCATACTCTGTGATTATATATAGATAGACAAGAAGAATAAGTATCTCGAAGGATTGGATGAAATGCAAATATAAATAAATAAATAAATAAATAAATAAATAAATAAATAAATAAATAAATAAATAAATAAATAAATAAATAAATAAATAAATAAATAAATAAATAAATAAATAAATAAATAAATAAATAAATAAATAATACCTTTATTCGTTAGAAATATATAATATACATAACTTTATGCTACCAAAAAGCACAGATTTAAAATACAATAGAGCTGAGGAAATGAAACCATGAAATTCAAACGCCATTATTCTGCAATTTTATGCTCTTCAACAAACTTCTGGATTGCCAATTTCAAGCTTTTGTTAGGGTATATTTGGTTCAACTCTAACGGTTTCTTGACCACTGGATCAATATGATGCTTAGCGACAAACTCCACAAGATTCTTTCTTTCATAACTTTCACCATAAATAGTAATCACAGGATCTGTCATCATACCATATTTTACCGGGTCAATTAAATATTCGGGGATTTCATAGAGAGGAACATCTAATCGCACTTTAAGCTTTCCATCCTTTTTGGCATCTGTTTTATTATTACCATTAGTCTGTTTTGATTTATCAGAAGTTGTAACATTAATTTCCTTACTATCTATGGCCGAAGAATCAGACCTTTTTCCAGTATTGTTACCATTCAATTCTTCCTTGACAAAGTTAAACAAATCGTCGGCATCTTTTAACTTATCATGATACCGTTTCGCCTGGTCTTCTATCTGTTTTTGGAACTTCGGGTTACGTCTAAAGCTGGCTTTCTGATAATCGTCATCTTCTATATGATCGTACTGTGAGATAATATTATTGCAATTGGCATTATATTCTGATTGGATGGAAATGTTGAGTAAAAAATGAAGGTTTTCATAATTGGCGAATTTTCCCCTGGACAATCCCGTTGAACTTTGCGATATCCCTTCTGATTTTAACGAGATGTTTTTACGATTACCGCAAAGTTTGACTCGAAGCTTTGAGATAAAGTTCATCACGTCGACCAACGATGGACTCTGAGCCTCAATTGCCAAACGATAACATTCGACAAATTTACCCCACGCCTCATGAAGTTTGCCAAACATGAACGCCACGAGCCCAAAATAATAATAAGCTTTCAAGTTCTTGCAATCAATACTCAACGCCTTGCGAGAGTCTTGTAATACCAATTTCAACAACTTCGTCGACTCTTCAGCTTTAGATTCCTCATGGTCTGGTTCGTATTCAGGGGTGGTTAGCCAGGTCTTGAACCATGAATGTAAATTAGGGTATCTCTGTTCATGAAGTTTGAAAAATGCAGTGGCTCGATTGGTGTAATACGCCACTTGATTGGGGTCTTGTTTGATTGCCTTATCGTAAAGAGTTATGGCTTTCTCGTAATCATGTTTACGAAAATGATCATTCCCTTCCTAAAATGCGCATGTTAGTATATGATGAAGAAGAATAAAAACCAAACCACAGATCATACTTGATCTAAAAGCTTGATTCTTTTTTTTTTTTTTTTTTCAATTTAATAAAAATCTATCAATAAAAGGACTCACATTTTTGAACTTTTCAGCAGTCAGGTTGGTTGCAAACGGTGCCATTATTACTATCTTGTCTCCAATCGAAATTCCTTAAATCACACCTATCTATATAGTGTATTTATATGATTGGATTATTGTAATCCAAAAAAACAAACAAATAATAACAGCAAACAAAACCTCTTTCAATGAGAACTTATTTCCTCTAATCACAGATCTCAGATCCTATTTTCTAACGAAATCCCAATTCTCCGCTGCAAGATCTGAAAGTAACCAGAAACTGCAAAAATCAATTGAAAGCGAGTTCGCCAGGAAAGAAACAAAAAAGCTTAACAACAGAATTTAAAACTAGCGATGAAGATAATTTCTTTTCCCTTCCCTCTTTTTATTATTATTATTATTTGTATAATGATATAAATCGCAGCCCGTTCACGACATAACTGCCTTTTTTTTTTTATTTTATTTCTATTTTCTTTTTTCTCCCCTCCGCTTTTTTTTTGCTGTGCGTCGAGAGAGAACTAGCCTGAATCATTTGACACCGTCAACATTATTCAATAGTTTGATATTTTTCTTGAATGAGGAGTTTAAATTAATGAGCATGAGTATTATATCATTTTATTATGATTATGATCATGATTATTATTTCTCTTAAAGAAGAAAAGGCCAGAGGCAGCATTAAATGGTATCATCCGCAGCAAATAGAGAAATATATTATCTGCCTTTGTTGATCAAGCTTTTTGTCAAAATATTACAAAATAATTTTTAATAAACTTGTAAAATCAAATGAATCATTTAAAAAATAATAATAATAATAGTTTTTTTTTTTTTTTAAAAAAAAGCAGCAAAAATTCAAACAACAATGCTAAAAGAAAAAAGAAATCATCTTGCATAAATAATAACCCCCAAAGTTCCCAGAAAAAACAAACCATTTAAAGAACCAGATCCAGACCCATGTACTGAAAACATAACTAAATTTGAGCGTCAAAAAAAGTTAATAAAATAATAAAAAATAGGACGATTGAAAAATAGAAAAGAAACTAAAAAAAAATGAGCAAAAAATGTATCAAATGTGTGTAAGGCTTTCATGAATTCGGTAGATCTAAATTAACGCCAAAAGCTCAAAGTTTTATGATAATATCATCACCTTGAATAATATCGCCAATAACACTAACGCTGTCAACTCTAACTTTCAAAGACTTGACTTTTCCAACTCCATTTCCATTGCCAGAATCAGCCAACTTCTGCAAATCGATGGCCCAGTAATTGAAAAAGGAAACCCCAAAAAACTCATCATTAATAAAAATATTCCAATAAGCAGCTCTCGTTAAATTATTAGAAATGAAATCGACCCATTTAATGTAGATTAAATTTGGATTCAACAGTTTAACACTTTCCAAGTTCTTGATCTTGTTACGCATAGAAGGCATTGATGTGATGTCCTCATCTAAAATTGAAAGAATTGATAATTCACCAATATAAAGCTCTGTTAGACTGGTTGGCACAGAGTTGTCTGGTAAAATAATCCATTCTTCATCATCATCATTATCATAATCTTCCGAAGACGTTAATAATGCAGATTCGCTTGAAGAAGGAGTGCTACTGGAACAGGTTCTAGTATTATTAATAAACGACGATCCAGTCCTTCTCAACTCACTTCCATCATGTAACTTGTAAACATTGGCAAATATTTTTTCATCCGCTTCATTAAATCCATTATGGTTTTTTCTATCGACTTGTTGGTTGCTAACCCAGCTGACGTTAACAGAGTCCAAAATGCAGTATTCCCATTTGACACCCCTTGGAGTTGGGAAAGTCATTTCGATAGTCTTCCAATCAGTTTCATAAAATGAGCTCTTGATATCCAGTCTTCCAATATCCAATGGGACTTCCAAAACACCATCTCTGATATTATAAATAGACTTGTATCTTCTCTCAATCCTGTATTTAAGTTCCAATTGGAAATATCCATCAATCTGGCCAATTTCACTAATGTTGGACTTCAAATTATCAATAAAGCTTTCCTTATCAGATTCATTGACCGCAGTCACACTCAGAAATTGGAAGTCTTTGTTGACAATATTATACTTATAGGTCATCCTAATCCTGATGTTTTCACTGGAACAATCATTTCCAAAATTGAATAGCCGTTTACTCTTCAACTCCCTATCAATATCACTGAGTTTATCACTGTCACTTAAAATTAGCTGGCTGTTATTCTTCACAATCTTCAAACACGAGCCGCCGACAAAAGATTCATCATCATCAATGGAGATATCAATTAATTGGTATTTTTTACTGAGGCTCTTTGTGTCTTGACTGTAAACAATATCAGGGATCTCATATTGGAAGTTGCTATTCACCCAATAGTTATTGAAAACCGTCTTACCATTGATGGCAAAGAACTTCCCTTGACCTTTGGAAAAATTTGAATAAAACAAAAATGATTGTTTTTTGGAATGATTATTAGCAAAAGGATAGAAACAACAAGCGCCGTATGCATCAATATAAGTCGCTATTGTGTCATTGTTACCATCGTATTTCCAAAGTTTTGCATCATTCTTCAAAAAGTTGTCTTTACCCAAGAATTCATAAGTCCAAGCAGGAGCAAAGAGACAAACATTGGAATCATATTCTTTGCAAAAATTAACAGCAATTGGCACGTCATAGCCCCCATTACCTATTTTTGAGCCTCTTCCAAACATATCAATTCCGACGTATAATGAAGAATTAATTCCATGAAGTCCGGCAATTGCCACGTTCTTTTTAAGGATACTCTCATCCCACCAATAATTTGTCAAGAAGTAATCTGAAGATTTAAAGAGTTCATAATTCAAAGGAGACACACCATTTTCGTATTTAATTTTGTTGAGCTCAGGAATAAAAGAATCATACCAAATGACTTTTGACCGGGGTGAAATGCTATGAATGGATGCTCTCAATTGTTCCACAAACGTGATAATTTCAAAGGACTCAGAACGATTAAGGAACCTTGTTTCAATGTTTATCAAGTACCCATCAAATTTATAATGCTCGTACAACTTCACAAGCATTTTAATATAAATGTATTCATGATTTTGATTTTTGCAACATAATTGTGAAAGCTGTCTGAATTTGTCGGCAGTATTGCCTTCAATAATAATGGTACCCATACAGTCAATACCAAATTTATGACAATTGTTGATCCAGGACACTGTTGGTACACTGATCATATTGTGTGAGAAATAAATGAAATGGTTCACTAGAGAGGGGAATTGTAGGAAATAATGTAAACCGTTTGGATGAGGAAAGTATCCGAGAGGTGATAGGTCCTCATTGTCGACATAATTGCCTTTAAAATCATGACATACCGATAAGTTAATACCAGCAGATTTTGGTGTCGATCTTTTATAAAATGCCAAATCTTGACGGGGAATTCTGAAGCTATCATATAAATTATCATTGATCTGATCGTAGTTACTGTACCAGTCACTAAGTTCTTCCAAAGAATTCAAGTACAATCCATCAATACAAGTTCTAAAGTTATTTGCCGCAATATTGTTAATACCGCCAGAAGTAGCCAAATCTGGAGCACCATTGATAGAATCTGTATCCAGAATTGTTGCAGCCTGAGAATAAACGGAAGGCGCTCTAGAATTCCTTGAGTCTCTTAAATCTATTGATTGGTGATTGCTTTGTGTGCTTCCTCTTCGAGAAAGCCTTCGACTAACACGAGCATGGGAAAACATGGCTCACCAGATAGGAAAAAAAAAGATAAGAAGAGGAAAGAAATCGAAGCTCCTTGAATGATTATAATATTGCGATCAACGAGGAAAGAAATAAAGCACAAATAAATATGACAGAGAGAATGATATAATTTGTTGATAAGGATTGTTTGTGATAATAACCTTGTGAGAGCGATGACCTTTACCCGTTTTTAATCATGTGACAAATCGGCGTACTTTCTTGGAGACGAGACGATAAAGAGATCAGATTTTTTTTTTTGGTTGAGGGAATTTGGAATGACATAGTCCATTTGTTGTTTGCTGATTTGTAATCCTCCTCTATACCATGGCTCTTTTGGTTTTGCTTCTATTTTTCATGGCGATTGTAATCGCCAGTGTCTTGTTGCCTGCTATCAATGGTATCGGCAAGTTCGAAATCGACAGAGATTCTCGAAAAAAGAAGCAGGATGATGAAGATGAAGTGAATGTGGCTGTAACCAGTTCATCGTCCTTTGGCTACGTCCCACCAGATGAATACGATGAAATCGAATCGCCAGAAGAAAAGAAATCAAAGAGACAGTTAATTAGGGAAAAGTTGGAACAAGTGGAAATTCCTTTGAAGTTTAAGACCACTGTGTTGGATGACCAGGAGGTTCCTAATCGTGGGATTAGACAAAGAAGAGTGGTCCACAAAGACTCTAATGAGAAAGATCCTAATGTATTTGACTTTGATATCGACCAATTGATTGATGAAGACAACAGACAACAGGCCAATGAGTATAAAGCCCAGGTCAAGAAGGTTATTGGCCAGAGCAAAAGTAACAGCAACAGCCCACTTCTTCCATGAAAAACAAAAAACAAGAGGAAGTTGGAGAAAAGTCCTAATAAGAACTAATTTTCTGGTTTGGTTGATTATATAATGACCCATTTTAACGAATTTTTTTTATTTGATTTTGAAAGTATATATAATGCACAATGTAGCAACACTATGCAAGTGTCACGATGTCCGGCTTTTTGGATGGAATTTTTCCTCGTGGTGTGTGGGTTGTGTTGGGGTAAGGCTGTTGGTGATGGAAATTGAAAAACGAAGGGGAATCATTAAAATAATAATAATAATGGTATCTCCATCAGATTATAAAAATATATTTGTTGGCCAGACAGATAATTGCATCAATCGAATCAGTTTATCTTACCATGTCTTCTGATAAGGTAGAGGATTCGGTGAAGTTCTATCTTCCAGATGAAGAAAATCTCAATAAGTACTACCATAATAAAACAATTGAAATTTTATTGACCGACGAAGACGAAACCCAGCAAAATGATGATGAAATTGTCTCTGTCAACATTCCAAAAGATTTAACCGACGACCCAACTGAACTTTGTACTTTATTGGAAAACTATTCTCAGAAGAAGGAAATTTGGCTTTCTTTTGCCGTGTCTTACGCGTTACAAAACAAATTCAAACAATCTGCAGAATTAATCAAGTCCGCTTTCCAATCAAACCAACTTCAGCAGGCAGGTAACTTTCAGAAATTCAATTTCCATTTGTTTACCGCCTGTTTGAACATCAGAAAGGCCAGGGTTGCCAAGACCATCGAAGAGAAGGAAGAATGTTTTAGAATTGCCGACAATGAACTCGATATTGCCTTCTCCATCAATCCAGTTTCCAACGAAGCTTTATTAGCCAGAGCCATTCTTATGTCATTGAGAACCCCAAGTGACTATGATGGATTGTTGGCTTCTTTTGAAAAAGTATTGAAGAAGGATGAAAATAACGCCTTTGGATTGTTTGGTAAGGCCAAGATATTATTCAAGAAAAGAAATTACACATTGGCTCTCAAGATCTTCCAGCAGATTTTAATTTTGAACCCATTATTGAAACCTGATTCGAGAATTGGTATAGGTTTATGCTTTTGGTTTCTTGGGGATCTTCATTCAGCCATCGACGCTTGGGAAAGATCTTATGAATTATTCCCGAAGGATTTTACTAGCGGGTTATTGATTTCTATTGTGAAATTTAACAGAGCGTTTAATGAATCATTAACCGACAATGAGTTCATCAAGCAATATTCCGAAGTTGTCAGTATTGTGGCAGATTTTTATAATGGAAAAACTCTTCCGGAATATGAAAATATTAAACTAAAATTGGAAGACGACGTGGAAGTTCATGAAGATAGCAAAAGCTCAGTGACACTGGGAATATATAAAAGAAACCCATATTTACTCAACATCTTATGCTCTTATCTTTATTCTAAAGGTAAGTTTGGCTTGTTGATTAAGATGGTGGAGGACTTTCTTGGCCAGTCAGCAAGTACTTTAGAAGCTTATAATAGGGTTGCGGTTTCCGATTTATTCTTTTGGTCAGCAAGAACTTATTTTTCTCTTGCCAACAGCGGTATTGAAGAAGATCATGATTTGCCACCTCACGTGAATAGCTTGCCAAAAGACTCATTATTAAATAAATCACAACAAATGATAACCAAATCCCTAACTTATGACAAAAAGAACCTTTACTCAAGATTTTTGTCTGGTCAAATACAATATTTGAAGAAGAATATCAATGATTCTATATTGATCTTTGAAAACCTCATAAAGAACCTTGAAGGGGAGATGGGTAATAGTGTGAACAAGAATTCCAAGAACGAAGCCAAGGATAAGTTGGTGGAAATCAATTATATGCTTGGATTGTTGTACCATGAAAAAGTGTTTTCTGAGGATGGAGAAATCACCAAGGCTGGATCCGTGAGCGCATTAACTAAGCAAACCAAGTCAATGGACTCAAAATCGTTAATGACAAAGGAAAATATCGACAACGTCAAGAAATCAATGAGTTATTTATCGATATACTTGAAATTATGTGGGCAACTTAAAGAATCAGTGATTGTCAATGCTTACTTGACCAACGCTAAGAATTACGAGTACTTGAACCAGTTTGATAAGGTGCTAACCAATTTGGAAAAAGCAGTGGAATTATACAAGATTCACGGAGGGGTATTGGATTCTGAAGGAGCTTTGATTGAAGATCCTGCTAAACAAATTCCTCCTGAAATCTTGAATAATATTGGAGTTTTCCACTTTTTGAAGAATAATCTTGCGGCATCGAAGCAATTCTTTGAGGTTGCAGTGAAGTCAAACGATTTGTTATCCAATGAGTTTAGTGAGGATCAAAAGACCACAATTCAATATAACCTTGCTAGAGTTAATGAAAACGAATTGCTTCTTCAAGGGTTGTCTGTCATTAAAGAGGAAGCTGTTGATGCCACTGGCGATACTACAATGAGGACAGAAGAAGAAGATGATGACTTGATGACCTCGACCACCAAGCAAATCCAGAAATTGTATTCGGATGTTATTGGTAGGGCTCCAAATCACGTGTATTCCAAAATGCGTTCTTATTATTCTTTGGCATTGGACCCATTGTACACCGCTTCCAGTGAAAGACTCGATGAGTTAGACGAAAAAATCCGCCTGTTACTCAATTCGTACGAATCAAGTTTGGAAATCCGTGCTTTCTATGGTTGGTTCATGAAAAAGTTTAAGAGAAGACTTACGAGTTATAATGAAACCATCAAAAGTCATAACCCAGAAGATAAATTGTACAAGGATACATTGACGAAATATGATTCTCATGATTGTTATTCATTAATTTCTTTGGGTAATATTTATCTTTTATTGGCTCGTGAGGCCAAGAATATTGTAAAGCTGAAGGGGAAGAAAGCGTCATCTGCTGAGATTGCTAAGCAGAATAATTTCTACACCAAGGCCACCCAGTTATATCAAAAAGCCTTGGTGGTTGATCATTTCAATTTATTTGCTGCCCAAGGGTTGGCAATCGTGTTTTCGGAATTGAAACAATCTGATGTTGCGCTTGAAATTTTCAAGAAAATTAGAGATTCTTTGAATGATGTTTCCATTTTCATCAATTTAGGTCATGTTTTGATTGATATCGGGCAATTCAGCAGGGCCATTGAATGTTATGAGATTGCTGTTAATAGATTTGGTGGACCCGGAGCTTCTTCAGTATTAGCTGATAACAACAAGGACGAGATTTTAGATATTTTCAATGAGGATGCCCTTGCAAAGTACAAAGATGATCTTCAGTCATTGACCACTAATAGTAGCTATTTCACTTTGTTGGGTAGAGCTTGGTATTGTAGAGGGGTTGGTGAAAAATCATTAGATTCGTTGAGAAATTCGTTGAAGTTTTCAGAAAAGGCGTTCTTAATTGCGTATGCCCAACATTTGAAGAATCAAAACTCCCAAGTGTTTTTGCTTCCATCATTGAAATTCAACATTGCGTTTATTTATTTCCAAATTGCGGAATTTGTTAGAAAGACCCCAAATAACAAGAGAACTGCCGAAGAAATCGAGAAGACCATTGAAGGTTTGGATCTTGCTATCAAGATCTTGGAAGAATTGGCCGGCAACAAGAATCCTCCATATCCTCCAACCGAATTGAACCAAAGAGCTACTATGGGTACCAACACCATGAAACCACAATTGGCTAGAGAACTTGAAAGTCAAAAGACTTATGAGAAGGAATACGCCGATAAGATTATTGAAGGTAAGAAGATCAGAGAACAAGAAAAGGCGAAGATGGAAGCCGAACAGCTTAGACGTAAAGAGAATGAAGAAAAGATCAAAGAAAAGCTAAGATTGGAAAGAGAAGAGCTACAAAAGACGGCGATTGAATGGGCCACCGAATTAGCCGAGAGAAACAAATTGGCAGAAGCACAAGAAAGGCAAAAGAAGGGCAAAAAGACCGATTCGGATGGGTTTGTATATGAGGATTCTTCTGAAGATGAGAACCACGACGGTGAACCTAAAGAAGAAAATGATTCTAAGAAGAAGAAATCGAGAAAAAGAGCCGCTGGTGGTGAAAAGAGAAAAAGAGAACCAAAGGAAGATGATGGCAATACCGGTGGCCGTAAAAGAAAGTTGGTTAAGAAATATAAGTCAGCTGATGTTATTGAGGATAGTGATGAAGAGGCTGATTATGCACTCGCTGGAAGAAAGGATGATACCGAGACTCATGAAGAAGAAGAGGAAGAAGAAGAAGAAGAAGAAGAAGAAGAAGAAGAAGGAGAGGAAATGGAGAACGCTGACGGCGATAAGAATCAAGATGCTGATGTTGATGAAGATATGAAAGAGGAGGTAGATTCTGATGATGTGAAGGGGGAAATTGCCGAAGAAGCAGATGTAAAAGAGGAAGAAGAAGATGAAGAAACTGCAGACTCTAAGACAAATAATGATGAAGTTGATGTCGAAGTGAATGAGGAAACTGAGGCTAATGAGGAAAAGGAAGAAGAAGGCAGTGAAAAAGGAAACGAAGAAGGAGCTGAAAAAGTAGATGAGGAAGAAGCTCTAAAAGAGCGGGATGAAAATGAAGATAATGATGAAAAGGAGGAGACTGTGGAAAGTTCAGAGAAAGAGGATAACTAAGATAATGAAAAAAAATGAAATAAATTAACGACAAGGGAGACTCAGGTGACATAGAGTCAGCAAGACGAAAAGCTAGAGGATCTGAGGGGGGAATATCGATTTCAAGTTGATGGAGAAACAATGCAATATCATAAAAATGCAGAAAAAAAAAACAATAATATTCTTGATGTTTGGATAATTTCCCATACTTTTTCTGCGTCTTTGTCTCTCAATTTTCATATTATTCTATTCTATTCTTTTTCTATCTTATCTTTTTTTTTTGTACTTTTTATTTTTATTTTTTTATTTTTATTAAATTTTATTGCCATTTTTGTATTAATTTTAATTTTATCTTATTGTATTTACTCAATTTTCTTTATTTATATTTGAAATTCTAAAATTGGTGGAGATCCTATGTCTGATATTCTGTGTGATTCCGCCTGGAATTGTAATTGAGATGTAGAAATACGTTATATTTTTATGTTGGAATCTTGGGGGTTCTGATAAACTGGGAAGTAACCAAAAAAAAAAAAGCATAAAGTCTCATTAAACATATTCTCTAAAGAACACCTTCTAGAAAAGAGAGTATTTATAAAAGCGGAAAATAAAAGAGAAAAAAAGACATCAACTTAGGTTCATACGGTTTTTTGAGTTCAGAAGAGGAGAAAGAACCCAAAGAAAAAGAAATAACCAACACCTCATTAGTACTGAATAAAAAAATTCTCATGAAAATTTCCATATCCGCTGGAAATAGCGTTAACATTGCAAGAAAACTAGATAAAAAAAAGAGATAGAACAACAAAAAAAAATTTATAGTCATAATGCATGTTAGTTAGAAAGCAAAGAACAAAAGGAAAAATATATCATCAAGTAATTACAAGAAAGAAAAAAAAAAAGAAGGCATTAGTGTAAAAATCACAACAATCCCAAATCATTTTTCGAGTCATCATCCAAGCTTCTCGAAATATCGTCATCCCTTGCCCCGGATACATCATTGGTTGTATCAGCTCCATAAAGCTTAGGGGTGATCTGGTTTCTTGGTGTGTTTCCGCCAAGGCCGCTTAATGGATTCCAAAGACTAGTTAAACTTGTGTTATTAAGCTGGGTGGAAACTCTGGATGGAAAACTTCCAAAAACACTAGTGCTGGAGCCATGTTCACGTTCAGATAATAATAAAGGTAACTTATCGGATCTCTCAAATGTATTCGCTGGCAAATTGTCATCATTTAGAGCTAGAGAGCTGTTAACAGAACCGTTACCAGCTACACTTGGAAGAGAGACAAAGCTATCGTTTTTCAATTCAAGGGATTCAACATCCGCGTTTTCATCATCACCATCGTCCATAATATTTGGAACGCTTGATACACCAGCACTAAATCCAGTCGAAGTCAGAGACTGATTAATGAGTTTGGACAGTGAATCCTCGTTTTCGTTAGTTGGAAATCCATTCAGATTGCTCGCAGAGATTTTTGGCGAGGCAGCCCTAGCGACTACAGCAGGAATGTTTGGATCTTCGCCTCTAAAAGAGAAAGTTTCTGCTACATCACTACCACCATGATCAATCGAACTTCTTGCTGTAGTTGAAGAGTTAAAATTATCAATTCCTTGCCATCTAATCAAAGATGTCAAATGTTTCCTCAGTTCAATGGCATCTTCATAAGAAGGCGGTGGTCCTGCACGAGCGATTTGCTCTTCACTATTGGCCAATAATAGTCTATTAATAGTGCCATTCTTCATTAACGGTTCTTTTCCAACACTCTGATGATAAGTTGGAGGCTTTATTGGAGGCTTAGTTAACAAATGCATTTCTGGCTTATCCTTAGCGTCTTCACCAAATATGCTGTTTGTTTTGGCAACTGGAGCATTGGAAGCAAGCAACAACGGAGATTTAATACTAGATGCCAGTGATTTTACATTACCATTCAAAGTGGGTGACAAAGCTTGCAAAGTTGGTGACAAAGCTCTGAAATTCGGAGATAAATTCGGAGATAAACGAGCTGTTCTAGCCGGCAGCAACTCAATGGTATTCGGACCATTCGAAATAGGGCTCAACAAGTTATCAATATTACCGTTTGTTGTTGACGATGCCTGAGGAGACATACCCACCAGATGGAGATTTGGTTTCATCGGCTGGGCCTGGACCGCCACAAGATCCAAATCGACAGCCCTTGGAGAGTACAAATTTGAAGAAATCATATCGGGAGTAATGTCCGATTGAAATTCATTATCTAAAGTCGTATAATCTTCACCAGTTGGCATGTGGCTCTCACTATCACCATTTTCAAATATTTCCTCAGTAGGAATAGCCGGCTTACGATGGGCATCAATCGCACTAGTGACGCGAAGTTCATCGTCCAAAACGTTATTAAGCTTTTGTGTAGGATTGAAGTTTTCCACTTGATGTCCATCAGTCAGTAGGATTTCTGGTGGGAAAAGTGGATTGTTGTTTGTCAAGATTTCAATTTCCCCACTTTCTTTCTTTTTTGCATAAGTGTAAGGATCATACATTCCAACCCCATCATAAGCTGGTAATAAAGTGTTAGCTTGAGTACACAAAGGATGTAACAAATTGATGGGCGAGTCGATGGAGATCTCATAGTGTTTTCTCTTTGGTTTATCAAGAGCTGAGCCAGTTGAATCACTTTTCTTTCTGCTAGCAATACTTGGGCGACGCGAGCCATGTGAACTATAACTGCCGCCATTATCTGACATATCGCTAAGTGCCCCATCATTATTATGAGCAACTGATCGCAAAACGTCGCTGCTTGATTCAGGCAAATTTCTTGCATTTGCATCATCATCAGCAAGGTCAAATTCATCAATTTTCTTGGAAAGCCTAAGAGAGATTTTGATCCAGTGATGACATTGAATGTTTTTATGCTTTGCATCGGGATGAAGCTTAGAGCTAAATTTTGAAAACATCTCTGGAACGTATAATTGGTAATTGAAGTCCTTGGAGCTGATATATTCTTCTTCATCATCTTCGAGTGATTTTTTGGGTTTTTTAGTTTTCTTTTTACCATTATGTTTAGAATCTTCAATCTTTTTTGAAGAATTGTTTTGAGCAGTGTGACCTATAAGATTGCTGGCAATATTTTGGGGTATGGCTGAATTATCATTCGAATAAACGAAAGAGGAATCATTCACATTGAGAGTCGATCTTTGGTGAGAATTTTTCTTATCAGATGTGTTTTTATCGCTAATGATACTATTATTGAACCCGAGGTCCTCGAAATCCCTCAAGAGATTAGTTCCGACTTTCGGTTTATGCTCTAATAACAAGAATTTCCTTTGAGGTTCAAGTCTATGAACTTTTCTTTTTTTACACCAATATTCCAAAATCTCGATAATAAAGATCTTGATCTTGTATAGTTTGACATTTTTGTCGGTTGGCACTACTCTAATATTGATCGGCATAAAACTGTTAAGAATGACTGAATTAGAGGCGATCAAAATAGAATAATTTAAACGATCTTCCCAACTTTTGTTGATCAAGATTGGATCGAAGTTATCTTCAATTGATTGCGACAGATTGGTTCTAATTAGATTAACCTTCTTTTTTGCTCTGAGGGCAGACTTGAATTTCCCAATCCTTCCAATTTCCAAGTTTAACCAATAATTGACAAATCCAAAAGTCAAATTTAAGGATTCTGGAGTCGATTGTGCAATCTTATGCTCGAAGTTGTAAATATAATCGCCCTGGTGGAATACATAATTGCCTTGAGAGTCAATATGATTAAGTTTCCCATGGGGGCTAGAATTAGCCCCCAAATTGTATATGCTGACACTATCTGAATCAAGTTTCAGGGCGGATGCTGCCAAATCCAAACTTTTTCTAGCGGTATTTGATATCTGTTGCGTAACATTGGTAGCTTTGCTGAAAACGTTCTTTGATAAGCCTCCCAAAAACTTGGATGTCCTCAGGCTTCTTTGCGACAGATTCAGGGTGACAGCGGTGATAGAAGAAAACAAGTTGGCGGAAAGCATACCTGGATCATTCAAATCCAAATTATCGATGTCCACATCGATATCTTTCTTGGATACATGATCTGGTAAGGTGTTTATATGATCTGCCCCACCCTTTTGATATTTAGGTGAAGAATGGTCATGCACGTCGAAGAAATTCCACTCACAGTTCATCAAAGTCTCAAGCTCCACAAACTCTGTCTTTTTTGGAGGAATGCCTTCTGGCCAATTGGTTCTTGAGTCTCCATGGAAATTAAGGTCTATATTTTTGATTTTGGTGTTATTTTTCAATACTCTAAATAACAATATTCCTCGGAGCATTGTTGGTGGTAAATCTGCGCCTTCGGCATCATCATCATCATCATGTTCATGTGTGACACCATCTTCGGTGTTGATCTCATGAGTACTACTAGTATTTTCGCCAGCATTTTCAACTACGGTATGTCGAGGGTTAGCATCATGTTCCGGAAGCTCATGCCCCAAGGCAGCGCCGCCGGCCAGCATCCCGTTGGCGGCTGCCAACAATTCACCTCTTTGTGCTCTTCTTCTTGAGCTTCGACTACCGCCAGCGGCATCATTCTGTAGGAAGATATTGTCTTCGACAAGGATCAAGTATGCTTTGAAAGACGCTGTTTCTATTACTGGGGCGTCCAAAAAGTATGGCAAGAGAAGGTTGTCTTCTAAAGATGGTGCACCAGGATTACTAAGCGTCTGGCTATTCTCCGAAAACACCACTTCGTCTTCATTGACAAAAATATTATGAGGCTGCGGAGTAGTATTTTCTGTGCTTTCTACCGTAGTAGGTGTGGATATTGATGGTAATGGATCATGTGTCGATATTGAAATAGTTGGTTCATTCTGGGTATCTTTTGCAAAAAGGAAATCGGTCGGATTAAGTGGAGGCGCCATTTTCCACCGATTTTAATTATCTAAGAATGAATAAGAATCTCTTGATCGGGTGGTATTTCCAAAGGAATAAGCAGGCTGGAAGATTAAAATAATTGAGAATATATAGCGGCGGCGAACTAATTGGTTTTCGGGAAAAAAAAATAAAAAAAAAGATAAAAAAAAAATAAAATGAGAAGATAAACAAAAATGAAATATTGGCGATTGTCCAACAACAGTAGTGGCTTTGGCAAGCTCCACGAAAGAAAAGTAAAACAAAATGAACAGATAAGCGAATAAATAAATCCCAGCTTTGGAAACGGCTATATCTTTCCTAGCGTGGTGGTTTCCCTGTGGAAATATGTGTTGATATCTGCCAACTTTAATGATGATAACCTGACTTGGGATGGTTGCACAATCATGCACTGTAGATGTGTTGAATGGAACCGCTAATCGGAGACAGCCAATGGGAAACGAGAGTGCTCAATAATAGTAGATAATATATATATGCTTGACTTCCAACTGTATTTCAACTATTATAAGGTTAACCAACACAGTATATTAATATCAGTGTTATTATCACCGCTACGGCCCGCCTAATCTTCATACTGTGCGGCCGGAATAGAGTACAGGGCTTCGAATCCGCGGTGGGTGCGGTTTTTTTTTTCTTTCAACTGATGAAATCTCACCCAATGGGAGTTGCATTTTATACTGATGTATAAGTATATCTATATATCTATATATATATATATTTACACCGCCACAATGTTCGCGTTCAAGGCTAGACAGACAGTATTCTGCGGGGCTGTATCGGCAGCTGCCTTTTTCGTGCCTTCTTCTGTCATTCACAATGAATCCAAGAGAGCATTCTACCAAGATCTTGAAGATGACTTGACGGTGACAAACGGTGCTGCTAGTAACAACAAGTCGCTTCTAGATGAACAACTTTATACCCCAGCTAAGCACGACAACTTGGAAGTCACTTATACCGATGGCATGACCATTGCCTCTTCTAAGTTCCTCGAACAGAAGCTCAATGTCTTGAGAAATTGGACCATTGGCCATTTGGACTATTACTTCTACGAATATGAAACTGCTAAATCATCCATGAACAACGAATTGGATGCCCTCAAGACCAAATATCACTCTATTGTGGCTGAACCAGTGTTGCCTAACTTGATCTATATCTTGACTGGGGCCCTCAGCGGTTCAGTGATGGTTAATAAGAAAGCGTTACCAATAAGATTTATCACTCCATTGATATTTGGTTCCGCTTGTTATGGATACTTCATGCCAAAGAGTTTTGACAACACCAGAGCTAATGTGTGGAATTACGAAAAGGAAAACTTCCCACATTTTGCCAAGGGTCACATTGAATTTTTGATCAAGATGGAAAAAAACAAGAAATGTATGGAAAAGAAATTGGAGAAAACTAACCAGTGCTTAATCAAGAAAGTACACTGCACTAGAACAGCTGTGAAGAAATTCTTGGATTTTTAATTTTGCATATATATAATAATAATAATAAAATGAATGGTTTGCTGTGTTTGGAATTCTAGGACTGTAGGTATTTATGAGATGATGTGTTGTGGGGATGAGGATTTATTTGACACTCTGAATAGAATTTTATCTGACACTTTGAATAGGATGAATTAGCCAAAGCAGATAAAAAATAAGTACCATATTTCTTTTTACCCTTTTTTTTTTTTTTTGTTTCTGTATCGACTTGGACAGTACTGGCGAGCTCTTTCTATGTTTCCAGAGAAACCAGATGAAGTTCAACTTTATCGCAATGATTTCTCACCATTTCATAACGCATCGCTGCACAACAGCTTACAAGGAATTTACAAACAAAATCCTTTTCCAAATAATAATGTATAATTTAAAAATACAAATAAATAGCTGTTTCAATGATGAATAGGAAATAAATATTCCCAGTACTTAGGCATTATGATGATTTCAAGTATTACTCCCCCACCTTTTCTTCTTTTCTGTTGCCAACCACCTCCATGGCATTCCTTCAACAAGAATAATCTTCCAATAGTTACTCAGTGTATTCTCTACTTTGTTCTGATGTGCTTCAAAGGACCCTTAGAATAGAAGAAGTTGTCGGAGTACTCCTTCTTTCTGATATGTCTGTGCTTTGGTTCTTGAACGTAGTAGGTCCAACCTTGGCCCTTAGCGAATCTAATAGCAGATTCCAAAGTATCGAACTTGACAGCCCAAGCTTGCATGTAATCAGAACTTCCTTGGTAACCCATAAGATCATTTTCCCAGCGGTTACCTTTGCCCAAGACATCCCAATCAATTCTCCAGAACTTCCCGTTATTGTGAGCAGATTGCATGGCAGACTTCGCCTCTTGGTAAATACGCACTTGACGTTCAGTGACTAATTCTTTTGGAGCACCGCTTATGATTTCCTTTGGGAGTTCTTGTTGTTGTTCGGTGAGCGATACTTCGTTAGTGTCTTCTTTGGTGATCACGTCCTTGACGGAATAGAATCTTTGGAATTGGAGTGGACGCACCGCAGTACCGGTTAGCGTGGATCTCTTAAACACTGAAGGAAACATCTTGCAACTTTTAGATAATAATAATAGTAATAATCGTGCTTGCAATGTCTATTGAAGTTGGGTCTGTTCTACTCTGCTTATTTCTGTTTAATATCGGCACTTTGGTTGGCTGAAAAAAAAAATGTACAAAATTGATATTCACGTGATTATGCTCTTCATTATCACACACCCAAAAAAATAAAATAATAATAACAATAAAGGTAATCGATGAGGTGGTGGTGATAATAATAATAATAATAATAATAATAATTCAACAAGCAAAAATCATGTCTTTTGTCAATTATGATGTGGAGGCACAGAAGCCTGACGCTACTCATAGAAGCTCGTCAGTGATCATGGACCTTTCCAAATCAATCACGAACTTTGCAACAAACTTGACCAATCTAGAGAAACTCAATCGGCAAATCGGCACCAAAAGAGATGGGATTCAGCTTCGGCAGAGGATAGAAAGTGCTTTGGATAAGGAAACTGATCAACTTAATACCATAAAAGATAAAGTGTTCAATTTACAACTTGTATCAAAAAATAACGCCTCTAATGATCAAGAGGAATTGATAATTGGCAAACTTCAAAAAGAGTTGGGGATTATAACGGAAAACTTTAATTCATTGAAGAGAAAATACGATGAGAAGAAAAATTCCGCAAGTATAAATGACCTTATTGATGTTATTAATGACGAGGAACTGAACAATGCTGCCCTTGGTGAGGAAGAACAAGAAGACGAGCCGTCAGAAACAACAGGGCTCCTTCAACAGCAGCAACGGCAACAAGAACAGGAACTTATCAATCGATATGATATGGATTTCCATCAGTTACTTGTCCAGCAAAGAGAAAATAACATTTCGGAAATTCAGCAAGGGGTGGAAGAAATCAATACCATCTTTAAAGACATTAATTCATTGGTGTTACAACAGGGCGTGCAGGTGGACACTATTGAGAATAACTTGACCAATTTGGCTAACGATACTCAAAATGCTGCTCAAGAATTGACCAAGGCAAATAATTACCAAGAGAGAAAGAGCAGATGTAGCTGTATTATATTGGTAGTGTTATCTGTGGTTGTGTTGGTGATCACTTTGGCAATTATCAGCTGAAGACCGTATTATATTTATGATTTTTGGATTGTCAAAAATTTGTTTTTTGTTTTTAGAAATTGTTTGTTATTTCATTTGTGCTTGCTTTTTATTTTATTTGTCTCTCTATCATCATATTATTTGCTATTATTTATTTTGAACGTGTTGGGTTTATTGTTTGTTGATCATCTATGAATTTCCTTACAAACTACATGATGTAAATGAGAGTGAGTGAATTCAGCCATGAAGCAGCTAATTGCTTACTGCCAATACCAAAAATGAAATAAAAATAGAAAACCATAACCCAAAGAAGGAAGAAAAAAGCAGAAAAGGACTTGAAGAAAATAGCAAAAGAGCGTACAATGAAATATAATATCGGTTCAAAGTGTTGAATTAGTATGAAAAATCAATTGGTCAAACTTCCCGGAAGATTTCTCCGAGGCACAAAAAATTGGGGATTTTCTTCGTGTTCGACAAAACCATAAGAACTGGCGGTGGTTTCACTATTTGTGGTTTCACTATTGGTACTTGTTAAATCATCCTCGATTTCATGCCACAGCCTACCAAGGGAATCATTGTGAAGATGTCTTAAATTGATCCCGTCATCGGCTCTGACGTTATTGATTGCTGAGCTTCTTGCTGCTTCACCAACAATGTCATTACGATTATTTCTTTGGCTCTGCTGGTTCACTCCGCCATCAGAAATGATCCAGATATCGTCTTCGGGATCATCGTGGAATACTGATGAATCACGGCGGTTAGTGTAGTGGTCTTTTTCATCGATCGACTGGGTTTCTGGATCACTATATTCAAATATCTTGTTGTGAGAGCTTTCTTTCTCGCTAGCATAGACTGGGGGGACACTGTGATCCTGTTGTTGTTGCTGCTCGTGGCTTCTTATTCTGGCTTTTCGCTTGTCCATGACTTCTTTGATCCCAAACTTGATGTCTTGCAAAGTGCATTTGATGTCATCGACTTTGGAATCAAACTGATTTCTGACGGCATCGTTGTTGTGGTATATTGCGAGACCAATGCCGAAGGCGGCACAACAGCCTATGGCGATAGGGATGTGAGGGGACATTATAGTATTGATTGTATATTAGAGTACATATAACAGTATCAAGAAAGAGAGTAAGACTATATATTTCACATAGCGTTGCTCATCGCCACCACCTGCCTGGTGTGTGGATGGGATGAGACAAGGGGAGCGAGGGAGAGGCGCACGCGGTGGTGCACAGATGTAGGGGTGTTTTTCCAGCTTCCCCTTTTTTGCCCGCAGTGGTTTTTTTTTGGCTGGCGGAAATTTTTTTTTATTTGTTTTTCTTTTTTCTGCTTATATAATCGGCGGCCAGTATTACTCTTACATTTATATATATAGCAGGGAACTGACTATTTTTATCATTTACCATATCATCCCCCCCATAACAATAGACACATAGATAGATAGATATATTTATCATACATACCATGGACTTCCCGGATCTAGACCCTGACAAGAACTTCAACCTCAAGTACTCCCACAAGACCCCTTCCAAACCCAAAGTTACCCCTCAGAAAACCGTGGATATCCCATCACCACCACCATCATCAGATAATCTCCAATACATTGTTAAGCCTACCACCATCCACTACAATGAAAAATATGATGAAAAACTTACCTTGGCCAATAATGCTCAGCCAAAAAAACCAGTAAGAAAATTATTTGCCAGATCTAATGTGTTGAAAATGTTGTTGGCAGTATTTGTATTGGTGAACACATATACCTTGTACGTGCTTGGAGCTACACACCCTAGACACTACCAGCCGCAAAATACCCCTCAGAAGTTCTTTTCCAATGTCGTTCATAATCCTCTCTCTTTTCATGCCCACAGAGCTAATGACTCTTTCGTGGAAGATGGCGACCATTCCAATTGCGCAGAACGCGAAATCTCTCATGCAAACTCTGTCGACGTCAGTAAGGAAAAAGCTTACATTTCCTTGGTTGTTAGAGCGGAAAGTAGCAGTGGAAATGGAACTGTCACCACTAGTGGATCATCTTTTAGTTCTTCTGCAATTATCAGCTCCACTAGCTCCACCACCCCAAGCTTGATAGCTTCTTCTTCTTCTTCCTCTTCTTTTTTCTCCTCCTCTTCTTCTTCCTCTTTCTTCTCCTCCTCATCACCGGTCATCACCACCAGCTCTTCATCATCTCATTCATCAAGTTCAGTCTTTTCACTGACTTCTATCACTTCCACTCACTCCCTATCTTCTTCCTCTTCCTCATCACCATCATCGGTTTTTTCAATCGCTTCTTCTACTAGCACCACCTCCGCAAGCGCATCTTCGTCATCATCCCTGTCACCATCTAGATCCTCAACTTCTTCCAGATCCTCAACTTCCTCTGCAACATCATCATCATCACACCGTGCGTCTACTACCACCAGTGACAAATCTTCTACCATCACTAGTCATAAATCTAGCACTTCGGTCTCTGGTGGAGTCACTTATATCTATGCCGGCACCACCACCGAAACGTATGGATCTGGTGGAGCACGGACCCTCACTTTAACTTCATCCGCTACTTCTAATCCTTCACTTTCTACCGAATCCACCACCACTTCTAAAGGTCTTTCCTCAAAAAATAAGAAGATCGTCATTGGTTGCGTGGTGGGGATTGTTGGAGGACTTCTTTTCTTTGCGGCGATCGTGTTTGCGTACTTCCGTTTTTACAAACAACGCAAAGATGAACGGTTCATCAACTCTGAAGGGCTTTGGGTCACTCGTAATGGTAACCCCGATGAAAAATTGAACTCGGCTCATAATTCGCCAAGCAACTTGGCTACCGCTTCGCCATCTTGGAAATTCTGGGGTCGTCAAAATAATGGTGGTAACCCTGGTGACCATCATAGTGCCATGGGAGTTAAAAGCCCAGTATTGGATACCCATGATAATGATACTGATGAATTTGTATTCAGAAACGGTCACGGTACCACATCTCCTACAAACCGTTACACTCAGGCTTTCTGAAGAAAAAAAAAAATGAAAAAAATAAAAGAATTTAGTTATTTTTCATCTTGCGTTATGTTTTGAATTTTTTTTTTTTTTTTTTGCACTGTTATTCACTCGTCTTTGATTTTCTACTCTCTCTCTCTCTTTCTCATGTTGTTTTATTCTAACCAAGTTTGACATACCTGGTATCGCACACTATTTAATGATATACTTTATACCCTTTCTTTGATAGCTCTTTTTATTATTGTGATAATTGGTCTATTTCGTCTTTTCATAATGTTGGATGATTTCTAATACTTCTATATTCTAAATTTTATCTTGCATCTCCCCAATAATCAATAAAATCCTCATTTTTCTCTCTCCCATTTAGTTTTGCTAACAAGAAAAACTGAAAATAAATAATCGAAAATCTTTCTGATTTGGGTTGTTGTTTTTTTTCAATGTGATTTGAAACACAAGAGTGCTACTGATAATTGTAAAAGTAATTATGAAAAAAATTCAATTGGTATCTTCTAAACTATTACAACTTCTAAAGCAGCAAGAATCCTGAATCGAAGATCTTAACAATAGCTTTTAGAATGGGGCCGTCAATGCTTTACAAAAAAGTTTCTAGAAAGATTCTATAATTGGAATGTATATCAAGATATAATGATAAATGAACAACTGATAAATTTTAAAAAAAAATAATAATAATGACAATAACAATAACAGAATAATAAGAAAATAGATGGAGAAAAAAAAATGATTAAGAAATGAAAAACAAGCGATTAAAGATCAGTCTATCAGGAAAAAAAAAAAATAGAAACAATGCACTGAAACGAAACTCTTCTGCAAGAAAGAAAAATACAATAAATAATGAAAAAAAAAAAATGTATGGGGAATTTAATCATTTGGTTAACCTTATCAAACAGCTCAGGATACAGAATACAGGCGCCGAAATCAAGTGAATAAGAAGAACAATCGCTCCTGTGGGAATTACTGAGAAGTCTCAGCAGCAGGTCTGTTCAAGGTGGATGATAACACTTTATTCAACAACACACTTCCACTACCAGGTATTCCGACTAGTTCACTCTTACTATTATTGAATTCATACAACCGATTGAAACTTCGCAGACGGTTCATTGATCGACGATTAGCCCTATGACCAACGGTTTCCTTATTCGAGATCACCATATCCTCACCAGGGAATGACCGACTTAGATTATGATACTGCAGTTGTTGCAGATCATTACCGGCCTCTTCCAAAGCTGGGGCTCGGGTTTTAGGAATCATTAGAAATTGGGTATCGATGGCACGATCATTATTGAAAATAATGTTCTGAGACTCATTGATTGAAGTGCTATGTGAAAGTACCAGGTCTGTTGATTCAAGTTGGTTGGTATAGAAATCGGCTTTGGCAGGAGATTGGTTCAAGGAGTCAGTAAGAATGTTATTATGGCCATGAGATACTGAGACGGCACTGAGCAAACTCATCTTGCTATCTTTTTTACCCATAATCCTCGATGGTTGATTTGGGTTTGGAATATGCAACGATGGCACTTTAAATTGGAATTCCCAATATTGGTGGCTGTTACGTTTGATGTCGTCGTTGTTTTCAGTGTTCATTGAATAATATTTGGTGGCCCCCAATCCATTTTGTGGGTAGTTATCAAAATGACTGATACCGGTCAAGAAATTATCATTAGTTTCCAGCACTTCTGAGAAATTCAAATGATCTTGGATGCGTCTTTCTTCATCATTACTTATGTCTGCAGGGTTTTTACTCCCCCCGGCAATTAGAAACACGCTAACAAATGTTAATACACAGCCCACGAAGAATAACACCACTTGCCATGACTGTTTGCCGTTTTGATCTTTGAAAACTATAGCTGAACCCGTCAACACAGAAATCGTAAAAAACACAAAATGGGTAGGAATGACTTTTGTCGATGTTTCGATCCGTAAACTGTTGTTAAGGTACTTGATTTGACAAATCGCCGTCAACACAAGTACCATCAATAAATAATAGGTCTGTATTCCCGAAAGAAGTTCGTGAGCAGAACCCGAGAATTCAATAAGGGTGGATAAACATTTTGTGGCCATCGCGGTATGGGCTCCAAATATCGCCACTAATAAAATATTGCCAAAAGTGTACAAGTTTTTTATCTTTGTGGTACCGTTTTTCTGGAGCTTATTTTTCAACAAATCTAATTGGAAAATCAATATTCCGGCAATGAAAAGGGTAGTGATCACGTAGTATAAATAAGATGGAGATGTCAAAACCTCATAAATAAAATCGGCAGCGTTTTTCTCTGGGTCTTTGTTGCCATTATTGTCACCACCATTGCTGTTTATCGAGGAAACGATGACCAAAAGCACGCCAAACGACGCCAACATCGTGGCGGTTAAATCACGAAGTCTCAAAGGCTCATGGAAAATGAGAGGAGCAATGGTACAATTGGAGATGATGGTGATGATTCCGAGCGGAGATACAACGGATACCGGAGCAAACCCATAGGCGATGAAATTACCAGACTCGCCGATGGTCATTACCACGGCCCCTAACCACCAGTAAGGACTGCCTAAGTAGTTGGTTTCTAATTTTTTCAAATCGGTGGTGGTGGGTGATAAAACAGGGGAATCCGATGGTGATGATAGTCCTCCTCTTCCTGCTGCTAGAAGTCGCGTCGCTTCAGTCGGAGTTTCCGGGATAGCACTTTGTGGTTGTTGAAGCCTGGTATGGGCGTACTTCTGGATGTTCAAGGCTAAGGAGATGAGGAAGTTTCCTACCACAGAGCACACGATCCCAATGAAGGTGTAGCTTAGCATTTGGAGAGTTTTGTTCCCGAGACCCGGTATACGTAGTAGTTGGAAATGGCTAATGATACACTGGCAAGGGTTCTCTTCTTTTTATTTTCGATCGCGGTGGTTTCTTGGTAGGTTCTATCGGTGGTGAGGATTGATTTCAATGGTCATGTAGTAATAATAACGATCAATAGTAAAAATAAGATCTGTATAGCAGAAGGTAGAGTTGATAAATATCTCAAAAGAGAATAAAAAAAAAGTTCGCACAGGAAGCCCTGGAACGCTGCCGTTTGTGACATATCTTGTTCCTCCTTTGCTACTTTATCTTGGTAGATTACCAATTTATCTTAGCACAAATCATTTATATATATATACACATATATATATACATACATCCAATTTCTTCCAAGCTGTTTATTGCTACTCCCCGAAAGTTCCTCATCGGTCTCATCCTCTTAGCCCTGGTTGCCGGTGTCTATCAATACTCCCGTGTGGCAAAATATATCACCACCGTCATGTCTCAAGAAGATCCAAAATTCCAGAATGACCCCAACTTTGACAACTCAGTACAGGTCCATTTCCCCAACGGTAAAAGTGTTCCATTGAGCAAAATCAACAAGCCTCATGCCAGAATCCCTGGCCACACCGTACCAGGAAAGAATGACGATCCACAAGAGTTTTTCGAGAAACAAAATGATGCTCATCACCACCAACAAGACCAAGCAGTACAAAAAGATCCATTCGAAGGACTAGGCCCAGATGATATTAAGGTGGTTTTCCCAAATGGAAAATCCGTGCCATTATCGAAAATCAATAAACCGCATGCGGTGATTCATCCTCATTCCCGAAGAAGCAATAATGATAATTCAGGAGGATTACTTCAAACAGGCAATCACCGACCAAAAAATCCATAATCTTTCAACACTTCACTGTATATAAACAGCATTTTGTGGTATTCCATTTTGCTTCGTCCCTTATGTCCTTTTCTCTTATGTCTTTTTTCTCCTATGTCTCTTTCTCTTATGTCTCTTTATCTTACAAGTCTTCTCTTGCAATAATGTATGGATTCCAATATAACATTTAAAGAGCAGAAAAATAAAAATAAAAATAAAAATAAAAATAATAAAAATAATGATAATAATATACAAAGAATGAAACTTTCAAACACCCAAAAATACCAAATGTTGAACTAGTGAAGATAAGAAAACTCCGAGTTTCTCTTTTACTCGGCATTTCTCAAATTTCTCTTCTGTTGGGCAAGATTCTTCTTGATTAACTTCTTTCTTTCACCTCTAGCCAAAGATCTTGGATCAATGAGTTCTTTATCAGTGCCAACATGCTTCTCATCCACTTCCACCAACCATTGGTCATCCAACTCCTTGTTCTTACCCTTGTAGCCCCATTTATTGACCCATTCGCCTTTCTCTTCATCAAACATTTTCTTATCATGGCTCTTAGTCTTGTGTATACCCTTCTTGATGGCAAATTGTTCCCATTTGGTCAAAGGTTTTGGCTTAGGCAATGGTTTTTCTCTTGGAAGATCTGTAGTTGGAGCAGGCAATCTGACCAATGTCAAAGAAGAATCCTTCCCATTAGCGGATTCGGTGGTGGTCTTGATTGGCAACAGCAAGATCTGGTTAATCATTAGCTGGACATTGTCTCTATTAAGATCGGCCAAGTATTGTTCCTTGTTTTGTTCTAGCTGGGAAGTTTCCACAGGGTTAGGATCAAAGGTAGCCAAGTTACCCAAGTCAAAATTCACTGGGATTGGTTTGTCAACGGTGACTGGCTTACTGGATAATGGTGGTTAGTATTGAAGATAATTTTTCAAAAGCAGATACATATATATATAGCAAAACAAAGCACTATAAATACTAAGTGAAACAACAAAAATTAAATATCACATACTATTGAGGTTCAGCTTTGCTCATTGTTATTGGTTATAATAATAATGAATGATAATAATAATAATACTAATATTCTATAAAATGTCAATAAAACAGTGGAATTTGATTTAAAAAAAAAAAAAAAAATTTTTTGTACCTCATCTTAAGAAAAAAAAAAAATTGCACTCTATGGTCGGAAGTCACGCATTATGCCCTCGTATTTCCAGCATGCATACATTTTCATAAATGAATCAAACCAACAGTTAATAATAAACACCCTAGAATCAATAACCCATCACTAAATAGTCACCTTTGATATTTCCCCATAGAATACACTTTCTTACCATCATTGCACCACTTTTCACTCACAATATAGAGAAAACTCGCCGATAAATGTTGGACAAACTCTTCTAGAAAATGGTTAAATATTGGAAGTTTCTCCAACATCAAATTCTCAATGGTGATGCATCGCTGAGCTTGAACTGAATTACTATCCCCGTATAATGATTTACTATCAATTATCAAAAGTTCACTCTCCATATCGTTGAGACCTTCCAGTAACTTTTTTTGTTTGAAATGCTTTCTTGATGATTTATTGGTTCGTTGGTTCGATTGGATGTATTTATGATAATTGATTCTTTTTTCACGATCTTCATTGATTAACCTTCTAACATTGTCACATTCTCTAATACATTGCAATACCTTCATGAGAATATTATTGTTCATCATGATGATAACTTTCTTCAAATGGTTGTTCTGCAATTTGACCATTTCATGATAATTACGCTGCTTATTGGGATCGAGGTGCTCAATAGCCAACACCAGGATAAAGTCCTCACAAATCAATACATTCCGCTTCATTAATGTATCCAATTGTTGCATGAAATTAAGAATATCCTCTTGAAGCTCTTTAACCTTTTCGTACTTATATTTGAACTCAATCGCCAAGTTGACAAACGTTTTTCTATTGGCAGGGACATTCTGGAGTTTGGACAGTTCAATGTGAAACGCGCTCAAGTTCTTGGCCCTTCTCAGTTTATTCTTTGGTTTCAACTCAGTACTACCATCCTCATTAATGATCCCTTCCGAATTTTTTTCATCTTGGCTAGATGATTTCGAAATGAATGTTTTAATCGACAATTCTGAAATTGATTTGGAAATTTGGTGATGGGTGTATTTGGGAATGGAAAAATTATTGGTATCATTAATCTTTTTCGGGATTTTGTTGAATGGGGATTTGAAACTATGTCGATGAGAATTGATATCATTGGTGATTTCCTCGATAATTTTCCGAGACCTTTCCAAATTCATGATTGGTTCTTTATTGAATAGCTGTGGTGATTTCTTGGTGTGACTGATCAATTGGTCGATCAATATTTTGTACTTGAGCAATCTTTGTACTGGCTTGATCATCAAGCTTTCCAAGTCCCAGGCAGAAGTCCCTGAGGTTTGAGAAATGATGGTGCTTTCATGATACCATTTACCAAACATTGGCCCCCCGGAAATATTCAATTTATCTAACAATAATTTTTGACGAGCTTTAGAATTCTTGATAAACGCGGCGTAATTGTCAGAAAACCTATACCGTGCGCCAGTGAAATAATTCAAAAGGAGTTTGCCGACGTCTATCTCGCTTGTTTTCATAGTGGTAACTAATTGTTTTAGCTTCTCCGAGGTGAGGTTATTCGCTGAAAATTTTTCGGATATGAACGAGTTCAAACTGCTTTCTTTCGAGACCAATGATAATAGCGTCACACTTTGATCCCAATCTACTTGACCTCCCAATTGTTTGAACTCCCCAACCGCCAGTTTCATAAACCCTTCACACATATCGGCAATATCTTCAACATTTCCAAATAACAAATTCTTATCATTCTCACTCAAGATGTACCGGTAAGTATCCTGATCAAGTCCTTTATAATACACATCAACGATGATTTTGAGATCGTTATAATATGCTAACTCAGTGTCAAAGAGTTCAAGGAGACATCTATCATATAATGTCAACAAGTTAGGATCCAGACCAATATCCATCAGTTCCCTGTAATCTTGGTGGGAAAAAATTGATTTTTCTGGTGATGGGCTAGATGTTGGGTGGTGTGTATCGTAAATCACCGAAAATGCCCCCGGGATCCTTGGTGGAGTTTTTGGCAATTCTTTGGAATCATTATGTTGCTTTTTTTCTGAAGATTGGATAGATTTTGGTTTCACAATGGTGGAAATGTTCACGGGTTTAAGCTCAATAACTTTCGCTGGGGTAGCCAAAGCTTCTTGTTGCACCGGTTCTATTGGGTTTTCATTCTCGTCCTCCGAAAAACTTTCATTCTCATCTATCATTTGAATATCATCTGATAAGATTTTTTTGTTGCGAGATGAGCAATCTTCTGGTTTGATTTCGATTATTTGATTATTGGTGAACTTAAAATTATTGCCCACGTAATCGTCAGTGAATTTTGGGAACTGAAACTTGAACTCTTCAAATGGGGTTTTATAAGGATTGAGGTTGGAAATGGTGTATTCAGAAACCGTTTCGGGATCGGTGGTGAACTCTTTAGTGATAGAAGTAAATGATGAGGATTGGTGATGATCTTCAATCTTGAGAGTTGGACTGGAAATTACCGTTGATTGCACCAACGATCTGGGGATCTTGATTTTAGATTGAAAGTTCTTGTAATAAATCATACTATTCAATATCAAATTGGGGGCAGTGAACCGTGAATCTTCCAATTTCAACGACCTGGGTCTCTTTTTTGCTCCATCGTATACCAAATCCCGTTTATCGTTCACGTCCTCCCAATTCGGGAAATAATGATGCTTTTCACCATATTTTTCAGACCCAGAATTCTCGAAATACTCATTATAGATCTCATTTCTCCAATTGTCATTCTTCAACCAGGTAGGACAATATTTATCATCTTCTGCTGTCGTAATGTGATGTCCATCTTCATACATCACTACCACATTGGATGGGGTGGTCGGGGATAAGTTGAGTTTCTTATACGTTGGGGTTAGGCAAATGACAATATTATCGAGGAAACTTGGTCGGGTAGGTTTTGAATAATCAGAGTATTTGGATGAGGAGACAGAAGTCATTGAATGTCCGTAAGATTGCAGTGCCATCATACGCCGAATTGTTAACAATAATATAGATATATCAGTGATATAAACAAAATCGAAGATTTTAGAAGAAAGAAAAGATGAGAAAAGGAGAAATATTTTGAGAAAACTGGATCTTCGGTGATTAACATGGTTTCTGGAGCAATCACTGGATTTTCTTTTGACAGGTAGAAAAACCCTGGAATGCTGCAAAAAAAAAAAAAATTAAGTGGATTATTTCAACGGAGGACATTGTCTCGTCTACTAAAAAAAGAAATCTTTGATAAGAGATCTGAGTGATATTAGTCATTTATTTCAGGGGTTTCAGCTGAAAATTATTTATATATAAACACATAAATTAAGGATAGTGATGTCAAATGTGTGGGAGTGCCTGCCTGCCCTTATTCGTTACACTAAGATCTTCTCTTGTCTAGGAGATCATTACCTCTATTAACTGATTTGTTAATATAAAATTTTTAATCATTTAATGAGAAAGTACAATATTGTATTTATTTTGCTATATATTTCGATTTTTGACATTTGATGTTTATGGAACATAGGGTAAACGACCCCATATTAGGGCATCTCACTCAAAAGAAAATAAAAACTCTAGAGACAATTTTTTTTTTTTTTTTTTTTTTTGGAGGGGGAGATCAAATAGATAAGTTACAACCCATCGATAGATATGGATCAAAAGGTGACTATAGGGGATTTGCAGCTAGAATCTGGGGATGGAAGATATCCCAATCAATACCCTAACAAGTTTCAATGTCACAGCATCAATTGTGTGCTTCTTAATGTCAACTCCAAAAGTTTCACCCGACCATTAGCCCAGCTATACTTCACAGATTTCCAACATAACTCATTGATTAGCCCTCAAGGGTCTAGTGATTTTGAATTCAGCTTGGGGAATGAGATACTTGTCCACCATCAGGTTCTTGCTGGACAAATGCAGTTTCGAAAATATAAGGCGTTATGTGCCGATCAACTACGATATTTCATGAGCTTTGGTACCAAAGAATATGATTCCACCCGCGATGTGGAGAGAGATCCAAGTCATGAAGGAACGTTGAAACGGCTATCACAAGACCGGGATAATTTCTTCAACTACCAAAGCATGGCGTATAACTACCATTTCGGGTTGTTTTGTAACATTGTAATTAGCAATTTGAAATCGTACCAAGGGGTCTTGGAGTGTGATATCGAATCATTAACGGTAATTGGAGACAGATGTTATGGCTGGACCCCTACCACCGAACAGCAACTAGTGAATAAATATGGATCGTCAATAATCGAAGTGATGAGATATTATTTGGCATTGGCTGGAAAGAAATATTTAAAAGAAAATCAACGATACTTGAAGAAAGCAGTACCCACAACATTATTACCATCATGGCTACAGCCTCCCGTTAGTATTGCAGAAGAGTCGCATAGTATGATGGATATAGAACTCGATAAGGTTTACAATTCTGGTGGAAATAATACTGCCAATGGAACTACAATAAAACCGTTAAAGAAAGATACTTTGCGGAAATTGGATGAGTTAGAAAAAGATGATTGTGGCAGCGATAATGAAAGTGATATCCTAGAAATCAGCGAGGATGAAATAAATAGGTCTTTGGTGACGGGAAGCCAAGAGTTCCAAGATTTTGCGACCATTGCTCCAGGGGATATTCAACAGATCAAGAATGATCCTGATTCACTTGAAGAAAACAAGGAGTATATTATTAGAGGCAAAATTGTGGATTTTAATCATGACAGCGAGGTGATTGCTTATAAAGATAGTATTACGGATATTCCAAAATTGAAAACCGTGAAGATTCTAATTACTGATGCGTTCAACGGTGACGAATGTGATAAAGAAGATCTTGTCCAATTTGAGATCTGCGATTCTAATACTCTTGAACTCGAACTCGATGCGATAGAGGATATTTTGGAGTTTTTTGAAGTTACAGAGATCGAAGAACTTTACGTGAAGCAAAGCGAGTTGGTGAAGAAAGTGGATTCACTTATCGAGCGGAGTTTTAGTGCGGCACATTTACATCAAAAAATTGAGTTTAAAGTGTATAAAAAGCCACATAAATCGTTGGGTTATTCATGGGGAGTTCGTGGTCTCAAAATGGGCCTATTGGGATGAGCATGATAAACGGTAGATGTATTATTTACGAATTTCAATAGCTAGGGTGTTTTTTTTTTTTTTTTTTTTTTTTTTTTATTTTTTTTTTCTTAGTTGACTAATGCAGATCAAGGATGTTAAAGGAATTTGAGGAGTCCGATAATTATGATAAAATATGTCATACAGGTAATTTATCCGTAGAAATCATAAAAAAATATCGCATGGTTAAGTTATGCGCGGTAGGCATAAGTTTCTAATTTACGGTAGGCAGAAGTTTCAAAATATAGACTAGCAATTTCTGATAGCCTTTTTTTTTTTTTTTTGTGAGTATGGGGTTGCTGTTAACCACTACCGAATTTTTTTGGGCGACGACGTGCATTAAGGATGGTGGTGATGATTATCACAAAAAGAACTGGAACTTTTAAGACTTACATTGCTGAAACATGTATAGGGTTACGGGGTATCACTTGAAGGATAAGTGGAGCAGCTATTTATAAGGAGAAGGAGCATGGTATATGAAGATGGAATGATTCTTATTCTTTAGTGAATAACAGTTGTTCAATAGTCATATATCGCCGTAGATTCGCGGCGTACGAACCCTGAAGTCGAAAAAAAAAAAAAGGAAAAGCCAATCAAAAAAAGAAAAAAAGAAAAAGAAAAAAAAAGGATAAATACTTCAGAACCAATAAAAAGCAGAGAGTTTATGCTGTAACCATGACTTGGAGATGCTGTGGATGTGCCAATGGCAATTTCGAGTCTTGTGTTGCCTGTTTTACCTGTGACCACAAGAAGTGTGGGCAGAGCTTACGGGAGCGAAGGAGATTTGCAAATGATACCAGTACCAAGTAGGAGATGAAATAAAATATATATTATATAGTAGGTAGAAACACGGTAATAATATAATGTAGTATAATATAATATAACATAAAACAACATAGTGTAATACAATACAACAAAGTAGGATAATAACCCAACATGACAGGTGACGCACAAAACTTCGGACTGCGACGACCGGCGGCGGTGATTCCACGTGCCGGAGCGGTGGGACCGCGCTTCCCCCATAAAAACAACAATCGATGAATTAATTTATCGCCACTAAAAAAACCCAACTTTTTTCTTCTTCTTGTTTTCCTATCAATATTTCATTTATATTGCCATATCACCCCAAAAACACAATGTCTTCTAACTCCCTCGAACAATTGAAAGCCGCCGGTACCGTCGTTGTTACCGACACTGGTGAATTTGAATCCATTGGCAAGTACAAGCCTCAAGATGCCACCACCAACCCATCTTTGATTTTGGCTGCCACCAAGAAACCAGAATACGCCAAGTTGATCGACGTTGCCATTGAATACGGTAAGAAGCACGGTTCCACTCCTGCTGAACAAGCTGATGAAGCCTTGGACAGATTGTTGGTCGAATTCGGTAAAGAAATCTTGAGCATCATCCCAGGTAGAGTCTCCACCGAAGTTGACGCCAGATTGTCTTTTGACAAGGAAGCCACCATTGCTAAGGCCAAGAAGATCATTGCTTTGTATGAAGCCGAAGGTATCAGTAAGGATAGAATCTTGATTAAGATTGCCTCCACTTGGGAAGGTATCCAAGCCGCCAGAGAATTGGAAGCCAACTATGGTATCCACACCAACTTGACCTTGTTGTTCTCTTTTGCCCAAGCCGTTGCTTGTGCCGAAGCCAAGATCACTTTGATCTCTCCATTTGTCGGTAGAATCATGGACTGGTACAAGGCCAAGACCGGAGAAACTTACACCGGAGAAACTGACCCAGGTGTGTTGTCCGTTAAGAGCATTTACGAATACTACAAGAAGTACGACTACAAGACCATTGTCATGGGTGCTTCTTTCAGAAACACTGGCGAAATCAAGGCTTTGGCTGGTGTTGACTACTTGACCATTGCTCCAAAATTGTTGGAAGAATTGCTTACCTCTGACGCTCCAGTTCCAAAGGTTTTGGACGCCGCTACCGCCAAGGCTTCCTCCGTCGAAAAAGTCTCTTATGTTGATGACGAAGCTGCCTTCAGATTCCAACTCAATGAAGATGCCATGGCCACCGAAAAATTGGCCGACGGTATTAGAAAGTTCTCTGCCGATGCTATTGTCTTGTTGGACATCTTGGAAAAGAAGGTTAGAGCTTAAGTGTGTATAGGTATTTTTTAAGTGTCTGAATTATATGGTTTATTGTTAGATTTATGTGTGTAAATTATGGGATGAATCAGTGTAGATTTTTTTTTTTTTTTTTTTTTTGATTTTCTTATTGAATAAGTCGCACCCTTGGTGTGTGACGGGGAAATAGCTGCCGGTTCCTCAATGCATGTAATGTAATGTAATGGAATATATGTAGACTAATACTGTTTTGAAACCCTCATAGTTCATGGTATGTATGCCATTACCATGTTTGGTTGGGTATTTGCTTCGTAGGCTCGATAGCCTATGAAGAAGAAATCACCTCGCCAAGTGCATCAACATTGCCGATGTCATTTCGTATCCCCTCTAGCTAGCTTATCGGAGGGTGCTTAGTTAGAAATATCATTTATTTATTATTCTCTTTGATTTATGATCTAATTCCTATTAGAGACTTCACCACCAATAGCCCATACATTGCTCATATGGTTTGAATCCTTTACAATTGTGAAGCTGCGAATTAGATCGTTACTACTGTCGATAGTGGATGGATATTTTGAAGACTGTGCAAGGGCACATATCAGGAGGAGTTTTTGGCGTGAAAGAGGAAAATGAATATTTCTTCTGTAGATGCTTTGGAATTAATATCACGTAGAAGACCATCGCAACCATTGGAAAGTTGATATTAGAGAGAGACAGAGAGAAAGAGTAAATAATATATATATCTAGATACTCCCAATGACGACGGCCAACGATGCAGAAATTGCGGATTTGTATCCTCCCCCTCCGCCGTACTACGAATTCTTCACCACGCAAAACATTGCCAAAGCAAATCAATGGATTAAACAACACGAAATCAAGAAAAACATTAATAATGGAGAAGAGGATGAAGATGAAGAGCAAGTTACAGAACAGAATTCGAATAATGATGGTGATGGGAAAACCAATAATAATAATGAGCAATTGAAGTTGCCGACTGGGACGTTCGCTAGTTATCCAGATGACGAAATCCGGTTCCTTTTACCGCCTCCTAAACCTGAAGGCCCAACGTATCGACTATTCGGTAACATTTGGCAATTTGAAGATAAAATGCCCAGCTTGAAAGAAATGGGGGTGGAACAATTGTACAATGACGATGTGAAAAATCAGGATGAAGTAGATGATAAAAATATGATAACCGTGGAAGAAGAAAAAGAAAAAAAAGAAGAAGAAAAAAAAGAACAAGAAGTAGATTCAAAAGATTTAGTGGAAAACCCCAATGATGAATTATCTGAAGAAGATCTGAACTCCTCATTGAAGCGGATTAACGAACTCAAGAAACTTTTCAAATCACTATTACTCAATTTCCTCGAACTTATAGGGATCGTTTCCAAGAATCCGACGCTTTATCCGGAGAAGTTGGAACAGATACGGATCGTGTTGATCAATATTCATCATTTACTCAATGAGTACCGACCACATCAAGCAAGAGAGCTGTTGATCTTGATGTTACAGAACCAAGTGACCGCAACCAAAAAGGAAATTGCGGAAATTAAGCGAGGGTGTCAGATGGTGGAGGAAAGATTGCCGAAAATTGTTGGGGAAATCATGAAAAATAATCAACTTAAAAAATCATTTGATGAGAAACATCAACCAGATGAAGAGAAGTCACAGAATAATGAATTGGTTACTTCGATCGATTCATTGAAGCTCGCGGCAGCAGACGATTTGTTGAAAGCTTTGGAATAGAAGAGTGGGTGGAGGATATATTATGTATTATAGAATATAAGTAACAACGACCTTGGTAAAGGCAATACGTAGGAAACGAGAATCATTAAAATAATAATAAAGATGAAAACATGCTATGTTATTACATAAAATACTAATATTATTAACACTGATAGAGAGAAAAAAAAAAAAAAAAATGAAAGAAAAAAAAAGTACAGACCCAAATAGAAATACAAGAAATTAGAAAGGTGAATATTGGATTATTAAATGGAAATCATCAGGGTGCCTCATTTTTCCAATGGCAATTGAGTCAACCGCAAATATGGTTTAATCACCCTGTATTTTGGAAACATCTCGTTTGCTTGCGAGTCAGTGATGGTAGGATGAATAATCACGTCATCTCCAGGAATCCAATTGATCGGAGTAGTCACTTTGTATTTATCACTAGTTTGTAACGAGTCCAACACTCTCAATACCTCTGCGGTATTCCTACCACACGATGCAGGGTACGAGATGATTAATCTGATGGTTTTCGATGGATCAATGATATATACCGACCGTATTGTCATTTGCACCCCTTTATCATCGACATTGGTGGCGTCTTGATAATCAATTTGGTCGTACAATGTCGCGATTCTCCGTTGAGGATCAGCAATAATTGGGAAAGTCAATTTAGACCCGGTGATCTCGTCGATATCCTTAATCCACGCTTGGTGCAACTCGACAGTATTAGCAGAAAGCCCCACGAGTTTTGCGTGACGCTTCGTGAATTCATCCTCAATTTTCGAAAAGGCTCCTAGTTCAGTAGTGCATACTGGAGTAAAATCATCAGGATGGGAGAAAAACACGAGCCAGGAATCCCCCATATATTGGTAAAGATCGATGGGACCTACTGAGGTATCGGCTTGGAAGTTTGGGGCGATCGAACCGAGTCTCAATCTGCCATCTTTTGGAACAGGAAATGAAGAGGCCATTCGTTCTTTTTTTTTTTTTTTTGTATCAGATTGTCACAGTGTTTTTCGTGATAATATTTTGAACAATAATTTTTTTCTGATTGATGGGGTTAATTAACCAGCGGATTTGAGCTTATAATTTTTCCCTTATTTTTCATCATCACCATCACGTGGAAAAGAAAGAAATGTGGATTATTATTAGATGAAAAACACAAAACTTGGTGCAAACCACTATTGATTATTATATATTATATTATTACAATTAGAAGAGTTGGAATATGAAGGATGATATCCCTATCAAACTAGATCCTGGTCTAGTCACTCAAAGCTCGTTCAAGGACGCGTTCCAGGTCAATCCAGAACTGCTTCTGCTTTTCCAAATCTTGGGAAGAATCAATCATGAACGATCAGAACAGTTCTTGGGGTTGACAGAGGAAGAACTTGCTAATGAGGTGATGAATGAGAAAATCGACGAAAAATTGCGTCGACAAAGAGAACAAATGGGCGATGGTCTGGGGAAAAGTGATAAAGAACGCTTTGTTAATGTGTTTGAAGACGTCAATGAAGAATCTTTGGCAAACATCACCGGCGATGATGGCGATCAAGAGCTCATCGATAATGACCAAGAATTAGAACAAGAAGAAACCGAAGAATCATTATTGAAGAAACTTGCCATCGAGAAAGAAAAGCTCCTGCAATTTCATAAAAACAAAGGCGAATTATTAAAGTTACTACAGTCTTCGCTCAATGAAGCGTCGTTATCCCTTGATTTTGTTTCTTTATTGGTGACCTCAGTCCGGCCCAACGTTGGGAAAACTTCGATGTCGTCACATTTGAAACAATTTGTGCCATTGGGATCGCTTAATCTGGACCGAATCGGTATTGACGAATCAGCGACCCATGGGAAATTACAGAATGTCGAAGTGAATCAAAAAGCCCTTGTTAGTTGGAAGATCGATAGTTTGACCCGGATCATTGAAATGGTCAATCAAAAGTCCAGGAATCTTGTGGTTGAAGCTGGCAAAGAAAAACGGTATTTCCAAGACTTGCACAAGTTATCGATCACCAAGAGTTTGAATTACGAGAATGGTAATGAGAAGCAATACGAGGAAGTGTTGTTCAAGATTGGTGAACGGGAAATTGGTATCAAATACGGGTACCAGGACTCAGGGCTGAGGTATCGATTGGATCGTGGGGTGGCGGCATTGGAAAAACTGAAAGGCACTGGAGAATTAGCGTTCCGACATCATAAAGCAGGGACGGCCACCACAATTATGAATAAGATCATGGTGAAGATTTTTGAGAAAATTGATGGGGAATTTGCCATGGTGAGCGAATCTAAAGTTAATAATAATGATGATGATGATGATGATGAGGTCAATGAAAATATGGAAACTTGGCAGAAGGTTCAATGGGAGATCAAACGGGCTAGAAATCTAGTATTTGAAGAGGAGCTATTTTATCAATTGATCAAAGAGGCCAAGGTGTTATTGCCATATGGAGCAAAAATTGTGTCAAATCGCAAGATATCAATTGAATTGGAGGATCAATTGATTGAGATTATTTATGTGACAATTGAGAAAGATGGATCAGAGAATGTAAAGAAAGATGAAAAAGACAAAAATGATAATAATAATGATAATAATAATTTGAAGGCGGATTATGTGGTTAATTTTCTTAAATTAATGTTATGCCACTATCATAAGACCAACGTTTACGAGACTAATAACAATGGGGTTGTTTCTGGTAACTTGATTCCTTTATTATTACGGCCACTTATTGGGAAATTCAACCATGAACATTTCATGAAGAGACTTATTAGACATTTGATAGATTTGTATAGACAAGAGGATGTTGGGTACCAGCCCAAGGTTATTGATGACCAAGGAAAGGTGATTTACAGTGTGCCAGGGTTTGTGACGAATGTGGTGGAGATCAAGATAGGGAGGGATGAGACCCGCCATCAAGATGTGTTCAAGAAGGTGACGACACCTAGTAGATCAATAATCAGGATGCAATTTACCGGGAATGGAAAGGAGGCTGAGAAGCAAGAGGTGGTGGAATTGGTGGTAAAAACCTCTTCAGAGAAATCGTATTGTGATTGTTTGGTGAATTTAAAGTTGGCGGGGGTGTTAGACGTGAATTTCAGTGATGTCGTGGAAATTGGGAGATGCTTGAAATGGGTGACGACGCAATACTTCTAGTAGTCGCTGGGGGCTGCCCAGTCAAGACGGGGGAAACCGTTATGTAGGTGACATAACCAATGACACATGAACAAAACATGGCCATAGGGGTCCGTGCAATGCGGAAGGCAGTAGCCCTTGGTGATAATCTGTGCTAATATATATGGACTATGTGTGATATATATCTATAGTATATAATATGTATACATGAATACTAATGTAATATAAATATAACCACGAATGTAAAAATAAATAAAAAAAGTAGATTATATAGAAGTAGCAACCACCATAGCAGTCAATATATATATTTCTATACAACAGATAAAAGATCTCCGGCAGTCAAATGCCCGGAAAATTAAGCGAGGACGCGGAGGGCAGTGAACCTGTGCCGAAGGGTGCAGGAGGACTGCTTCCAGATTTTTTGAAGGGTTTTTCATTTTGTGATCCTTGCACTGGAAATTTTTTCAAATTAATTAATCTCTTGCTACTATAAATATATATAGATCTCTATATATAAAGTATGTCATCCCCAGTTTGTGTGGTTGTTGTACAAGTGTAACTTCTCTTACATCATAAGTGTACAGACATATCCTCATTAATGTATATACACCCATATACCAACCTCTCTCTATATATATAAAGATTGAAATCATTGCCTATTTATCACCACATCCAGATTTTTGTTTGCCAACCTACAACTTCTTAACCATTATGGATTCCACCTATTTAACCCTCTGCCAAAGAGCATCGGACTTGCTCAAATCCCACCCTGGGTATCGTGTCCTCATACTACTTGCTGGTCCTCCAGGATCTGGCAAATCAACAGTGGCAAGAAACGTCGCAGACTTGCTCAACCTCCAACATCGCAAGCAATTGTCATCCATTAGTACCGCTGCTTGTCACCCACCAATTGCCCAATATAATTCCAGTATCGCCAACTATTCCACTGCTAAAATCACTGAAAAACTATCAAGTAACAATAAGGATGGTCTTCCTCAGAAAAAGCAATGTTCCAATAGCCAGGTACAAATCATTGGCCAGGCCCCAGAAAACCTGATTACTTTGATGGTTCCTTCATTAGATGACAATGCTAATGCTAGTGAATTTGCCCAGGTTGTTCCTATGGATGGGTTCCATCTTCCTCGTCGAGTGCTTTCTCAATTCAAAGATCCGGTCACGGCGTTTGCGCGTCGTGGAGCCCCATTCACATTTGATGCCCCAATGGTGGCAATCCTTGCTAATTTGCTCAGATCCACTTGCGATGTGATTGTTTCTGATATTTGTCCTGATCCAATCTTTACCAATGAAGGGATTTCTCTTGACCCGCAGTTCCATAACCATGATGCTGAAACGTCGCTGATGACCAGTTCATCTCGCCAATCGGCGCATTCTAGTCTCTTCGAATTCGATAATGATCAAGCCTCGGTCGAATCCTTTGACGATTCTGATAATGAAGAAGACTACAATAATATTTGGAAACTTCGTCACGGTAGAACAACGATGATTCCGGATATTGTCATTCCAAGCTTTGACCATGCGGAAAAAGACCCTCGTGCTAATGGGATAACCATCAAGGCGGCCACTAAAGTGGTGATTCTTGAAGGATTGTACGTGTTATTGGATCTTCCATACTGGATGGATATTTCTGGGGATCAGCAGCATTCTGGAGTGGAATCATGGAAGATCAACCTCGATGAATCACTGGCAAGAACCAGAGTGGCCAAGCGTCATTTGCAAGCGGGAATCGTTGATAATTTACAAGACGGTGAGGCCAGGTACGATGCCAATGATTGTATCAATGGGAGGTTAGTGGATCGTCAGTCGAAAGCTGCTGATTTTGTGGTGTGTTCAAAGAATGAGTGAACTGTTCGATGTTATATATTGTATACTTATTATTCTCTACTATTTGGTTATATTATATTATTACTATTATTATTTTGTTATATTATTCTTTTTTTTTTTATTCTTTTTTTTTTTATTCTTTTTTTATTTATTATTACACTTTGTTATGAGGTTTTCTTGGGTTTTCAAATGTTTACGTGTTGTGTTGTTAATTTTCACTATTAATAGAGATTGTAGAATGCATCTTAATGATGGGCGATCGATAACGCCAATCTCATTAAACGAATGCCAATCTCCTTAAATGTGTGCAGATCTGCTTAAGCTGGTGCCAACTTCCTTAAACTTATGCCAATCTTCTTAAACTTGTGGCAATTGCCGTAGAGTGTGTGACAATTTCCTTAAAATACGTGAATTATTGCGACAATGTTTCAGTTTATTTCATTCTATTGTTTTGGAAAGGATTCACCAATACGCAACTCGTCAATAATGTTGACTAGATACCACTATAGTCAATGTTTTGTCATTGAATAAATGTTATGGATTGTCGGCCGATCAAGGACATTGCAGGGTATAGACAATAGCTTGATGACGCTTAGCGATGATTCACCACACAATTAGGATTGTAAACACCAGCAAACCCCGAATAAGATTTGGCAAATATTCCGGTGGAGAGCCTAAGCTGTACGGGGGAGTTTAGTTTCCCTTTCACCGTAATAGTCTACCACGTAGTGGAAAAAAAAAAAAAAAAAAATTCTTCGAAGATTACTGTATCGGGGATTAATGTCCCGGTCCCATTTTGGTATAAACTAGACGAAATGAAATGAGATGGAACATGAAAAGCTTTAGAAATTGCCTGGTATTCATAAAAAGAAAAATAAATACTATGTTGATTTTTGTTGACCATAACGGGCACTAACTTCTTCAACAGGGGGAACAATTTATACACTGGGCATTTATCGATAATTACGGAATGTTCCACAGCACGGGAAATCCACAAGTAGTGTTATCTAAATTAGTAGGGGAATCAACAATCGTGGAAAAACCGTGTCTGTGGCGCGTGCTCATTGGGATATAAGCTTTAGCACACCTGGAACAAATTTGGTTGATTGATTGATTGACCAAGTGAGCAAGTAACTAATTTAGAAATACCACCATTTCCGTACGCCGCGTTTCACATTACGTCAACCCTTCGGCGAGCACCGCACCTAATAGCGGAACCGACATGCCGATTCTTCCTCTGTAAATACGGAACATTAGAGAACAGGACACTAGCAATTTGTTTCTTCTAATTAAAGAATATTACAGAACATTGCAAGTGTAGCGAACTGAGACAAACAAAAAAAAAATTCTTCTGCTTCTTCTTAGTACATACGCCATGTACCCAATGATAACAATAATAATAATAATAACAATCGTAGAATACGGAACCCAAACGCGAGGAGAGTATATCCAAATACTGGGTGTCTTGTACATATATATATATATATATGCTAACTGGATGACATTTAGCAATTAATATCTACCCACCAACACCAGCTGACAAACACTCTGTGCAATCAATGTCCTCTCTTTGTTACGAATAACGTGGGTGGTCACGTGGATTTCCACAGATCTGTTAATTGCCATTCTTTTCTTTCTCTTTACTTTCTTCCTCTCTCTCTTTCCATAAATATTCTTATTATGTTCATTTAAATCCATCTTGATAAATAAAACAAAAGAAAGAACGATACCTCAGTGTGGTAGGAACCAAAAAAGCACGACAGTGCGAGAACACCTGAATGCCCCGAGTTTAAAGGAATCAAAGGTTGAACTATCAAAGATGTCACCACTGATAAGGTATCAAAGTCATTCCTGCTAGTGTTGAAATCACACCAATACCGAAATCATTGATCTCACCATTTCAGAAAGTGCAGATCAACTGTCCACGCTGGACTAGCTTCGGAGAATAATACAACCACTGACAACTCATCAAGATTCAACCGGATCTATTGACAAGCCTCGCTCACCAATAACCATAATAATAATAATAATAATAATAATAGCAACAATATATTCATCATGATATACCTACAATTGACCATAATCTTCTTTCTTATCCTCAATTCTATTACCGCCACGTGACAGAGCGCACCCGTTTTTTTTTTTTTTTTTTTTTCCTCCGCGTTGTCCAAAATTTTTCAGCTTTTTTGATCTGGTGAAAATGTCCTATCTGGCTTTCCAAACTGTCGACAATTCATATAACTAAGTTGATTTAGGTGTATTTATTTTTATTTTTCTTTTTGTTTTTGTTATATTACCTTCCGATTCTCTCTCCTTCCCTTTTGTTTCTTTTGTTATTTGTGCTCTCTTTTGTTGCTTCTTGTTATCACCTAATCTCATTCTGTTCCTCCCATCATCATGTCCACTGCCGTTGCCAATAGCTTGCCAAAACCTCCAACCAAACGTTTCATCAAGGGTCCTGATAGAAATGCCAAAGATGCCAAGATCACCGAATTGAAGGACAAGATCAAGGAAGTCGACTACAAGTTGTCCAAGGTCAACGAAACCATCTCCAAATTCAAGACCGACGATGCCACCAACGATAAGCGTAAGCAATTGCAAAACGAATTGAACGAAATCATCAAGGTCCAAGGCGGTTTGAAAAACAAGAGAACTGTGATCAATGACAAAATCAAGGTTGTCGACGCCGGTTTGAAGAAGAAGATTGCCGATATGAATGGTCAAACTTCCAAGATCCATTTCAAGTCTGTCGGGGAAATCGACAAGCAAATCCAAAAATTGGACGACGCCATTGCCAGTGGTAACTTGAAGATCGTCGAAGAAAGAAGAAACGTCAAGGAAATCTCCGCTTTGAGAAAGTTGAGAAAAGATTTTGGTAAAGTCGAAGTTGCCCAAAAGCAAATCGATGATGATAAGGCCAAGATTGCCGCTTTAAAGAAAGAATTGACCAGTTTCAACAACAAGGAAATCCAAGTTAAATTTGAAAGCATTTCCAAAGAATTGGATGAGATCAGATCTTCTAGCAAATCCGTCAACGACAAGAAGAAGACCCATTTTGATCAAAGAGGCGCTTTGCAAAAAGAGAAAAACGTCCTTTACGATGAAATGAGAAAGATCAGAAACGACTACCAAGAAGCTTACGACAAATTCAAGAAGGACATGGCTGCCGAAAAAGAACGTATCAGAAGTGACGAAGAAGCTTACTTGAAACAACAAGAAAAGGTCAAGCGTGAACAAGAATTAAAACAAGAATTGCAAGCCGCTTCCAAACCAGCTTTTGCTACTCAAATCAGCTCCATCAAGGTCTTGATCAGATACTTTTCCAAATTCACCAACCAACCAATTCCAGAAGTCATTGTCAAGGATGATGAATCATCGGTGGCCAATTCTTTCAACACCTTGAGCTTGAAGCCAACTGCTGTTTCTAATGCCAGAGTGGTTGCTAGACCAGAAAACTATGTGGTTGTCAAGAAAGAACAAGAAGTTTTCTTCCAAGGTACCAAGGGTAAGAGTAAGAAGAACAAGAAGAGTCACCAAGATGACAAGTTTGTCATTGAACCAGATGTGATTGTTCAATTGTCTGAATTAGGTCTTATGGTCCCAACTTCTAAGGAAGGTATTCAAAAGGTTGTCGATGAATTGTTGGAACAATTCAACATCTTCAAGAAAGACCAAGATGAAGTCACCAAGAAGAACGTTGCCAAGGCCCAAGCTAAGATTGCTGCTTTTGAAAAGAAATTTGCCGAAGATGGTGAAGTTGAAGTTGAAGAAGAAGACGAAGAAGAAGAAGAAGAAGAAGAAGAAGAAGAAGAAGAAGAAGAAAACTAATTATTTTAATAGAGGTGTTTCTATAATCCTTTTCTGCCATCTATTTCCCCCTAGTCTTTCCAATTATTTCTTTTTCACTCTAACGATGAGCTTCTTATCAATTGATTAATATATTATCTAAGAGTTTTAACAAAGATTTTTTTTTTCTACTGTATCTGTTTGAGAGGTAAGCGAATATAACAATGCACCATTCTGTTACTCCATGCACAGATCATGAGAACACCAGCCATCAGCAAAAAAAAAAAGGAAAATCAAAACACCGTCTAAAAATGTTTTGCTGGTGCTCACTGCAGCGAAGAAGGGATTCTCTTTTTTTTAGTTCACCAATTTGTTGTTTCGAGAAATCTTCTTTCCTATTTTGCTTTCTGTTTCCTTGTAACAACCATATTGACATATTTCCCTAAAAGCTTTTTGACAAGTTTGACATATATTGCATAACATACATACATATAATTGAAATATTTCTCGAGGCTAATACTAATAATAATGAGCCAGAACCCAACGACGCCCAAGAAACAAGGCAGATCCATGGCCAAAGATGCTTTCCTATCACCTAGCAGATCAATAAAGAAACGTCAGATAAAGCCTCTGGTATCAGTAAAGAAATCTCAAATGAAGAAAATAGAAGGCACCGCCACCACTACCAAAGTTTTCCCAACCCCCGAATACACCCCAACCGTCGATGACAATAAATCAAATAATGGGTTGATGTCGTCGTACTCGCGACCACCATTCACTGGGAAGCGGCTGTTTGATATATCTTCGTCGTTTGATGAAGGAGACATCAGGGCCCAAAAAAGAATGCGAGGAGAAGAGCGAGCGTCTATTACTGCTGCCACGGACCACGATAGTGATGAGGATAATATTGATAGTGATGCCAGTACCGAGATCGCCAGTGATGTTGAAGGAGAATTCTTCCCGGTATCTGCAAAAAGTTGCGATGAACATCGAATGTATTCCATCAACCAAGCGATCAATAGCTGTTTGACCCCCGAGAGACCAAAGAGAAGTAGAAGAAGAAGTAGTTCGAGTACCCATCACAAGCAACAGCCAATAATGATATTTGATGACGATATCGGGGGGCTGGAAATCGAGTACGAGGAGGATGAGGAATTTAATTTGACAAGAACTATGGTGGATGATGAAGTATCGAACGACAACACCTCGACGCCGATTGGTAAGAGTTATTCTAATGAAAAGGCACGGATCGTTTGTACTCCTGAATCGAAAATCATTGATAATTTCGCGTACGAGGATGATAAGAGAACAAAGAGATCAATCGGATCATCATTGGACTTCGATCCTAATAATGAAATATTGCTCGTTGACAAGAGAGGACAAAAGATTGTGAAACCATTGAATTCTTTTGGCAAACTGTTCAGACCAAAAGCCTTACTAAGTGATTTAATGAAGGAAAAGGAATCCAATAAAGAAACTGATGAGGATCAAGAAGCCAGATTAATCAGAGAAGCCATGGAAACTGACGCCAAGGGAATCGATCTTGTCGATCATGGGAATTATTCTGGTGATGAAGGGTTCAGTGATTTTGACAATGAAGATTATGATAATGAGGATAAGTTGACGAATTATTTCAATAGAATGAGAACACAAAGAAGATTGAAAGGTGCGAAACGTGGAAAATTGGATTTCTTAGCTGCCTCACCAATACATGCCCCATTGTCATCCTCTGAAGAAGAGGAAGAAGAAGGCGGAGAAGAAGAGGTTGTGGAAGAAGATTATTTGTTGAAGTTATTGGAAAAGCACAAATCTTCTAGATTAGATCAAACTTTCGAAGAAGCAGAGTGCTCGAACAACGACATTGCTCCACCATCGTCATTATCCAATTTTTTGGACGAGTGTCCTTCATCACCATCTCCAGGAACCGAGAAATCTGCCAGAGACATTCGTCTACAAAATAAGCGACTCATGAGAGCCGAAGATGAAAAGCTGGACAATTATTTGAATTTCGGGTTCACTTTGAGTGAATTATCAGGGTTGAAAAAAAGTAAGAAAATTCTTGTGTTTGAAGATCCAAAGGGGAGTGGTGATGAGAACAAAAAGTCCAGAGAAAGTTCCAATTGAGAGGGAAAGAAAAAAAAAAAAAAAAAATAAAAAAAAAAAAGAAAATTGGGCATTTTAATTGTAGTATAATTATTTTTTTTTCTCCTTGTTTTATTTTTGTTTATTTTTAATTGTATAGTAGCAAGTTTTTCAATGTTTTGATTATTTAGAATTTGGGGCGATATCGGATTTTTTAATATTATTTTTTAATACAGTTATTTTTTATGCTTTTGGGATTTCTTTAATATGTATTGATTGATTGATTGTAGAAAGGGTGTGATTGTTTTTTTCTTTTTTGCCTTTTCTACCAACAAAAACTTGTGGTTAATGAAAAAACATAAGATATCTCGATTTCCATTAACAAAAAAAAAAATAAAAAAAGTAAATTGGTTACTTGGTTCGAAATTGTTTTTGCATTGATTTCATCTACGTTAACCTCCAGGAATACCTTGCTCTTATTTTGGTTTTGCATTTCGATTAATAAGAATGATAAATGTTAAATGTTAAATGTTAAATGTTAAATGCCAAAAGGTAGTAAATCTCCTAGGCTTATTTCATAAATCTCGTGTTTGTGATTTCACGTCCGCAATTTCCCATTATAATAAAATGGAATTACACTTGATGAGCTCATGACATCAACTCAGCTAGTTATAAAATAAATAAATAAATATTATTATTATTTAATTAACGAATGACTTTGATACATATTTTTTTTTTTATTTCTTCTTTGATTTCCCCTCTTTTTTTTTTAGGAAAACAATTTTTGAAACATGGAAAGAGAGCATATTAATGAAATTAAAGAGGAAAAGAACAGATGAGAAAATGAAACTGAAATAAAAATACAAAATGAAAAAATAAGATGATAAATGTTTTTTTTTGTTTTTTTTTTAATCATTCCATTAGCAAGCGACCAAGCAATAAATACCAACAGCAAATTTTACTGACAGTTGATATGAATTCATGAATCAATTCATGCTTTGGTGTTTCATTGTTGCTCTTGATTATCCTTATCCTTTGGACTATAGGTTGGGGAGTATGATGGTGAGGTTGGGGAATAACTTGGGGAGGTAGGAGAGTATGATGGGGATGTTGGAGAATAGGATGGTGAGGTTGGGGAATAGGATGGAGATGTTGGGGAATAGGATGGAGATGTTGGTGAGTATGATGGTGAAGTAGGTGAGTATGATGGTGAGGTTGGAGAGTATGATGGTGAGGTTGGCGAATAACTTGGTGATGTTGGAGAGTATGATGGAGATGTAGGAGAATAGGATGGAGATGTTGGTGAGTATGATGGTGAGGTAGGTGAGTATGATGGTGAAGTAGGAGAGTATGATGGTGAAGTTGGAGAGTATGATGGTGAGGTTGGTGAATAACTTGGTGATGTTGGAGAATAACTTGGCGATGTAGGAGAATATGATGGTGAGGTTGGTGAATAACTTGGTGATGTTGGAGAATAACTTGGCGATGTAGGAGAATATGATGGTGAAGTTGGTGAGTATGATGGAGAAGTTGCCGCATAACCACTTGGATCGTAACCAGGACTTGAACTGAAAGTATTCGATGGAGAAGTAGATTGGAAATCATTGTATGGTGAGGTGTTATTCATTGGTGAGGTATTGTAAGGACTTTGAGCAGAGCCACCGTAGGCAGTAAACCCGCCTTGGTTATCATTAATATTACTTTCATGAATTGGTGAGAAGTTAATATCTTCATCAATATCAATATTATCATATCTACCACTGCCAGAATTAATATCATAAGGTGTGGCAGCACCGTCAAAAGCACCAGAGCCCGCCGCTTGCCCAACTTCGTCTACCATATTGCCATTGAATGGAATGTCTCTAAGTCTTTCTTCATCAACCAAAAGATCAAACACCCCAGTACCAATAGGCGCCATTTGACCCAATAAAACGTTTTCAGAAACCCCGCTACAATCATCAAGTTCCGCTGCTGCACCAGCATCTAACAAAATTTCAACGGTTTCTTCAAAAGATGCTCTCATTAATGCACCAGTGTTATTTCTGTTAATACCATGACGAGTAATAGCCATCAAGTGACCTCTTGAGGTCATCGCATCAATCAACAATGCCATATGACGGTAATTGACATAAGAACCACCAAAAGAAATGACCTTAAATGTTTCCTTATAAAGAGCCTCTCTGGCAGCTTCCATACCCAAAACTGACAAAACTTCAACAAAATTATTAGAATAAGTACGCTTGTGGTCAACACCTTCAACGGCCATAACTTCAGCAAGGTTGACACCATCAGTTTCAAGAATGGTTTCACTAGTTTTCTTAAAGCTACCACCTTCGTCAATGATCATATGATGTTCGTTCTTAGAAATGAATACTCTTGAAACATTCTCGATACCTCTCAAAGAAATATCCAAAATATGCTGTTCAATTTTCTTCAAAATATGGTCTTCTTCCGCTTCATTTTCTTCATTTTGGGCCTTTCTGTCTCTAACAATACGTAAACGAATAACCAATTTTTGAGAACTGGCATCTTCAGACCAAATAACTGCAATATCTGTTCCAAAGGCTTGCTTAATTTTATCAGCAACTTGACTCAAAGTAACTTGCTTATCGATCAAACTACTACGGTCGATTTCAAAACGCAATAACCAAGGTGACTGTTGGTCAATGGTTTTCTCAGTTTCTTCATCAGGAATGGCGAAGAAACCTTCAACCAAATCAATATCTTCTTCAATGACTGTGGATTGGGGATCTGGATCATAGAAAATTTCTGTAAGCGCTACAATATCCTTGATCGTAGAATATTGAATAGCAGCTTGGATTGTCTTAGCTTTCATTTCATCTTGGGCGTATTCAGGTTGCAAATAAATACTCATGGAAGGAGTTTTAATATTCTTAGCAACGTTAAGAATTTCTTTCAATCTTGGAACACCAAGAGTAACGTTCTTAGACGAGACACCGGCATAATGGAAAGTATTCAAAGTCATTTGGGTGGCAGGTTCACCAATGGATTGTGCAGCCAAAACACCCACCATTTCACCTGGATGGACAACAGATCTTTGGAACAATTCTTCAATCTTACCGACCGCCCAGTTGAATGCATCCTTATTCAATCTATATTCTTCAATGACTCTTCTGGATGCCAATCTTGAACGAATAAGGCACTGGAAGAGAGTAGTGGCATTTTCTTGCGCTTCAGACAAGAGCTCACCTTCACCTCTGACGACGAGTAAGTTTTGACACAATTCACGAACCTTTAACACAATGTAATCCAATGGCAAATCACTGGCACTATTTCTATCAACGTGGAAAATTTGTTGGGAGTTTTGGACAACACGTCTAAGATTAACAGGCAATGGCCATTTACTCTCACCATCTGCAAAGACTTCTCTCAACAATTGTCTATCTTTGACCAATTGATCATATTCCTCGTCCAAAATATTCTGGAGTTCGACGTCACCTCTAATTTCATCACTAAATTCAATTAATGATGAATTAATCATCGTGGAAGAATCCATCAAATCAATCTTATATCTCTTTTCAAATGTACTATTAGAAGCTGTCAAAGAATCAAGCGGTTGGTTTTCAACTTGTGTACCGTCCAAACCATCTTCACCATAAACGAACTGAAGAATTGTTCCGGTAGAGTTTCTAACAGTCCCATCATAATGGACAGTGATATCTTCTAAGGCCTTGACCAATCTTCTTTGAATATAACCGGTTTCAGCAGTCTTCACAGCGGTATCAATTAACCCTTCTCTACCAGCCATAGCGTGGAAGAAAAACTCTTGAGGAGTCAACCCTCTCAAATATGAATTTTCGATGAAACCCTTAGACTCTGGACTGAAATCATCTTTAGTAAAGTGTGGTAATGATCTGTCAGCAAAACCGAATGGAATTCTCTTACCTTCCACCATCTGTTGACCCACACAGGCAGACATTTGAGAAATATTAATGAAAGAACCTTTAGAACCAGAAATAACCATCTGCTTCACATTATTGGAGTCTTTCAAAGATTTTTCGGAATATTTACCCACATCATCTCTTGCCTTATTTAAAAGTTGGGCAACATTAGCTTCAAAGGCTTCTCTAAGAGTCATACCAGGTTCAGGTTCTAATCTGTTAGCGTGAGCATCTAAAATAACTTCTTGCACCTTTTGCTTGGCTGCATTAATGGTGGTAGTAATCTTGGCCATAGTTACCTTATCGGCAATGGTGTCACCGATACCAATAGAGAACCCATTATGAAGCAACCAGTAATTCACAATCTTCTGAAGATTACCGAATAATTTTGCACAGACTGCGTGACCTTTTTCTCTGAAAACGGTATGGATCAAACCACCGGCCGAAGCCCCGACTGTTTTCTTATTAACGACACCAAACATAACTTCACCATTAAGAATCAACATCCCGTCATCCTTTTCTGATAAGTATGTGGTTTTTTCTTCGAATCTAATTAAGTTAATACCTTCTGGTATACCCAAAGACAAGATTTGCTTACCAGTCCATAATGGCTTCGGTTTCAAAATGGTTGGCGGAGGCACAACACCATTCCAGTCTTTAATCCAGTAGCAGATATTCATAACTTGATCATATTCGATAAAAATATCTCTCAAAGTCATCTTTCTAACACCACATAATGTGTCTTGCACAATACCCATAACTGGCTTATTAGATTGAGGAGAAATAATTTGTAAAGGAACGGCTGCTAAGTTGGATAACTCAGCTCTTGTTTCGTGAGATTGTGGAACATGCAAATTCATTTCATCACCATCGAAATCGGCGTTATATGGAGAAGTGACAGACAAGTTGATTCTGAATGTTGAAAAAGGCATCACCTTTACTCTATGACACATCATAGACATCTTGTGCAAAGAAGGCTGTCTATTAAACAAAACTGGATCATTGTCCATAAGATGTCTTTCAACTTTCCAGCCATACTGTAATTGAATGTCACCAGCTCTTTTGTGATATCTCAAGTCAATTCTGTCACCAGTATCTCTAATAACATATTTCGCACCTGGATGTTCGTTTGGACCGTTTCTCACGTATTCCGTTAATCTATGGATGTTGTATGGTGTGACAATCTCTGGATATGTCAAAGTTCTGGCAATAGACCTTGGAACACCGACTTGATCCAAATCCAAATTAGGGTCACCAGAAATAACAGTTCTGGCTGAGAAATCAACTCTCTTACCCATCAAGTTACCTCTAACACGCCCTTCTTTACCCTTCAATCTCGCTCTAATAGACTTGATTGGTCTACCAGATTTCTGCAAGGCCACTGGCTGGCCAGCAATATCATTATCCATGTAAGTTGCCACATGGTATTGCAATAACGATTCGAATTCAGTGATAACATGGGCCGGAGAACCATCCATTTCCAATTTCTGCACATTGATATTTGCCTTCAAAATTTCTGCCAATTTATAAGTCAAATCATCTTCACCTCTCGCTGTTTCGTTGAACGCAATAGAAGGACGAACTGGTGGTGGTGGAACAGGAAGAACAGTCAAGATTAACCATTCCGGTCTGGCATAATCAATATCGAACCCCAATAAAACGGCATCCTCATCAGAGATATGTTTGAAAACGTTCAAAATTTCACTTGGAGTCAACAATCTTTTTTCTGGTTGGGAGTCGCCATCATCTGAATTCTTGTCCTTCTTCCAAGTACCCCAGAGTTTCAAACCTTCCTTTCTAACAGTTGGTTGATAGTTACCACAACCTCCAGTAGTAATAGGGTTTTCGGAGTCATTATTTTCCAATTCCTCTTCAGTTGGCAAGTCTGCTTCACAAACCATTTTTGTTTTACTTAGTTGCCAAATTGCTTGAAGTCTTTTTCTTGGATCCTTGATTTTAGCAATTTGCTGGACTTGCAAAGAGTTTTTATCAATCAACAATTTACCACAGTGCATACACACACACTCGCAAACCTTCTTGATTTTGGCAATGAAACCAATATGAAAAACTGGCTTAGCCAATTCAATGTGCCCAAAATGACCCGGGCATTCAAACATATCCTCACCACATGTTTGACATTTGAAAGCCCTATCAATAGTTCCCAATTTTGGATCATTCAAACCACCCTCTCTGAGCCGTTTGTTTTCATCCATAATTTCAGGGAACTCAATCTTCACCACACTGATCGCACGCTGAAACTGTATTAGTCTTGCCTCTCTCATCAAAAAAAAAAAAAAGGGAAAAAAAATGCGTGTAGGAACACATCATTAAAATATCTACAATAACCCCCATATCAATCAAAAATAGTACTACTTACTGTTTCTTCAGGCGAAAAGAGACCAAATTGGATCTATAAATCAGTTAGTTTAGTTCCACAAACCAAGCGTGAACTTCCTTCAATTTCTGATTCCAGAAATTGAGGATTCACGCCACTCCATGATACAAAGAAAACAAGATAAAAACATACCTCCTTCACCGTACGAAGCGGAGCACTTGAGTATGCGAAAGATCTAGTAGCCATTTCTGATTCTTGCTAAAACAATGAATATACTTTGGCCAAAGAAATCCGATGTTCGCTTGAAGCAAGAGGTGTTTGTTTAGATAACGCCGCCCGTCTCTTTGAATTTTTTGTTTTTTCAATAAATTCCAAATTCAACGATCATCCGTACACCAGGTTTCAGAAGGCTGGACTGAGGGGTGTTGCACCTTACCGCTATATTTCAGCACATATAAATGTAACCTCTTCAATAAAATAACCACTTAAATACATCCATGGGTGAATCTTTATACTCTCATCTGTCAACTTAGATCCTCTATTTGTTAACAAAGAGAAACTTTATTTAAAAGAGGGCTTACAATAGCACAATAGATAAATTTGTACGTAAATATTTATATTTCTTCAAAACTCATTAAAAAAACATTGCTATTATAGTACATATTAAACCACCCAAAAAGAATCATTGAAAACTAACTCAAATTTCAAAAAATTTAAGCAGTAGTAGCGACAGTCTTTTCGGCAGCCTTTTCAACTTCTTCAGCCTTTTCGGTCAAGACGACTTCAATGTGGGATGGAGAAGATTCGTACTTGTTGATTCTACCGTGAGCTCTGAAGGTTCTTCTTCTTTGCTTTGGAGCTTGGTTGACTTGGATGTGGGAGATAAACAATTTAGTGGTGTCCAAACCTTTGACCTATAAAGATGCGTTAGTTTCTAAAGTTCTGCGATGAATTCAAGACATAACTGTCAAAAAATTCAAACGCAGGAAGTGTTTTTCAATAATGCATCCTGCTCAAAAAAATATTGAGCTTTGTTATGGACTAAGTATTCAAAGTACTTAAATAGCAATGATTTTAATGATAATTCATAATATCATTTCAAGAGGTTTTACTGAATGTAATCCTTTCTTGTAATTTAGCCTCCACTGAAAGTGGATGACCATGCATGGGTTCGAAAAAAAGTTCAAATATCCCATGAAAAATTATTGAAAAAAACTTCCCGCTTTGAAGAATGGTTTTTATATCAAATTAGATTCCACTGAAAAATAATGTAACATAACGATATAAACTCCAAACTTATTAAAAGGGTACTCGTATACATACGTCAGCGTTGGCTTCAGCGTTCTTCAACAATTCTTGGATGAACTTGACAGACTTAGCTGGCCATCTAGCCTTGGTAACACCAAATTCTTTACCTTGAGCGGTTCTGCCGATAGAAGAGTTAAATCTTCTGAATGGGATAGCTCTCTTGTGATCAAGAACTTGTTCCAAGTATTGTTGAGCTCTCTTTAATTCCCAACCGTTGATGGCTTGGGCAGTTTCTCTGGTGTTCTTGAAAGAAACTCTGAGGTAAGAGCCCTTAGCCTTAGCAGATCTAGCTGGGTCAGCAGAAATAGTACCGTATCTAGCCATTTTTAACAATAATTATTCTTGAATACAGAGTAGAATCAGCAGCAGAAGAAGCCTAAAGCTTTGAATTCATTTTTAATCATTATAAAAAATATGAAAAAATGAAAAATCTATGATTGGTGCCCATTATCATGTGATATTGTGATCGCTTTAGGGCTTAAACTATTGTTGATCATGTGACATAGCCCTATTAACGCCATTTTAATAAAGACCTATAGGATATTACTCGCTGATAACACACACGCTCTACTTTGTCAGTTTTCTTTGATATAATGCATATCGATATCTCTCAAATTCTGCTGTTTTTGTTTCAAGTTTCGCAGTTCATGTTGATTCGAAAACAAAAACAAATCATGCATTACAGGGTATGTCAACATGCAGCGAGCATTTGAGGTGGTTGATAACTGATACTTGTTTTTCTTTCCTATTGTGGTTTATATTTAGGAAAAATACAATCATCTTCTTATTGGAATCTAAAGATTACTTAATTCTGAAGCTTGTGAAAATCAGATGCTGCAAGAGAAACAATTATCATTTCAATGCTATTGAAAGATGGTACTATCTAACAAAATTTACAACTGCCGTGTTTCTACTTCAAAGAAAAAGAAAGATATAAAAAAAAGAAAGATATTATTGACAATTGTTTGCAGATGCTTATAACAAATTTTTACCAAAAATGCTTCTGTATTCCCAAATAATCACGCTTGCATGCTTCTAAGGAGGTGCGCCTTCCAAAAGTCTCCTTATGTCTCCCACTACCTAACTTCTTCGAAAAAATATTAAACAAAATTGGTTTTATATAATGATTTTCGGCTATAAACTAATCACAAATTGTGATTAATGAGCAAACTTGATGTCTTTTTTTTTTGTTTTTTGCTTTTCTTATATATTCTTGGCTTCTGCGCTCAGTAAGGATTCAGAGATGAGAATAAAAGGGGTATAATGGTGGTAGAATAGACAGTTATAGGTGCTCCTTTACCTTAAATAGTTTTTAAAAAAGAGTATTCATGTTTCATCTTTAATTACATTCATTCACATCTAGTGTGGTTGACGATGTATTTCCGTGTTGATGGCTTTTTGGCTTTAACAGATCTAGTTGAATCCGCTTTGGGTAACTGTGGACTTTTCAAATGCCTTGGCCAAATTAAAAAAATAAAAAGAAAAAGAAAGCAAAAATAAAGTTCTGGAGGAATATTTATTGATTTTTATGTTAAATAGATCTTCTTGATATTACCATTGGGTACAATGAGACTCAGCATATCACTCTGTCTTTCTGCTGCAGAAACTCACAGTGAAGCGAGATACTCATCAGTATAGGGACAACTACAGGAGTTTCCACGAGACTAGGAACTCTCGATGCTACAGAATAGACTGAAAATTTTGGAGGATTTTAATTTCATAACTGGCTGCTATAACAACAAATCAATACTTTCTTTAAGCTTAAGCAGAATCAACAACTTTTTGTCTACTGTGAGAAAGGTTTTTCACACCAATTACCGATTATTGCTACATAGGTTTTCCTAATTCGCTTCAAGAAATAATTTTTATTATTGCTTTCGAAGTTATGTAAAATAGATATATGTCAGTATAAAACAGCGACCAAAGCAAATAGAAGTATCTGTTACCATCAACAAATCTAGAATTTTTTTATAGTAGTGCAGATTGAGATCCTTCAGTAAGAGCTTTTAGAATGCTTCATACATTTTTCAGAGTGTCATGAGTTAGTTGGTTAATTTTTAATGTAACATTTCAACTTTGAGATTGTTAACATAACTAGATAATGGTTTGTATCTCCTTCATGTAAAAAATTTCTACATGAAAAACTTGACTTAAACTTAATCTTGTAAGGCGATGTGTTTAAAAATAATTTATCTCTCGGCATTATACACTGATTTGAATGAAATAGGGAGCCCATAAAACCTATAAATCATTTATAAGAAACTACGCTCAAGCGCAGAATCCGCAAAAGTTGTACATCATCAAAATTATAGCATATTCAAATTTTCCATTAAATATTTTGTAAGATACATAAAAATACACAATAAGAGGATCAAGAACCAATGTTAACAATAGGGGACAAAAAGAAAAAGAAAAGACTGTATTCCACTAATATTGGAATGATAATAATAAAAATAGCAATTATAATAAACAGAAAAGGAGTTTTGGTAAAATAAAAACAATTTCGTGAAGCAAATGACAGACTAAAAAATTCAGAAACTTATCCGGTTTGAAAAAAATAAAAAAATCGGTTCACATTCAGGCAAAACAAACAATCATCATACCCTTTCACACCCTTGAGTTGCTCACCATTGTGGTTGTTCTTCTCTTTGTTGATGATTATTGTTATTATTATTGTTATTGTTATAACGTCTGTTGTTGTAGTTGCTGTTGTTGTAGTTGCTGTTGTTGTAGTTGCTGTTGCTGTTGCTGCTGTTGTTGTTATTATTGTTGTAATAACCGCCTCTACCTCTACCTCTACCGCCTCTACCTCTGCCTCTGCCTCTACCTCTATTGTTGAATCTTCTGGTTTCACCAAAAGTTTCCATGTCGTTATATCTCACTGGCTCATCAGTTGTTTTGTCGGTCGAGGACGAGATAGTGTCGAAGAAGGAAGATTTCTTGTTGTAAAAGTTTTCTGCAGGCTTTTCAGTACCATCATCTTTGGCAAATTTGGCATTGTTTGAAGCGAAATCAAAATCGGAGTTTGGAATTTCGACACCACGTTGACGGCGTTGTACCTTTGCAGCATCAGAAATTGCAGCAGCAGAAGCTGGAGCAGCAGATGGAACATGAGCAGGTTCAGTGGTTTCGGATACCTGTGGAGCAGTTTCAGTTTGCTCCGACTTTTCATAAGATTCAGCTGAAGCTTGAGCAGCTGGTTGACTAACAGGAGTGGCGACGGCTGGGGCCTGAGTTGGTGGGTGAGAGAAACCTTGAGGTGCCTGTTGTTGAGGTGGCATCGATCCGTAGGCCTGTGGTGGCTGTTGAGGTGGGTATCCATAGTATCCTGGTTGTTGTTGTGGCATTGGAGGAGGAGGAGGAGGAGGGGGAGGAGCTGCGACTTGTGGTTGAACTTGACTTGGAGGAACGTCTAACACTGACAAATCCTTGACATCGGACCCTCTGAATACAACGTACTCATAGACATCATTACTTGCAGGGATTTCCAAAGCTGGATTTTCTGCTCTACCTTCCGTACCAAGAGGTCTGACTTGTTTCAAAGCAACAGTAGCTTCTTCACCATTGATGTTATCTAAGATCCCAACATAACTATAGGAACATGTTAGTAATCTATCCACAGAAAAAAAAAATCAACAAACAAAACATAAAAATTATGCATTTTAATAATAATACCTACCGAATGCCCTTGTTGGAGATCAAGGAGATGGTCTTTCCAATATATTGCGACATGTTTTCAGTGCAATAATGCTGTGATCTTCACCCGTCAACTCTAACCTTTCAAAGTATCAATTTTCTTTGCCAACGAAAAATCCCCAAAAAACGGAGTGCGCCGAGGCGTGGTTGCCCGCCCACAAGCCAATACTATTATCATCTCTCTCTAATATTCCTACACTAATAAAATGCTTACTGATTAGTTACACAGATACCACACTAGTAATGACATCCATCGTCCCCTTTCAAGCCACCGATTTATTCCGGCTCAATCCAGTGAACTTAGATGTCTTCACAGAAAATTTCCCGCTAACGTTCTACTTCCAGTACCTTTCGGAATGGCCAACGCTTTTCTACAAGTCAATAGAACCAACATACAACGTTGAATTGCTAACAAACGAGTTTGTTTGCTCAGGATATATGATGGGTAAGACAGAAGGTAGAAAAATGGATTGGCACGCGCACATTACCGCAGTCACTGTCAATCCAGCTTATAGAAGACTTGGGCTTGCATCGCTACTATGCGTCCAGTTAGAGGAATTGACAAAATCAGATCCTTATAATGTGTATTTCGTCGATTTATTTGTCAAAGTAACTAATAAATTGGCGCTTGTTTTGTATGAGAAATTGGGTTACTCGGTCTATCGAAGGGTAGTGGGATATTATGGATCGAATCCTAATCCCCTGGTTAAAGATGTTGACGACGATACGGATGCGTATGACATGAGAAAAGCAATGATGAGGGATACAAAGAAGCAATCAGTTCGAGCAAATGGAAGAGACGTTCGTGTCTTGCCTCACGAAATCAACTTCGATTGACCAGGTTACAATACTAAAAAAATATCGCCATGTATTATTCTTTTATTTAACACAATATATTTACCAATCCACATTATTTCCCGTCATATTCTATATTGAAAAACTAGGTCTGTAAGCCCTACCACCAGTATTTCCAAATCCTTTGAAAAATCCCACCAACCTTGATCTGGCAAACATCCCCCAACGTCTGCCCGAATTCACCATATATTTACCATAAGGCGCTAGCAACATGAAAAACACCGCTGTACCAAAGCCTTGCAAAAACTGCATCAAAATTTGATCCTTTATTATTGCGTAGATCACCACACCTGGGGTTATTGGTCCTACTGGCTGGAGCTTCTCGCTTTGGGTGGTTTGCACCGACGATTTCCCGGTCTTTGAAGCGTAGCTACGCAAGGACCTCCTAAAAGTATTTTCGAAACGGAGGTCTGGAATAGGTATCGTCAACTTCGACATAGTTTCAGTTGATGATATTAGAGATATAATGGGATATGTAATATTGATTGAATGATATATTGATTATTATTATAATAATATATGTAAATATATTATGAGATTCTCTTTAGGAAGTCCTCACCGGGTAACTTCATCAAATGTTTGGAAAAAACTGGAAAATCACCAAAAAAATCCCAAATGGCGGCGCACCAAATATCGGTGTAAACGGGGGATTTCTCTATCTATATAGACTAAGAAATATATTATCAGGGATGCAATCAGATAATTCCGGTCCTATAGTGAAGATTAGAGATGTCCAACCAGATTGCGTCAACTTTGTGTTGAGCGAGTGTGATCTAGCATTGGCCAACTCTGTTAGAAGATCCATCATGGCAGAGGTACCAACGTTGGCTATTGACATTGTGGAAATCGAAGAAAACTCAACAGTTTTGGCAGATGAATTCATTTCCCATAGACTTGGTTTGATCCCCCTCCAAAGTGACGACGTGGATTCGTTATTATACAATAGAGACTGTTCTTGTGGAGATTATTGTGAATTATGTTCTGTGGTTTTGACCTTGCACGCTAAGTGTACTTCTGAAGGTATCCAAACTGTTTATGCCAGAGATTTACTTGTGGAGCCAAACCACTCTAACCTCAAGATTGGTCAGCCAATCCTCAATGATGATGCAAATAAGGGCTCAGTGATCTGTAAAATCAAGAAACATCAAGAATTGAAGGTAAAGTGCATCGCAAAGAAAGGTATCTCCAAAGAACATGCCAAGTGGTCTCCAGTGGCCGCTGTAGGATTCGAATATGATCCTTGGAACAAATTGAAGCATACAGATTACTGGTATGAAGAAGATGCCGATAAAGAATGGCCAAAGTCTGATTATTGTGCATATGAAGAACCTCCAAATCCAGATGAAAAGTTCGATTACACTGCTAAGCCAAATAATTTCTACTTCGATGTAGAAACCGTGGGAACAATAAATCCTAATGAGGTGATATTGAGGGGTATTAGGGAGTTACGAAACAAGGTGGCGGGGGTTATTTATTCCTTGGATGAAATTGTCGCCAGAAATGCCAATGAAGGTAATGCCGAAAACATTGGTGGTGCTGGGTTTGGTACCGTCTATGGTGGGGCAACTCAGTACGGTGGTACAGCCTACGGTGGCACTGCCTATGGTGGGGGAACTCAATATGGAGGGACTGCCTATGGTACACAATATGGCGGCACTGCTTATGGTAATAACAGTGCTGGCAACGACGATTACAATCCGACAACAGGGTGGGATTAGCCTCTTGTTTTTGCACTATTCATTTCATCTTTGTTTTTTGTTCATCTACCAATATTTTCTTTCGTTTCTTTTTATCGCCGTTTTCTAGTTTAATCATTTGGGAATAATTAAAAAAAAAGTAAAAAAACTCTTACAATTCAAAAACTTCACTGTATACTTAGCAATTTTACAAAATAAAAGCATTCTCCAAATAAGAGAGAAAAGTTCTCAAGTTTCCAGTTTTTTTTTATTATTTCATGTAAATTTTGTATGCCCGTTGGTACAGATATACTAATGTTTGTTGTTCCACTCAACGCATTCATCAAATTTCACCAAATTTCCTCCAAATATATCCAACGCACTACCATAGGTTAAGTCTACAAGTCCGTCACTCAATTTGTCAACAATCGCTAAATCATCGATACTTTTCGCACCTCCAGCATACACGACAGTCTTACCTTTCAATGCAGGATTCTTGAACCATTTGCCCAACTGACTAACCAAAGTTTCATCAATCCCATTGCACAATCCTTCAACGTCTGCTGCATGTATTAAAAACTCCGAACAATACTGCGAGAGATGAACAAAGAGTTGTTCTGATAATTGCAAATCAGTCAATTTCGTCCATTTGTTGATGGCAACATACCATTCCGGTGAACCGTCTTTTTCATTGATCTTAGTCTTACAACTAAGATCCACAACGATTCTTTCTGCTCCTATGAGAAGAACAAGCTTTTTTAATCTTTCTAATGAGAATTTCCCTTCTGGAAACAACCAACTAGTCACAATAACTTTCGAAGCACCATCTTTGAGCCACTGGGCAGCGTTGGTATCGTTGATTCCTCCACCAATTTGTAAATGACCTGGCCAAGTGTGCAAGGCCAATTTAGCAGATTGGATGTTGGATTCAGAAGACCCAAGTTTGATGACGTGAGTGCCTTCGATTTTATTGGTTTTATATAAATCAGAGTAATATGACGATGGTTTCAAAGAGATGAAGTTTGTGGTGACAGTTTTGCTGGTTTCCTGGTCCCTATCAGAGCGCAAAGAGGCCCCAACAATTTGTTTCACCTGTCCATCGTGAATATCTATACAACCCTTGAACTTAGTCATGTTTTTGTGTGGTTTGATAGCCTAACAAGATGACATGAGAAGATGATGGGCTAAAGATAGAGAGAACCAAAAGACTCATTGCAAATTTCCCCCTTGAAATTTCACGTGGCTTGGATGGCCCATGAGAATGGTGTAACATTTTTTTTTTTTTTCTTTTTTTTTTTTTGTAAAAATTGTAGCGATAGATGGGTTTATAAATATATCATAGTACAACATTGTATATTGGATCACTAGATAAAATGTCGAATGAAGATTCTGAATATCTATCTTTGTTAGAGTTACAAAGAAAAAACTTTGAGGCACAGTTTGGTAGCCTTGAAAGTATTGGATACGAAGATAAGTCCAAAAACGTGCACGACAGTGAATCTTCAGAATCAGATAGCGAGGAACAGTCTTCCACGAGTGAATCACAAAGTGAGGAAGAAGAAGAACAACAACAAGAGGAGGAAGACGAAGAATTTCATGGTTTCAGCGATTACGATCAAGAAGTATCGGATGAAGAAAGTGAATCAAATAATGAACCTGCTCCAGTGGTGGTCAAATTCTCGGATTCTACTAGGGCTTCTAGTAATGTTCCATTGAAAAATAGCTCAAAGTTTTCAAGAAAAGGTAAAATACCGTCTTTGCAAAGTATGGAAATCAAGGAACAGCTTCAACAGATCGAAATAGAATCAGAGCTTCTTAAAGGCGGAACTTCGAAGGAAGATATGGAGAATATGCAAAAGGACATTGAACTTCAAAGATTATTATCAGAATCCCATATCCTTTCCTCTGCATCCTCAAGCTCCCAATATTCTGGGGCAGACCTCACCATGAAGACCATTGATGCTGATCCTTTTGGAAAAACCAGAGCAAAGACCATGACTCAAAGACTCCGAAACTTATCGGAGACCACTGCTGGACAACTGAGGAAACTTGAAAAAATGCCAATGAACATGAGAAAAGGGATTTTGAAGAAAGAAGTGGAGAGAGTCAGAAAGTTTGAAGAACTGGCGAAGAACAGTGGCACGATTTTGGCGAAGACAGGGAAATATGAATTAAGAGATTTGAATATGGGTAGAGCCAATAAAGTCGGAATCAAGTCCGATTTGATCGGGAAGCATACCATTGGTAGGAAGAAATTGCAAGAACAATTTTCCCATAGAAAGAAAGGGTTGCAAATCCAAGCTGTTGGTAGAAGTACTAGAAATGGTCTTATTGTTAGCGAGAAAGAATTTTCTTCAATGATTGGCAGTGGAAATAAAGGAAAGCGAGGAAAAAAAAGAAGATAAAATAAATTACATCTATATTGTATAATAACTTATTTAAACAAAACATAATATATTGCAATAAATGATAGGAAATTTTTGCAAATACTTTGAAAACTTAAGGACGTATAATATACAGACAGAACATGATCAGCTAATAACCAGCGCCAACTCATCACTCATGAAGATTTTTTTTTTTATCTAACACCTTTTTACTCCAATAAAACATAAAAGAAAAAAGAAAAACAATAATAAATAAATCATTTCTCCTTTGGGTCCTCTTGGTCCTCTTCGTCATCTGTATCAGTGTCTATATCAGACCAATCATCATCCTCGTCATCAAGACCCAATCCATCAGCTTCGACTAACTCTTCTTCATCTTCACTATCAAAGTATTCATCACCACTAGTAGAGACAGGTTCACCTCTCATTTGAGCCATGGCGCCAGCAATAGAGTCGTCTGATGGGGCTGGGACCTCGTATATTTTCTCATTAACCTTTTCAGTAGGATTTTTCACTACCATGACTAAAGGAAGATCAAGGTCTGTACCAAAATAGTTGTTACTTTTAATCATCAATCTAAATTCGTAGTTTCCTTCTTTTGGTGGAGCTGGTTGAGTTAATGGGATTTTAATAGTACCAATAACAAAGTCCTTCCCTTTGTCTTTCAAGGAGGCCTTGAATTCTTCTGGCGATAACTTAAGGTTGGACAAATCAAGGTTTGTAGTGGTTGCTGGTTGTTCAACCAATTTACCATCTTTTTGAATAGCAAGTAAAGAAGTCCATTGGGTCTTCATTGAGGTAGGGAAGTATGGAGCAAATGCCGGTGGCAAATCTGGCTGATCTTTAAGCATCTTGAAAGGATCTCTCAAAGTTTCAAACGTTTCTTCTTCATGGAATTTATCTTCAGGGAAAGTTCTAAAAGTGACTACACCATGATGTTTAGCGGATTTAATCATGACTTTAACGCTGATATGAGCAATGGAACCAGGAGGAACGCCATCTTCGCCAGGAACAACAAATTGAGCCTTCAATACCTTCAAAAGTGGGATACTGGATGCCACATCAAGAGCTTCCTTTAAAGAGGCAGAGCTCTCAATACCCAATGCTTTCTTTTGTTCTTCTTCGCTTAAAGTAAACAATTTACCCAAAGTACTAATTGATGACTTTTCAACTGCTTTTGAATCCACGTTTGGCAATTGCAACAATTGTTGTTTTCTGATGCCCGATAATGGAACAGCAGAAGCAACAGATCTCAAAGTTTCGATACAAGCAAGAGCGATTTCACTGTTACGAAAGTGACAAGCGAGATCGAGCAAACCGTTTACCAAGACCGGCACTTTAGAAATCGCGTTCAACTTGTCCTGCTCTTTGGCAAGAAACCCCATTTGGCGGCTACAATGAGCAATGAATATTTCAACAATATCTTCTTGAGGCAACTTTGGCAAAGCTTCTTTGATTTCCTCAGATTCACTAATCCAGGCCAAAATAGTGATAGGCGTCAACAAGGTGGTTGGCTTGTAGTTTAAGATTTTTTCAACAAACATTGTTGAAGTCTCGGTTCTAATTCCCTTCTTAGTGTAAGATTTCACATTGTTCCACCAATATCTGACTATGAATGGCAATAAGATAGCAATGACAAACACATAAGCTAAAACCAACACCGTACCTTGACTTTCGATTAAAAACTTTGGTAAAGCAATACCTTGAGTAATTGCTTGAGGACCATCTGGATGACCGTATTTAAGGAAATTTTCCTTGGTGGTGGCATCAGTCAAAGATTTATAGGCTTTATTGATCAACACGAATGTTTCCTCGGCCTTTTGCTTTTCAATCTCTGACAAACTGCTAGAAAGCTTATCCGGGTGGTACTTAATGGACAATTTTCTGTAGATTGATTTGATTTCTTTGTCTGTGGCAGAAGCAGCAATGCCCAAAATTTCGAATGGATCAAAGAGAACCGCAGTACTTTCGATTTCTTTGTGGGCGACATAATTACCCAAATATAACAAAATCCCCCACCCAATCACTAAGAGAAGGTTGCGAGCATTAAAAAGTTTGGACGCTTTGCTTTTGCTTTGGAATTTTTTGATGAGTTGAAAGGTGAGAGGTTTGAAAGTAGAGGTGATGGCACCATTTGTGTTCTTGGTTTCTTTGGCAAATAATGAACTAATACTCGAGACAGTACTTGGGATCACCAACACCCCAACAAGAGTGATGGCAAAGTACGGCCAAGTCTCGGAGTTCTCGTCGTAATTGTATTTGGAGTTACTCATGACCAGCACAAAACAAGCAAAAACAGTGTATTATGATGGAGAGATTGAGAGAGAGGATGAGAAAAGGAGAAAGAGGGAAGAGCTGAAGTAAGTTAATGTTCATTTTATTCATAATCCACTTCCAATGTGATTTTTTTTTTCAACCGTAGAAACACGTACATAGATGGGTGGGTGGCTGTAGTCACGTTCTGGTTGCGGTTTTCTCGGGTATATGCATGCCAAACGGTACAAAGATGCTTGAGATACAGTGAAAATGTGTTCTGTTGGAAGAGGTAAGTATCGTGATGTAGGTTTTTAACCAAACTATTTCTCAAGGATTATCAACAATTAGCGCCATTATAAAAGATAATAATGAGAATTAATTATTTTTAACGGTCATAGTCTGCATTAATTTGTGACGGTGTCTAACCAAGGTTCGCTGAGGCGGCGGGGGGTGGGGTAGGAAATGGACCCGCAGCGATGGTAGATGTCCTCCACCCCAAACAAAAAAAAGAAGCAAAAAGTAAACAAATTAATCACAAATTAGTATCATATATTATCAATAAAACTAGAAGATATGGCTAATAAAAAGAAGAATAACAAGAAATCGAAGAAGGAAGGAGCATCGCCTACTAAGGATGTTGTCGAAGAACCAGTGGAACAAAATGAACTAATAGAGAGTGAAATAACAGAAAATAATAAGGAAGTAGAAAATAAAGAAGCAGAAGCTGAGACACAGGAAGACAATGAGTCTGATGATCAAGCTACTCCACTAATCTATGCCAAACCAAACAAGAATTTGAAGAACTTGGACAAAGGTCATTCTCAGGAACGTAAGGCCTCGGGAATCTACTCACAACTTTCCCAAGAGCAGATTAGCGTTCTAAGAGATGCGTTTTCCTTGATCGATGATGACAATGATGGAATCATTTCTAACGAGGACTTGAAAAAAGCTTATAAATTAATCAACAAAGAGATAACCGATGAGAACGCAGAAAAAATGTTTTCGGAAGTCCAGGATCCCTTGGCATTCGGGGGATTTTTGAGCTCATTAGCCGGTAAGTTGGGAGATTTGTCGAATAAAGACGAATTGACTGCAGCGTTTGAGGTATTTAGTAATACTGAACAGAAAACTTATCAAAATAACGACAAAAAAGATGAACTCAAATGCAATGTATCTGATTTGAAGGAAAGTTTATTGTTGGCTGGGATGATGGAAGAAGCAATAGACACTGCATTGAAGAGTTTCATCAAGACTGAAATGAACGGTACAGATATATTTTTGGCTGAAAGATTCATAAATACGATACGTGATGATTAAGTATCATCAGTATGTTTAAATTTTTTTTTCCCGCTCTGTTTTGTTTTGTTTTGTTTCGTTTTATTTTATTTTATTTTGTTTTGTTTTTCGTTCTTTACTTCTTTTGATTTGATTTGAGTTAGTTTAAAATGATTTTGTTAATTTACATTTGCTCCCACGTACTTTGAGTTACCCAGTAGAGCCTTCACTACCAATAATTTAACCAAAAACCTCCAATCAACAACAACAAAAAGCTTCCAACAATCGAATATAAAAATGAACTATCTAGAACAAGAAAAAAAAAAAAAAAATGAATAGATAAACTAATAAATAAAATATTAACCAGAATCTGTACCCTCCACTTTTAAAACCGTTACTTTTCCATCAGCTTTCATCATTATTAGCATTTTCTACATTACCATTATCAGCACCTCCTTTATTATCAACATCTCTGGTTCCAGTCAATCCTAGAATTTCTCTATTTTTCTTTCTGAATCCTTCATGCCATTTCATATGCCTTCTCAAATCATGGTGTGTCTTGAACATTCTGTCACAAAATCCGTACTCGCATGGAAGGGTCTTGATTTTCTTCTCGCCTTGACTGGCAAATATATCAAATACAGATCTTGAGCTCGTCACTAAATCACTGATGGACTTCCTGGAGGCCACAGAGGAAACAGACTCAACATCACTGACATCATCATCTTCATCATCATCATCATCATCACTATTATCAATATCCTGGATATTGACAATCAGAGAATTAGCCAGAAGCTCAAAGGAATGACCATAATGACACTCGCCATAATGTATTGATAATTCTCGCTTTTTGCGGAATACTAGTTCACAAATCCGGCAATTCCAAGTCTTGATTGCCTTAGCCTCATCGTGGATGTACATGTGCATTCTCAAACCCGATTCTCCTACACATGGCTTTCCACAAATCTTACATTTGATCTTTGGATGGTCGGTCTTAATATGTAATTGCAATGCTGACCAGGTTTTGAACATTTTCAAACAGTTACCATGGGTACATTGTTGCGATAATCCAGCGCCATGATGTTTAGCACGATGATCTGCGAGCCTATACGGTCGCTCAAACACTTTCCCACAATCTTTGCACATCAACAGCTTTTCATGATCTCGAGCAATGTGTGCTTTCAATGACAGCTTCTTATAGAAAGACTCCGAACAACCTTCATAAGTACATTTAATATTTTTCACATGGGTAACTTCATGACGTTTCAATTGTTGGACAGTAGAAACCCCTTTCCCACAGACCGCACAGTGCAATGGTTTATCATTGATCTCACGATGCGAAAGAATATGGCGATTCAAGTGATCTTTGCGGAAAAACGCCATCTCACACCCCAAATGGGTACAATGAAAGGGGCGCTCGTTGGTATGAGTGAGCTGATGTTGTTTTAATAATGAAGGTTTCTTGTACACTTTGTCGCAGCCTTCGAAGTCACAGGGATAGTATTGTCCTCCTCTTACACCTCGTACTAGCGAAGATGATCTTGAGCTAGCCCGCGACGTATTTGGAGTACCTGATAAAGACGAGAAATTTGATCCTTCTGTTGCTGGTGAATCAACAATTGATTCTTGGCTGTCAATCGATAGCTGCTTTTTTTGTGGCCCTTTCTCACCCTCACTCAATCTTCTTTTCCTGGGTAGTCTTTCCTTGTTATCAGTAGTATCATTCTGCGCCATTTCCGATATAAATATTGGGATCTTTTCGTAAAAAATATAGATCAATAATACATCAAAGGGTCAACTCATCGCGTCAAATAAATGGAAAAAAAATAGAGAATTTTTCTCTTTTTTTTTTTTTTTTCTGTTTGAAAATTTTTGATTTTTGGTTACATTCGATGGCAGGAAAGATTATATCTAGATATAACACCACGAACAATAACCACAATAATCATGTCTGACGCAGAAGATAACTATGACGAAGTCTTGGAAGATTACGAAGACGACCATTTCTCAGATAATGAAAACTTCGCCGAACCAGGGGCCGCCGAAGAAGAAGAAGAGTTCACCAGCGACGTCAAGGCCTCATCACAACAACCACAAAAGAAAACCGTGAGGGATTTGGCCATTGCCAAAGAGAATCGGGCTACAACACCATACATGACAAAATATGAACGTGCGAGAATCTTGGGTACCCGTGCGTTGCAAATTTCCATGAACTCCCCAGTGTTGGTGGACATTGAAGGTGAAACCGATCCTTTGCAGATTGCCATGAAGGAATTGTCACAAAGAAAGATCCCATTGGTCATTAGAAGATTCTTGCCAGATGGAAGTTACGAAGATTGGGGATGTGATGAATTGATTGTCGACCAATTTTAATCTTGTCAAGACGGCATATACAAATTCATTTTATGAAGACCTGTTATGTTTTAAACATGTGTATTTTAAAGACGATAAATATCATCAGTGTACAACCAAGTAATCATCATAGAGAATCAGAAAATCTCATGGGGGCAACACAAATAATGTTCTCGCTTTCTCTAGGTTAAATATTTTGTTACTTCCCTTTGGTCGGTCGCAGTTTCAAGTGGTACATTTACTGATTAATCTCTACTTATAATGGTTCTTATTTAATAAGAATGTGTGCAATTTTGGATTTTAAAAAGTTATCTTTTTCTTTTCTTTTTTTTATTCTCCCTTTTTTCTCATTTTATTTATTCTAGTCATTTTTGATTAACATGGTGTTGATTATTGTTCTGTTTGATGGAATATACTGTAGACTGATTTTTTATACTTTAACCATAAAGAACCTACATCCATTTTGAAAATAAACAGTAATTAATGGAATTTTTATTAACATAAAAATGAAGAGAGTATATTTACCTTTCGTTCTTTTTTTTCTTTCTTTTCCGGCCTTTACCATCCAAGTTCAAAATCAGCTTCTATAATGGAGGAGGAAGAAAAGCTGGCATTTCACATTAGGAATGATCAAACCAAAAGAATAAAAAAAAAGATAGCAATGTAGTGATTGCAAGAATGAGAGGTTGATGATAACAAATGATGTGGTAAGGGGGAACGTTATGAATTTGTGGATCGGAACCTAAGAATCTTTGATTATTGATATATGAATTTTTGATACACTTTTTTTTTATTTTGTTGACGGTTAGTTGCTTTTAGAATCTTTAATCATTCATTTCTTTAAAGTTCATCGGCGTATGGCAAAGCAGAAACATTACCAATGGCAACGTAGGAGAATTTACCCAAAGAGAATTCACCAACAGAAGAAACGGTTGGCTCAGCGGTGTATGGGCTAGATTCGGATTCGATAGCCAATTTGGTCTTGGTCAAAGCAGAGAATTCAGAAGCATTGATACCAGATTTCAAAGTGGAAACAACACTCTTAATGGTGGCAGAGACAGCGACAGGACAGGCGTCAGCAGCAACAACAGTGAACAAACCGGCATCACTGTACTTGTGGACAGCAGCCTTAACGTTGGTGGTTTCATTCAAGAAGGTAGCAATGGTTTCGTAGAGACCAATTTCAGCTGGAGCGATTGGAGCACCAATGGCGGCGGCATTACCGTTAGCGGATCTAATTCTAGATTCACCTTCTTGGGTCTTGACGGCATCGGTCAAAGCAGAACCTTCAGCCAAAGATTCAAAAGAAGATTCACCAATGAACTTGACCAAAGCGGATTCGTCAACACCGGAACCGTAAATTTCAATGTTGGAAGCAGTGTAGGCCTTGGAAGCATAAGCCTTGATATCGTCTAAAGTAGCCTTGGAAACACCATCGTACAACAATGGCTTACCCAAACCATTTCTGAAGGCCAAAGCGTGCAAGGCTTCAACAGCTTGGTATTCTGGGTCAGCAGAAGCGACAGCAACTTCATGCTTGGCGGTTGGCAATACAACTTCAGACAATTCATGGATCTTGAATTGGGTGCTGGTGATGACATCGGCCAAAGAGTTGACAAAGTATGGCAAGTCTTCTTTTTGGAAGTTTGCTGACAAAGTGATGGCATCTCTGGAGACCTTGGAGCCGTAGACACCACCCAACAATTCAGCTTCTCTGGCGAATCTCAAAGCAGACTTGTGGGTGTTATTTTGGAAGTTGAATCTGGATAAGAGGTGGGCAACACCATCTTTTTCAGCATATCTGGAACCGGCGTTGATCTTGACAATCAAGTTAGACAAATGACCTTCGGTCTGTTTGGCGGAGACCTTCAAGCCCTTGGCGGCAGTAGAATAGGAACGACTGAACATTGCGGGTGTATGTATGGGGATAGATGATCCTTCTAACACTTGGTGATTGTAACAATAATTTTGAGTTAAAAATTGCACACACGAAAAAATGCTGATTATTATTTCATCCTGCTCTGATTGGATTGGGTGGGAAGTGGGAGTTACCCGGGATGGTAACATGCAATTTCTGACCGTGGGGTTTTCAACATAACTCTCTATTTCCAAAATATGTAGTGGATAATGGATGTCCAATATTATTGTTTGGGGAAGGTATTGAGATTATTGACTTTTTAAATGTAGCGTTAAGCAATATGCAATCACCAGTAACTAACTCAAGGGTGTGTATTGTGAGTTTTCGTACCACACTGCTAAAAGTCTTTTTCTCGTTTTGGAACTTGCAACATACTCAGCTATCTTAATTGCCTCTTTGGTAAAAGTGTTATAAGTTGGAGGCCTATACTAGGATCCAGACCATTGGACCTTCACTAATAAATATTATAGTTGTTGCTCTCAACGTTATATTTCCAGTCATTATTGATATAAGGTTGTTAGGTGTCGTGCTGTACGTACTTATTACTGCCCCTATCGCTGTCTTTACTATTGTCATTATATTTAATTTGATTATCTAAAGCGTTTATTATTGTACGTTAGTGCGTTTGTTTCGTTTTTATATTCATCGAAGTACTTTGTATATTTGTAGAGTTCTAACAGGATGCAACCCAAAGAACAGAAGTGAGGTTGCTTTTAATTCGGTGTGCTTAAAGGAGAAAGATATTTTTGCTCCAAATATTCCTGAAGTAGAGGACTATAATTCAATAACTGATTTATCAATTGTTTATCTCACTCATATCGTTCTGATATTGCTTTTAGCTCACTTGTCTTATCTGCTATGTCACAACACTGCCAAACCAGTTTGAAAAAAGATGCAAAGAGCTTTGGACTACACCCTTTCTTTGTAAACTATTAGTTTGTTATTTGAGCTTAAGATCATTGATATAGAACATACCTCGGAGTTATATTCATATTCATCACATCAGAATGAGAAAATAGTTAGATACTCCACATATAGGTATGTTCTAATGTTGGATATGGTGCCAACTCATTGGGCCGCCCAATATCACGTTGGTGATTTTTCCCACAAGCAGTACTTCAGGAATTTAGGCTCTCTATCAGAGACTCTTGAACTGTTTGAATATCAAGCAATTCCTGAATGAATTTCTTGTTGTTATGTGGAATAAATCAATTACCAAAAATACTGCAGATGAAGATGACCAATCGGCCATAAACATTTTCCAACAATCTATATTTGATTACAGAAAGTTGGAAGTTTGCCATAAATCCATCAAGGATGGAATTGAATGTGGAGAGCTTGGGATTGTTCAATTAGGCTCCGAATGCCAGCTTTATGAATCTCTCACGAGGCACATTGTGAGTAGTAACTGTTCTCAGAGTTGGAAACGCGCGGGATTCCAAATTATGTATTCCACTTGCTTTTTTTTCTTCTTTTTTCTTTCTTCTATCTTTCATTTTTTTTTGTGTGTTTAGTTTTCTTTTTTCTTTTTCTTCACTTGTTTGCTTTCAAGGTCGTCGCGACTCTTTGAATTGAAGCTCTTGGCTCAAGCATCAAGTTCAATGAGAATTTGTATTTTACTCTACTATTTGCCATTCTAAACATCACAGCTTTTTTTCTTCTACCCAGTGGTGGTTTGGTGAGTGGGATACAAATGGCTGCAATAATGTTATGTGGAAAGCATCACCGGTTATCGGCGTTAAATACCCGCCACCCGTATGACAAGCGGGTAGCAATTGCAGTTATGCAGGTATGAAGGGTCCTGACTCTGATTGTTAGATGTTTCTTGATTTGGTAAATATTCCTGAATCCAAATCTGGAAAATATGATGGCTTCCTCGTATATGGAAGGAATAGGGATTTACTACTTAAGGATTCAGAGTTGGAAACGCGCGGGATTCCAAATTATGTATTCCACTTGCTTTCTACATGTCAGGGATCTGCTTATGAATGACAGCTTAGATTCAGCTATAAAAGACCTAATAAAATACTCAACCAGTCCCAAACCAGCCCTATCCTCCTATGATGTCTGAGAATACGTTGCCATATCCTCCTGTGATGTCTGAGAATACGTTGCCATACCCTTCTGCTACTACCTTAAAAGCGATGAATAACAAAAAAACTCAACAGTTAATCTGTGATGTTTTATTGTGTACTTTTTTGGCTTCTTCTTTTCTTCTTTTTTTCTTTCTAATGTATTTCGCATCAGTATGATTTCAGGAAATCTTCAACCATGCAATGTTCCTCAGTTACTATTATTTTAATAATACCAAATACCTCGTTGTATGTCGTTACTATACAATCATGATTATGACGGTTCCTCGCAAGACCTACTTTCCTAGAAACGCTGACAAGTCTCGCCCCATTTTAAACAGTACTCATTATAAATTGATAAAAGCCCTTTTAGAGCAGCATTTTTGTAAACACCAACAGCAAAGAAATCAATAATAATCTTAAATCGTTGGTGATAATGGTGCTAACTATTAACAGTATTGGTTTGAAGCACTGCGCGGGTGGGACAGCGCTGCAAAACAAAAAAAAATTAGGAAAACTGTCAATTAGCCATTTTAATACTCAATAATCTTAATGTTATTTATCACTCTGTCCAATTGAGATTGGCTTATATATTATCTTATCTTGATAATTCACTTTCTGTTTCTTGTTTTTTCTTTTGAAGGAGAGCATTGGGTATAATATTTCTCCAAATCCGTGGATCCAAAAAGAACAATCAGAATCAATCTACCTGTTCTTTGGCCAGATTCAAGACATCAAAATTCTGGAAAAGAGAATCATCCAACTACTCTGCAAAGGAAAATCACCTAGTATTTATAATACCATCTAAACGCATTGACTGCTAATATCAATAATCATAATATTCTCTTATTTCGAAAATGGGTCAAATATTCAGTGGGATGTTTAGTAAGCTATGGGGTATCAACAAGGAAATCCGGATACTAATCTTGGGGCTAGATGGTGCTGGTAAAACTACCATCTTGTATCGTTTGCAATTGGGTGAAGTCATCAAAACAAAACCAACCATTGGTTTCAATGTCGAAACCCTCAGTTACAAAAACTTGAAGTTGAACGTCTGGGATCTCGGTGGCCAAACTTCCATCAGACCTTATTGGAGATGTTACTATTCAAATACCGCTGCGGTTATATTCGTGGTGGATTCAACAGATAAGGATCGTGTGGAAACCGCTTCTAAAGAGTTGCACTTGATGTTGAGAGAAGAAGAATTACAAGAATCAGCATTGTTGGTGTTCGCCAACAAACAAGATCAGCCGGGTGCCATGACCGCTGCCGAAGTTTCAAAAAGCTTGAATCTTACCGAATTGAAAGATAGAAGCTGGAGTATTGTGGCAAGTAGTGCCATCAAAGGTGAAGGGTTGACCGAAGGTTTGGACTGGTTAATTGACGTTATTAAGGATGAACAACTTTCATAATAGTTTTCTGAATTCTATAAGAATTTTTATCACGAAAAAAAAAAAAAAAAAAAAGAAGAAACAAAAAATGTAAAATTGATGATTTTGATTTTTTATTGTTTATGTTATCAAATACTGACTTAGCATCCACTTCTTAGTGTTAATACTGATTGTTTTGTTAATATTTTTCTTATATATATTTATATTTTTTTAAAAGCTATTTTATCATGTTGTTAGTTAACAATCATCCTTCTATTTCATTTCATTTCTTTCATATTACTGACTGGTATATGTAATAAACTACTTTATTTAGAAGCCTTGTAACCCCATGTTTGCCCGAAACGTGGGATTAAATGATTAGCTTTTCATTGCCGAAACACAAGAAAAAAAATTCAGATAATTTTCATCCCCGCAACCACTCCATTTTCATCCTTCATTAGTTGAGCTCTATTCTGGTTTACCAAAACCTGTAAAGATTGGTGCAATAGAAACGGGTGCAATCCATAAAACTCTTGCCCTCGGACCATTTCTCCCAATGTCAATTCGTATAATGTCATTATCGACCCAGAATTTCCTGTCAGCTCGATGAATTCTAATATCATTGCAGCCCAATCATCAGGAGTCTTCCAATATACAATAATCGAATCTCTGCTGTCGGATTTTCTCTGGTAATTGTTTAGAATATCTTGATTATGCCACCCGCTCATATTATTGGTAACCATGTACTTGAAAATCTCTTCAATGAATTCAATTTTCAAATGTCTATTGATCTTTGTATTATTGAATAACTCCAACCTCTCAGAAACATTTCCATCATCCGGTGAATGATGACCCTCACCATCATCGTCATCACCATTATTAGTATTATTATCCTCATTATTATTATTACTGATATTATCACCAGCACTGGGCCGATCATCAGAAACTACTTCATTTGATCCTATAATGCCTTTGGATACAATTGAACCATTCTTATTGATCGCCCAGATCTTGTGATATTTGCAATACTCAACAATTAATTGACCCCAGTTTCGAATCTGTGATTCGAATGCCCGCTGATTCGGCTGTTTGGTAAAGAATGGAGGGAAATAATAAATTGATGGGAAAACGAATCCCTTGCTATTACCTTCACTAACACTTTTACCTGACTCCATTTAAAATAACCCGTATGATATTCTTGAATTAAGCAAATAATTTCTATCAAATCGGGGATGGATGATGTGCCTATTTCATTTTTCCCTTTGATGACTAAGACGTTTGCCCTTATATTATATAAGCACACAGCACAGTGCACCGAACCGAAATTTTCTGGTGGTCAAAAATTCAAGTGGCAATTGAGCATTTAACAGACAAGATTTCTATTTGACCAAGAAACATCGAAAATATATATAATATAACACAATAATGAGCAACACTATTGCCTCTGAATATGGCCATACAGATACTTCTGTGCCAATTGAACACAGGTTCAATCCTTATTCCGGTATGTTGCAATTGTTTATTCTTTATGCAAAGACCATTTACTAACTGGCAATAATAGATAATGGTGGTACTATTTTAGGTATAGCTGGTGAAGACTTTGCGGTATTGGCCGGTGACACAAGACATACCAGTGGATACTCCATTAATTCAAGATTCCAGCCAAAAATTATGGATTTGGGTGATGATTTGGTGATGTCTGCCAATGGGTTTTCCGCCGATGGTGATGCTTTAATTAGATCTTTCCAACAACAATTGACCTGGTATCATTTTAATAATCAAAATAAGAAACTTCGCCCATCGAGTGCTGCCAGATTAATCCAGCACTTATTGTATGGCCACAGATTCTTCCCATATTATGTCCACACCATCATTGCCGGATTAGACGAAGAAGGAAAGGGAGCAATTTATTCCTTTGATCCTGTTGGATCATACGAAAGAGAACAGTGTAGAGCCGGTGGGGCTGCTGCCAGTTTGATCATGCCGTTCTTGGATAACCAAGTGAATTTCAAGAATCAGTACGATCCGGCTACTGGACAGGCCAGATTGAAAACTTATTTGAAATTAGATGAGGTTTTGAATTTGGTTAGAGATGCTTTTACTAGTGCCACTGAAAGACATATTGAAGTTGGTGATTGTCTTCAAATTAAAATTATTACTAAGGAAGGGGTTAGAGAGGAATTTTATCCATTGAAGAGAGATTGATATTATGTTTATCTTGAAACCTTCATTCTATTTTTGTCAACCGCAGTGCCTCCATAAGGTCTTTTTTTTTCCTCTTCTCTATTTATCATTCAGTTCATTTTGTCATGTTGTAGTAATATAAATCTGGTCATGAGTTTACAAAAAAAAAAAAAGAGTTTGTAAAAGTATAAAATAATTGACATCCAAATAAGAGAAATTAACACCTATATAGAGATCCTGAACACTCACTAAATTTTGAACAAAAAAAAGAGAACAAAAAACCGTTCATACACATCATTTATCTATTTTTCATAATCATTATCTGTCATCAGTTTTCAAAGTACCTATTATCTTTTAATAATAATAAGAGCACTGTTGTACATTCTTGTAATATCCCAGTTTTATCTTTTTATTTTTATTTGTTTTTTTTTGTCATTTCCTTTTTTTTTTCTTCCTTTTTTATCTTGCTTAAACTGGCAATTCTACCTTCAAGGCCTTGATAACCTTTTGATAATAAATGTAAAAGAAATCAGAATACACTAAAGTCTGGACAATACCGGCGGCCAACGCAATTTTGTCAATTTTTCCTTCAAAATGGTATCTCACGATCCAATTTGGAATACACAATGCTCTATAAAACCCAAGGGTAAAGATATAATGGGCGGTTAATGATTCTGCTTCACCGGTTTTCTGCAACATGAACAATTGAGGGAAGATTGCCACACTTTCCAACCACAAACTGAAACTCCAAAGAACTTCTGTTGGGTGATAAGAGTATGTGAAGAGCAATGACATAACGGCCGCTCCACCAACAAGATATTCCACTTTGAAATCATCATTTCTAGGTTGCTGATTGTTCAAAACATTGAACTTGTACACCATGATGTAAACGATGAATAATGACGACCCCATGAAGAAGATCTTCATTAAGGTATTGTATAGCGACACATAGCTGTAAAAAACATCCAAGTATCTGGTGGCGAATACCACGGCATACAACACCTGTGTCTTAAACGAGATACCGGCGATGGATCTGGAAGTTTGGATTCGATGGAGTAAAATGAATATACTCAAAAGATGGGACAAATCACTAAGGAACCGGAAGATATTCATGACGAATCAAATATTTTATATACTATATATATCTCAATATATCACTGTGTTGTTTCCCTAGGTGGGGGGCTGGGTGTCCTTTCCTGCGTTGTCTTTGAAGCCTTTAAATTGACATGAAACAATTAAATCCAAACAACGCAGCAATTTGCCCTGTGATAATCACGCGGGCTCCAAATACACGGGTACACATAAACACGAAAATTATCATCATAACAATAACAACAAAAATGACTTTTTATTGACTCCAAGAAAAATGAAAAGGGAAATGCTAACAATAACAATAAAAAGCAATAAAAAGAGCTGAAGAGGTCACTGACTCAATCATGGTATCGTCAACGGATGACCTGCTTGTCAATAATCACAGGCGACATGCAAAAGCATTTCACGACCTCGTGTCTACTCTAGACGAACTAATGTTATGGAATCATCTCAATGAACTTTCAGAATTGACCGAATCATCAATCGAAAATCTTTATGAAACCGAGGTGATCCCCAGCATTGATAACGATGCTTTACTGATCCATAATTTGAGCATTTCGGAGATCATTACAGAGGACAAGAATTATGATAAGCTGGAGATGTTGTTTAAGACGAAAAATACAATCAAAGTGCTTGAGAATATGATCATTACCCGAAATAGATTAAATGAGATATCAATAAGCCATGCTTCAATGATTGCTGAGAGTTACGATCAAAGATCGGAGAACATTGAAGATTTTCAAGGAAGTGACAAAAGTGGGATGATTTTGAAAAATTTGATTGACCAACGGGAAATGCAGTCTAGCCATTTAGCTCGAAGTAAAAAAAAAGATGAGAAGGAACATGATGAGAAGAATACTAATGGAAGTAGAAAAACTACTGGCTTCCCAAATTCAATTAAAAGTCGCAGCTCATTAGCCTTTGAGAATTCTTGTACATCGGTCGATCAACTACTTTATTTACAAGACGAGAACCGCAAACTTTATCAAAATGTGATTGAAAAGCTGCAAAGTTTGAAGAAGTTGAATAAACAACATTATGAGCAGAAGGAGAAGGAATATCGGGAGTCTGTCAAGGAGATGCTGGCTAATATAGATGCCCAAGAGTCTTTAAAATTGGAAATTAAGCAAGAACAAGAGGAACTTGCCAGGTCTAAAGTCCGGTCAGCTGTGTTATCCGAATTCATAACCGCATTGATAGCCAGCTCGGGAGTAAATTGGAGTGATGATGATTTTGTGAAAGACTTGGTCTTGTATTGTGGTCAAGAATATGTTGACGAAGAAGATGAGGATTATGATGAGGATGAGAGCGATGGAAGTGAAGATTACAGTTTCAAAAGTGAAGATGAAGTTGAAGTTGATGATGATAAAAGTGAAAATGAAAGCTATGGTGACTGAAGTTCAAGACAAATTAAGGATTGCATGCATGACATCGCTATTGAGACATTCTAGCTTAATTATCACCTGTAAATTATGATTTGTAATATATTCTTTTTTTTTTCTGTAGCGTTATCTTCTAATTTCAACGAAAAAGAAATAATAACAAAAGGTGAAGCTTAGTCCTAATAAGAGTTTACAGGCCTTAATTCAAAACTTCAAAAGGCAATATGAGGTAATAAAACAAAAATGGGATAGGAAACCGCCAGTGTGTATTTATTTACTCCGTATGCCTTTCAGTTATCGGGCAAACTTTTGGTTTATTATGTACAAATGCATTTTCTATTTTCTTTGAAAAGAAAAAAAAAAAAAAGATGATAAAATAGACTCTTTGCTAATTTTTTTTTTTTAATATTCTATTCTCAATTCAGTTTAATTCAAAACGAAAACTCTCTTATTGACAACATCCCAATTAATGGCTTTCCAAACATTTTCCAAATATTCCTTCTTCTTATCAGCCCCATAATCGTACACGTAGGTGTAATCCCATACACTGACACCCAATAATGGCAATGACCAGTCTTTAACTTTTGAATTCAAATTAGATTGGTATTTCTGCAACTTTTCATATTCAGCCAAGTTGATTGGTGAACTCAAATTCACATCTTGGTTACGGTTGTAGAAATATGGTGAGCCTTCATTATTAAAAACTCTGATTTCCAACCCTTTGTCAGCATTTTCAATCAAATAAACCCAGCCGTTACCATTCAATGATTCGGCTTTGGCTAAAAATTCTTTCTTAAATTGTTCAAAGCTCTGGAATGTTGATTCAATCTTTCTTACTAGCTCACGGTTTGGGACACTGGTATTGGTGTTTGGATCATTCACAAGGGCACTAAAGAAGAAGTGGTTGTTGTGCAATTGTGAAGCATAGTGGAAAATCGAGGCTTGGTGAGCAAGACCTTGGGTGGTCAACATGATTTGAAATGGGGTTTGGTGTTCAAGATCAGTCCCCACTGTAAGAAGACTAAGTTGAGTGGCACAATAACTTTGGTAATCATTCCATGCCAATTTGTAACCTTGAGAAGTCAATAATTGTGGGATCCCCTTGTTGGTCCACAATGAATCATTTGCCAAAGTTGGCACCGTGTGAATAGAACGACAGCTTCTTTTGCTGACGCTAGTAATATGTGACTTTAGTATGCTTTGGGACAATGATTTCCAGGACATCATTTTTTTTCAGTATTTTAGTTGATTATTGATGGGCTAGTTTTCTTTTGAGACTTATAGTATTTTCTCTTCTATAATATATACTCCACTGTCTCCCTCTCTTTGCTTTTTGTCAATGTCTATCACCCATTTAATTTTCAGAAATTTTCCAATTTTCACCAAAAACATAAAAAAAAAAAAACTGCCGGGTAAAGAGTGTACGTAGAGGTGTGTGGGTTCAGTTGGTGTGTGGATGTCTGTATATCTCCAACATAACATTATCATAATAATCTTTGATTTCAATTTATATCAGCCTCTAAAGATCTAAAATCGTTTAAAAAAATATATCATGATTATATTCATCGTAGGTGCTTTGGTTCCAATAAGCATATTTACACTGCAACCCGAGAAAATCTCCCCAAAATGTGTTTTTAATTTCAGATGTTTGCTTTTTGAGTTACTTTTTTTGCTTGTCTGCTTGTTACTTCCTATCGTTGTTGATGTCTAATTGGCACCTGGGAGCACTATCAAAAACTTTTTTTTAATGCTATAGTCAAAAAAAAAAAAAAAAAAAAAATAGTATCCATAGGTCTTATCTTCCCAATCAAATTTTTAGGAAACTGCAGCAGCAATCTCTGTGATCTATTTTTCAAATTTCCTCATTTAAAAACATTTTCTCAATAACTTTAAATTCCATTAGTCTCCGCCACCAAAACTAATCAATCCTCCGTTACTATTTTTAGAGTGTCTACTGAAATAATCAAAATCAACACTGATGGTATTAGCAATTACCACGGCCCTTTCGCTCAATGTCATTTCACCTGGTTTAATCATCTCACCGCCCATGATATTTTCATCATTTGCCATTGCTTGTCTATTCAATCTTACAATGTAGGTAGCTACATCAGTGAAGAATTCTAATCCAATACCTCCCCAGGTTCTGTTGATCGCTGACACCACTTCGGTTTGCTCATCCCTGACAGTGAAATCATATGATAAAAACGGAGCATTGATCCGTCCAAACTGTGTGAATTCATCATTTTGAGGGGAATAACTGAAAAGATTGTAATTTCTTTGCCATAAATGCCATTGTTGGATTGATTCTCCCAATATAATCCAGTCTTCATCATTGGTACTCTTGGTTGTTCCTTCAATGAATGGTACTTTAGGGACTCTCACCCTTACCCGAGAATTGATCCAGCTGAAACCTCTTTTAAAATTCATCACCACATTGCCATTTAAGTCTATCAAATCAACGTCAAACGGTCTATGTAGCCCCGCCACTTGACGCATAATCATTTTGCGAATACCAAAGTCACGTTCCTTGAGATACCCAATCTCTTGACCTTGCGGATTGAGAAGTTTATATTGGTTGGCTTGTTCGAATCCTAAGAAAAGATTGGCGAATTCGATGGTTCTCTGAAGTGCAACAAACGGTTCATGCATCATTCGATAACAGGAATCAGTAATATATGATTCAGCAGCCGTTTCTTGTGAGTTGCGGTAACTTGGAGGATATATATTGTGTTTCAAAACATTATTTTCAATTTGATATCCTCCCTGAGGGGTGATTTGTCGTTCCTCTCGATAGTTTGATCTTTTTCTTTGACGTGGATAATGACGCAGGGAGTCGTATTTTGGCAAAGGGTGATGTATCCCATGGGAGGAGCTAAACTCCCGAGTCATTCTAGGTCTTCCATTATCATAATATTCACCAATACCTCCGAATAATAAAACCTGTCTGATTGACGAATACCTGCTGACTAATATTGTAGATCCTCTTGATGAGGATAATATTGATCTGACATTGTTACCGGAAGATAATGTAGACTTGAACATAATTGAATGAGATTGAACCTATATCCAATAATATATGTCTCTTTTTCTTATTTTCTATCCTCGCGCGCCACACAAATAACTAAAGTTATCTATTTATATAATCTCTTGATGTTTTGTTGATATTTGCCATCCAGTGATTAGCGGTTTGCTTAAAAAAATATACCCAGAAATCTTTACACCAACGACACCCGAGCATTACATCGCGTTGGGGACATAGCATGCTTCAACTACACTAATAATGATGAAAGAAAGAGCACATATATCCAATTAAACTGAATGGAAAAGAGAAAGAAAAAAAAAAAAAAAAAGAGAGAGAGAGAGAGAGAGAAAAGAAAAGAGAGCAAGAGAAGTAACCTATGGAATAGAAAGTATTTTAAATAAAAGTTGGGATGTATCGGACCCTGATAAAAGAGTAGCATAATAAAATTATGATTAAAGAATAGAAAAAGAAAAAAGAAGAGCAAAACAGTGCAATTGCATCTAACTGAAAAAAAAAAAATGTATTGGTGTCAGCTGTATGGCCTGTTCGGTACAATGACGACTTTCGTACCCATTAAAAATGAAGGGTGTATCAACTGAAGTAGATAATAGAGAATATTATTCAAACTCTAAAGCTCAAGACCAACATGGTGTGGGACTTGATAGCTATCAACCAATCCTTGGAACTTCTTGTCGTTCAAACTAATACCTTCCATCAACTCACTTAATTCAGCATCATCCAATGGTTTAGATTCGTGGTATAAATCCACTGGTATTGCTCCGATGAAAGCTCTATCACCGAAACCACCAATGAAGTATATACTTTCGATCTCTACCTTGGCCCAAAACCCACCATGTGCACTGATCTTGCTGCCTGGCAACCAAAATTTAGCATCAGGATGTCTTTTGGTGAATTTGATTTCAAGTTTGGCCAATTCGATGGGATCATCGATCTTCATTGGTACAATTTTCCCCTTAAGGGAAATTCTTGGGGACCCAGAAGTGGAGGAGGCAATACCTCCTGGATAATTGAAGTTGACATGATCCCTTGGTTGATGGTCTCCGGTTCTGATACTGAATGATATTTTGCCGTCTTCTGAGTTTTTTATGTTTCTCCAAGTGGAAGAGATGTTCAAGAGAATTAACACTGGATCACCTGTGTTGTAACCATCGATGTAATATTCGGAGAAGGCGACTGGGAAGCCGTCTTTCGAATCAAGGGTGACAAGGTTACCAATAGATTCACGAAGCACCAAAGTACGAGCGACTCTGGCGCCTTGGGTCACCGGGAGAATTGAGTTTGGTGCTTCATGGTAATCCTTCTTTGACGTGATGGTGACAGGCTGGGTCTCGACAACTGGGGCAGACATTGTGGAAAACAATAGGCAAGCAGAAAGTAATAGATATAATAGAGTATTAGCAAACATTTGTGATGAGGATGGTGGTGGGCAATAAGGAGATTATAACAGCATTTAAGGGCGATGAGCAAAAACGAAGACCATAAAAAATTCCTTAAATGTGTGGGGGGTGTTGATTAACCATGCGTGCCGATAGTGCAAGTCCACTGATGGTATTGCACAACATGGGACAGGTGATGGACTACAAAATGGAAATTCGTGACTAATATATTGGGTGAATTATGTTGGGTACTGTGTATTTAGTATCATTCAAGTAATATCGTATCTATAATATCATATAGATAACATAGATCAATTAGTATGTGATATGGGATTCTGGGATTCACATGCAGTTACAAATCGGGTAAACTACCGGGTATGTAAGCACAGCTTAAACTTTCAATTATCCAAAAACAGATAAGGGTGCAACTTAGCCGCCATTAATAAACATACAACTAAAGATAATATAATAATACTATACAAATAAAAGATAATTCTATACAGAAAAAAAATAGCAAACTATACAACAAAAAATGAAAAAAGTAATGATGATAAGCATTGAAGTACTCGAAGATAAGAAAATTGATGTATCAAAACATCCTGTCCGCTTCGGCCATTTTAAGAAGCACATATTCAAGCTTTATTCATTAAATTCAATGTATTAAAATGGGTTCATAAAAGATAGGGAATGATTCTGTGTCAAATCATCCTGCGGAAATAAAGGAAAAATTAGCAATACATCAATCTCTTGGAGGACTTCTATCTCTGTCATCCCTCATTTCTCTATCTCTCATCCCTCTGTTGTCACCATAGCTACCTTCGCCACCTCTGTAACCACCTCTTCCTCTACCACCGTCTCTTTCGCGGTATCCACCTTCTCTATCACGGTATCCATAACCGCCACCTCTTCTTGGTGGTGGTGGAGGATAATCGTGATAGTCTCTTCTTGGTGGTGGATAATCATACCCTCCTCTACCTCCGTAGCCTCTGTCATATCCTCTGTCGTAGCCTCTGTCACGATCGTAACGACCTGGTGGTCCACGACGGTATCCTGCGTACCCATACCCTCTTTGCTGGGATCTAGGTGGATGAGGAGTTGATCTTGCAATTTGAACAATCAATGCGCCTTCTGTAGGACCTTGTGGATGGCTTGGTTCACCTTCGTCTTCTCCTTCACCTTCACCTTCACCTTCTGCTTTGTTGGCAACATAAGTATCGACAACTCTACGACTCAAAGGACCCAAGCTATAACGGTCCTCTTCTGATAAAATCACCGGATTCTTGGACATTTCATCCATTGCTGCTTCGCAATCACGAATGGATTTGTATTCGACAAACGCAAATGGTGGTCCATCAGGGGTCTTTGGCGGAGGAATGACAATTTTTTCGAGCTCCCCAAATCTAATTCTGGTTAATATCGGAATTATATATAATTGTATCTAATATGGGATTAGAGAGGTGAAATGACTGTTGAAGAATTGATGAAAGCAGGATGATAAGTGGAAAAGTTGATAAAATTGCAATGGAAAGTTGATGAATTGATAATATGAGAATCGAAGCTTGACGCTGATGGTGAAAGATGATGAAAAAAATGAAGGCAGAAAATAAAAAAAAAAGTTGATGATTTGAATTTTCATGCTTTGCGAAGTGTTGAAATGATATCATGGTGTGACGATACGTACGATAACATCTGAGCCGCTTTTTTTTTGCATTATGAAACTGTGGTTCTCAATTACCTTGGCTTTGGTGAAAATGGATATCTCTTATATTTCTTTTGAGATTCACAACTGTTTTTTTGTGTAACCTGTGGTTCAGAGTTGTAGCTATTCTGTTCTCTTTTCGTCTTGTATCTTGTATCTTGGCATGAGTTTTTTTTGATTATTTCCTTAGCTTAGTTTCCTGTTTTTTGATTCAGTTCTAGTTTCCCATAAGCATACATCTCAATTATTCACCAGATATAGTGATCATATTGGCAAATAAACCTGTAGCATATGCAAAGATTCAGAAAATTGACTCACTTGATTGTAATTTTTCATCATAGACTATATCGACCCGAAATAGATAGTAGTCATCACCAAATAGTGCATACTTTGCTATTTATCAAATCCAACATCCAAAACTCTATAATTTAAAACAGCCCTAAATTGTTCTGAAAAACCATATTATTCAATTAAATTCAGGTCAAGCTCTAGTTCACACAAATAAGCCACCACAACCAAAAATATAGCCCAAAAATCAATCAATTTAATTTCAGTTCACAGCAATTCATCAAAAATGAAAAAAAAAGAATGAAAAAAAAAAGTTATATTTACGAAATCACTTTTGTATACATTCCCCTCGTTTTGAGTAGAATTCAGTATCTATCCAAATTCATTAGATGCAGATATCCCTATATTCATTTCTAAGAGTTCTCCTCAACCTCCCGGCTTCTCAACAAATCTTCACAGTCACATATTCCCCTTCTCCCCAAATAATCAAATAGCTGACATGTCATCATTTCATAACATGTCTGCCTTTGACAATTCTACCCATCTTGAAAAATAGTAAGACAACACTTACGGCTCAAAGTATGGCGCCAAATCCGCAGCTTTGATGTGTTTCGCAAAACCTATTCTATGGTTAGTAACCAATTATCAATTTGAAGTGGCAATTAGTCTGGTGAAGGTTCTTTTGAAAGGAATTCAAATTAGATATGGAAGTACAAAGGGAATGGGGTAATACCATGTCAAGCATCCATCATGAATTTTGGTTATACTAAGTCACTCAACCACTACTATTAGTCCATTTTTTTAATAAAACTTTTAGAAGAGTAGAAAGAAGTAGCATATACTTCTGCCAAAAATAATTGAACCAAATATCGCGATTTAACCGAAAGACTCTTCCAAAACAACTCAATTTAAAATAATTCAATTGAAACAATCACTAGAGATGCTCTAGAATTAATCTATGGAAATATTATTATCACATACCAGTTGCGTAGATAGTGTTGCTCATTTTCTGAAGTGGCTTATATGGTGCAAACAAACACTTAATTACCTATTATACATGAAGAACCAAATTGTTGATGGCGTTGACGATCAAAAAAAAATTCGCGAAAAAATAGAGAAAAAAAAAAACTAACACGTGCTTTATCGCGTGAAATAAAATTAAAAAATTTCTTTGGTGATAACTGGAACATACAATCACTTCAGATGTTCGCACCACTAGTACATGCCATATTATCAGTGAATATGTTGTGCTTACGAAATGGTTTGGTCACCAAGAGACTTCCCAGATCTATAATTCATGGGCTAGCTAGGTACTATTCGGCCCGTATGCCTCCTTCATACTCTACAAGAAAAAAGTTCAAATCAGCCGACCAAGAAAAGGAGGAAATGCTTCAAGAGAAAATGAAATCGGATAAATGGTGGGTTCGGTGGTCTGCTTTTGCTCAGACAAAGAAATTCAATTCTGGCTTGACTAAGTTCCTTATTGCGACTTACATTGGGTTTTTGATCTATGGTGGTTACCATTTCAAGGATATGTATTCAAGAGAAAAAGAAACCAATACCCTTAGTAAGAAAAAATATGGAAATGGCGAAACTAGACCACAAAAACTCAATGAATATGAGGAATTAAGATTAAAAGAATTGACAGGGAAATTGAGAAACAGAGACCAGCTCATGCTTGGAAAATATAAGGATATGATTAAAGAAAAAGAAGATACATTTTATTCTGATCCTAAAAACGTCGGCGAAGAGTTCAAGGTCGATTACCATGATTTTGATGGTATGAAGTTGGGCGGACACAAAGAAAACGATGAAAATGCCTGTATATTGCCAGCAAGAGATACTTCTGAATTTTATGATTCTAAAGCTGCAGACTACGATTCCGACATCAATTTTGAAGAAAAAATGATCTTTTTGGGAAGAAGAAGAAAATGGTTGATGAGCAAAGCATTCGGTGATGTTCTTGAGGTTGCCTGTGGTACTGGTAGAAATATTAAATATTTGGATGCCAATAGCATTGATTCTATAACGTACTTGGATCCATCGAGGAAGATGATCGAAGTGGCCAATGAAAAATTCAGAGAAAAGTATCCGAAATATCAAAAGGCAGCATTCGTGGTTGGTAAAGCGGAGGATTTGATTAAGTTAGCAGGTGGTGAAGAACCTCTGGTCTCCAAATATCAGGATAATTCTGACAAAGATTCCGAAATCGAGAGCGTTGATGTTAACACCAAAGTGAAATATGATACCATCATTGAAAGTTTCGGGATATGTTCTCACGAAAATCCTGTAAAGGCATTAAATAACTTCTCCAAACTTTTGAAGCCTGGTGGAAGAATCATCTTGTTAGAGCATGGTAGAGGTACTTGGGACGTTGTCAACAATCATTTGGATAAGAGAGCAGAAAAGCGTTTAGAAACCTGGGGATGTCGTTGGAATTTAGATATTGGTGAACTATTGGATGATTCTGGATTAGAAATTGTCGAAGAATCAAGACATCAATTCGGAACTTTGTGGTGCATTGTTGCAAAGAAACCAGGTGACACCAAGAGATATGATGAATTGTCACTCTTTGAGAAATATTTCACCACATTATAATTGTAAATATGATTATTTTTGTACATATTTTTTTTCTTTTTGAAATATCATGGGACTTACAACTTGTTATAAATTGATACCAATTATGATATACCGCATTTTGTATATTGACACGTAAATTTATGGATTTTTCACCGATTCTCATCCAATCTTTCAAATATCTTCCAAAATCTTTTCTGCTCTGTCCCTAGTGACTTTATTCAATCCTTGATATTCCATCAAGAAAGTACCACGGCCTTTTGTCAAACTTCTCAACTTGGTCAAATACCCAATCATTTCTCTAAGCGGTGCAGTGGCATGAACCACTTTACCACCAATGTCCTTATTGGACATATTTGTAGTATCCAAAGTAGAATCATATGGCAAATATTGTTTTTCGGCTTCTCTGATAAAGTTATTGACTCCGTCTTCTTCAGAACCGCCGATGGAATCACTCTCATCTTCAATAGAATAAATCTCAGCTTTTCTAGAACTGGTCAAATCATGGGTCACTTTACCCAAATCTTCATTGTCCGCAAAGACTTTGATGCTCATGATTGGTTCAAGGATTGTGAAATCCTTATTTGCGTCAAACCCATTGAGAGTCTCGTTTATACAATCTCTGGTTAAAAATAACAAACTTTTAAGGTCGTTAGATGCTTTTGGCATACTCCATTTGTTAATTTTTACTAAAATAGAATGGAGAGGCAAATTGGCAATTGGGCCACCATTTTGTAAAGTACTAACACATGAGGAAACAATGGCATTGGTCACTTGTTCGTAGCTCACCCCCAATGGCCAGAAATCGTCACCAGTATCTTTAGACTTTCTATCAGTTCCATGTTTCTCAATATAACTCTGCACTGATTTTGGTGCCGCAGATGGTGGAATATACGCCAAATTATTATCATTAGGTAAAAGTATCAAATCTTTCCCATTGGATTCTCCAATTTCTTCAAATAATGGATGATCTTCGGCGGCCCCATCAAACGACTGGATTTGAAACTCAATTTCAAACTTATCTTCTGGGTCATTAGAATTACCTTTAATGGTTTTAGAGACAACAGGGCTATTTTTCAACAATGTCTCCTTGTAAGTCACCATAACTTTACTAATGTCACAGTTGGTTCTCATGTCGTTAATAAGTCTATCCTTGATGATTTCCAAATGCAATTCACCCATACCACTGATTAGAGTTTGACCTTCCTCGTTTTCAAATACTCTTAGAGATGGATCTTCACGTAATAAGATTTTCAAATTTTCATCCAAAACCTTTTTATCACTAATAGTACGAGGCTCCAAACTGGTAATAAAAATGGATGGTGGAACGTGAATAGGATTAAGTGCAATTCCATTCTCCACTGGAGAGAAAGATTTTAGTCCATCTTTTTTCGCGAAATGTGTGATGAAAGTATCTCCGGTTTTGATTTCATTAAGATCATTCAATTGTGTCGAGCCTCCTGAGCTATATCCCAACGATTCATCTTCCTTAGTATTACTGTTTTCAGACATATCGCTAGTCGATGATAATAACGAAGCAGAGACAACGCCAATATTCCCGCTGGTTAACTTGTCGATTTTATGAGTGTTATTCCCATTAATCAAGAATAAATTTGTGATTCTGAATTTTTTACCTGTACGAGTATTCAAAATTGTCGAGCCATTTTGCAATTTTCCGGAATAGACTCTCACAAAAATCATCGGAATCTTTCTATTATCAGTTATCACCTTAAAAGCCAAACCAACCGTAAGACGTGGATTATTATTAACAATTAAACCCGAGACGGTATCAAATTTTGCAGGAATATCATCAATCTTCGCTTCACCTTTCTGGAATTTCTTTCTCTTGACAGTTTTTGAATTCGAAGTGACTTCTGGTAATACAGCTTCATTGGGTGTTGGCAAATAATCAATAACCGCATCCAATAATGGTTGAACCCCGATATTTTTAAAACTTGCCCCACAAAGAACTGGTGAAACATCATTATTAATAGTTGCAGCCCTCAAAGCCTTCTTAATGTCCTTGGTACTAACTTTCATGTAATCCTCATCGTTTTCGAGAAATGCATCAACTAACATATCATCAAATTCACATAGTGTCTCAATTGCTGATTCTCTAGCAGAGCATAACTCTTCATATGACTTAGAATACTTAATTTGAGCATCTTCTTCTTCAAGATTTATGACTTTGATTTTAGAACCGTCCTCCTCTTTTGCTGGGTCCCAGATGAGCAATTTTTTATTCAATACATCAACAACACCACTGAAGATTTGTTCTCTGGTCACCTCATTTTCAACAAAATAGGGAATATTCGTTAATACAATTTTAGTTCTAAGCTTGGAAATAATTTCTTTACAAGTTCTGCTAAATCCGCTGCCCATTCTATCCATTTTGTTCACGTAAATTATGGTTGGTAATTCCAATGCCTTGGCTTGCTTCCAAACTTTTTCAGTTTGTGCTTCAACACCAGCAACCGAATCAAGGATTGTCACTGCACCATCAAGGACTCTGAGAGATCTAATGACTTCAAAAGTAAAATCAGCATGCCCAGGGGTGTCAATGATATTGATTTTATGTTGATTCCAAGGAATGGTGACCGCTGCAGATTGGATGGTGATACCTCTGTCTCTCTCTGCTGGTAGATAGTCCGTGATGGTATCCCCATGATCGACATCACCGATCTGCTTGATTGATCCAGAATAAAATAACATTCTTTCAGTAGTAGTTGTCTTCCCGGCATCAATATGGGCTATGATACCCACATTTCTGATTTTGCTGATGGAAACCTGATTTATTGTTGATTCATTAGAAGATTTTGGGGCTGTTGCGTAGCTTCGACAAAAAGTGTACGAAGCTTTGGATATACCCGTCCATTTTGGTCGCAAATGAGTCAAGAAACTCATGATTATAGACTTTGAATTGCCAACCTAAGAATATTTCCCATATATAGTGTCGGATACATATATACATGAATAAAGAAAGATGCAAAAAAAAAAAAAAATCTATAATTTGTGCCCTGGTGGGTGTGATCCAAAATCATGGATTTTCATGGAAAAACATATCTTTCTTTAGAGACGTCTTATTGATCTTCCTTTATGAATCAAATTACCCTAATAATAAATACAAATAAGAATAACAACTCAGCGTTAGAATAGTCCCTATGTCTAATAACCTTTTAACTCAAGACCTTGATAAACTTTCTTCTACTCAGCTCCTGCAATTATACATAAAACTTCGATTGCCTCCTTCATCATCCATCATATCATTAAAAGATTTCCTGGATGTTGTGAGCAAGCCAATCATTCTACAACTTGTTGACGTGGTTAATGTCAGCAGGTCGAAGATTAACCAGTTAGATGATATGTTGGGGATAATGAATCCCAATGACCTACGGACGGACCAAATGAGGAATAAAAAGAAGAACCCTAACCAGTCAAATGCATCGCGAAACCGACTTATTCGAGATATTGATATGGAGAACGATTCTCATAGTAATAGCGTACAGCCTCTTCCATCAGGTGGTTCCAATAATGATTATTATAAGGTGACATTGATGGATTATAAAGGAAATTTGGTTTATGGCATTGAGCTTACGAAATTGGGGTTTTTATCAAATTCTAGTATCGCAGATAATCTCAAAGGGGGGTTTTTACCGGTAGCTTTGGGATCAAAGATAGTGGTGAAGCCGGGAACAAAAATTATGTTGGATGTTTTGATGTTAAAAAACGAATTAACTGTTTATGCTGGTGGATTTTCAACGAACCCTGTTGGTTTGGAAAAAGTAGTGATTGAAAACTTGAAACTTCTGTTGGATTCTTTGCAATCTGCATGATATTTCAAGAAAATTTCCGGTTACTAAAATCAAATTCTTGCTTGACTTTACATTCATGATTTTCTTTAAGTTTTTTCTGCTCTCTTCATATACTCTATAAAAAGCTAGTCAGTAATGTGAATGTTCTGATTGAATCCGGTGATTTATGTCGTTGAAATAAAGCTATTGGTTTGTATTTTAACTCTAAAGTTTTTTGTTACTTGAAATGATCGTATTAATGTACCATGCAGAAGATAGCGATTACCAGTTTAAAAACTAACAGCTACTATTGTAGAGCATCTATAAACAGCAAAAAGAGAAAAAAGAATATCAAGCTTCAAATAAAAACTTATCCTACTATATTTCTTTGACTTTTATTATACCACTTCTTGATTCTTATTGATGAAAAAATTATTAGAATTTGCAAAAAATTGGTCCCTGGCGGGATCGAACCGCCGATCTTGGCGTAACAATGCTTTGAAAGCTGTTATTAGCACCACGCCTTAACCAACTGGGCCAAGGGACCTTATGAAATGGTTTTATTAAAATTGCATTTAGTCACATATGGTATGAAAAAAAAAATCTTTGTTGAGGGGTTTTGGCACTATATCTCAAATACTAAGTATTTTCAATGTAGTGACCATCAGAATTCTGGGGGATAATAAAAATGAAAATAATAAAAATAAAAATAATAAAAATAAAAATAATAAGAATAAAAATAAAAATAATAAAAATAAAAATAATAAAAATAAAAATAATAAAAAAATCAATAGAATAATTAAATCCAAGTAAAAAAATAATTCAAATAATCAAATAGACCAAATAATTCAAATAAGTCAAAATAATCAAGTAAACCAAATAAACCAAATAAACCAAATAAATCAAATAAGAACCAGTACCATGGGTCTGTCTTAAGTGTCACCACACACTTTTTAAGTCCAGACACATATCCTGATTCCATAAATCAATGTACCAACTGAACACTTTAACTGACATTCCATTTCTTTGCCTCAATTATTAGTGAGAGATAATAATGTGAAGCCTTTGTGGAATGTTGTCAAAATCAAACTCAAAATCAAAATCATAATCAAAATCGACAAAATCAAATAGACCAGTGCTATCTATGGTTTTATCTCAGATGGCACCACACATCTTTGATTTCCATAACACAAGCCCATGATTCAAACTAAGAAAAATCAATAAAATAATAATAGTAAATTAATAAAAACCAAGTAAAAAATAAACCAAATACTATTAACTGGGAAACTAGGCACCTATTTTTTTTTTTTTTTTTTTTGTTAATCAACCTCCTTCATTGCCACCACTTCATTCAAATAAGTTATCCACATTTTGAGTTGTTCCCTACTTCTTTGTATTCTTTTTTTTTCCAAGAATATATATTCAGCGATATTCCGCTGACTCTCAATATTGTGCTTTTGACGTGAAGTTGCTAATTCCGGGCAGTGAAGATAGTGGTCTGGGGTTTTTTCCACTTGACAATGCTGGCATAGATTTGGATCCTTTTGGTATTCAGGCTTCATTCTCATCTTTAGCAATTCTCTAATTTCTTTGGTACTCATTGATTCCCAGATGGAATGCATTGCTATTTTGCTGTTCTTAAGTTCAAACTGAAAAGCTGATGTTTTTTCAAGGTAGAATTGAAGCTGCTCCGATCTTTGTCCAGATATACTATGGAGGTGATTGAATAAAGTGTCATTGAGGTGATGTACCATTCTCTGCTCCGATATTTTCTTGCTCTGGTGGTATTTGATTTCCTGTTTTCTCTTGATCAAATAGTATTTGTTACTCCAGGTTTCCTTTTTAGCCAATTTTCTCTTCTGAATTCGAATCTTATGGTTCTTGGTAATGTCTGCTAATGTGGTTTCCCTATAATCATTCTTCCCTGCCATAATAAGCTTGAGAATTGGGTTAGTGAGCGGCAATTTGTGGTTTATTCTATCGGTGTACCAAGAACCCTTTAGATCCAATCTGTTTTGGATTGGTAACATACCAAGTTCTTTATGAATTGCAGTGGTTGAGGTCCTGGAGGATACACCAAGGGTTCGTTTGATGAACTTATTTTGAACGCGTTGGATACCATCGATCAATGTTGGCGATATTTTGGGGGACCAGATTTCCGAGGCGTATTCGATCGCAGGCCGGACGGTCTGTAGATATAAAATCTTTTGGGATTCGATAGGGAATTTTTTGGCAATGTGATGGAGAATACCAGCCGCTTTGCTGAATGACTTTGTTTTGTTCATGATATGGGTTTTGAAGTTGAGGCGGTCATCAAAGGTAACACCAAGAACTTTGATAGTGGATTGAGGTTGAATGGGATGATTGTTCATTGTGATACTGATATTGCTGCTCGCAATTTGTCTGGATATTGTCCTTTTCTTATGGTGGGATTCATACACATTCAATAATTGACATTTATTGGCAGCGTCAAACTCAAGACCCAAGGTTTTTGCTCTGGAAATCAATTTGTCAAGACGTTGTTGAACAAGATGATAATTTTGCAGAATCTCCGTACCTTTTGCGATGATGGTGATATCATCCATGTATCCAGTCACAAGGCAATCAGATAGGAGGGCGTAGTTGGTGTTGCTAATATCCATATCTTGGATAAGGTCAGCCGTGAATAGGACGAATAGGAGAGGGCTTAGAGGGGATCCTTGTGGTATACCACATTGAATTTGATATGTGTTGGTAGTCATGTCCTGATACCGGAGTTGGGTTGATCTATTTTCAAGGTAGCACTTGAGCCAGCGTGTTAGATAATTAGGGATCTTCTGTTTTTCCAACATCTGCAATAATTTTGACGGTAAACACGAATCATATGCCCCCTTAATATCAATTGACAATATTGAGGTCACGGGCTGTTGACATCTGGTTATGAAAGAGCTCATATACATTAGCGAATCAATACATCCTGTGCCATAAGAGCAGAACTGGTTATCTGGTATCAAATGGTGTTGGGTAGACCATTTTTGGAGTCTGCCATGAATGATAGACTCGACAAATTTGGACAAAAGATTGATAAGGGAGATTGGTCTATATGAGGCTGGGTCGTTGAGGTCTTTTTTGTTGGGTTTTTGGATGGGAATGGTGATGGTGTTCTTCCAGGAGGAAGGGAAGAATCCAAATTCCAAAGAGCGATTAATTATTTTCCTGAGTAACTTTGAAAAAGGCTTCACTTGTCCAGCAGCCTTGAGAATATCCACTGTGATACCGTCTGGACCCAGGGCTACATGAGGCTTGATCTTTTCCAATTGGGCTTGGAATTCGGTTGAAGTGACGTGTGGGAAATCTTTCTGTCGAAACGTGCAGTTGGATGATAATGGAGTTGAGGTGGTTTGAGAGTGTGACCGGAAGAATTTGTTGAGGAGGGCTTGGGAGCCTTCGGCAGTGCTTTTTTCCGGCATAATGGATGGAGTGGTGTGATTCTTGGGGTTAGATCTTCGGAGATAGTCCCATAAAGATCTGCCTTTGAGACCCTTATATAAGGTGTCGCAAAGGTATTTGTTCTTGGCCTTACGGCAGACGCCATTATAATGTTTCATTTTCTTTTTGGCATCAGGGTCGTTAGGTTTAGGACATAAGGCTCGAATCTCTTTTGTTATCCAGACTTTTTTGCTCTTTGGTTTCTTTGAGGGATTCAAGATATGATCGGGTGTTGAAGTAATGGCGGAGTTGAGTAATAGTTGAGTCAAATTCTGAACGGCAGTATCTAGATTCTGAGTGCTGTCTAAATTAAAGTAATCTTTCAAGATTGCTTTGGATAGACTCAGTTCAAGTGTATCTTGGAATAATGTTCGGTCAATCTTGAGTCTAATCTTGTTCTGTGGCTGAAGATCAAAGGTTATATTGGGGGATGTCTGGGGAATGGAAACCTGAACCTGGAGAAAGTAATGGTCAGACGTCCCGATTACCGACTTTAGGTGAGTAGAGTGAACTAGCTGGGTTGCTAGAACTCGGTCAATGTTGGTGTTATAGATGGTAGTATGGCCTTTGATTATTGTTTCAGACATGAAGTTCTGTTGGATAAACATCTTAGTTTGTCGGTTGTCAGCTGAATGAATGAATGAATGAATTGTATATTAACGAGTCACAGAGGTTCTAAATAACATGCAAGCCGGGCATTTCATGCCGGTCTTTCTAATAGATAAGTATAATACTATAACTTTCTCACAACCTCACATTCCTTGCTTTAAGAATTAATCACATCACCGGTAAAAAACTCAACAATCAAGATTATTAAGGAAAAAAGGTGCAATGTGAAAATATGAGATGAAGTCACTGGTGAATTACCCATCACTAGGAGCTTCATGAACTGAGATGGAGGTCTTTGTTGAGGGGTTTTGGCACTATATCTCAAATACTAAGTATTTTCAATGTAGTGACCATCAGAATTCTGGGGGATAATAAAAATGAAAATAATAAAAATAAAAATAATAAAAATAAAAATAATAAAAATAAAAATAATAAAAATAAAAATAAAAATAATAAAAATAAAAATAATAAAAATAAAAATAATAAAAAAAAAAAAAATCAATAGAATAATTAAATCCAAGTAAAAAAATAATTCAAATAATCAAATAGACCAAATAATTCAAATAAGTCAAAATAATCAAGTAAACCAAATAAACCAAATAAACCAAATAAACCAAATGAACCAAATAAATCAAATAAACCAAATAAATCAAATAAGAACCAGTACCATGGGTCTGTCTTAAGTGTCACCACACACTTTTTAAGTCCAGACACATATCCTGATTCCATAAATCAATGTACCAACTGAACACTTTAACTGACATTCCATTTCTTTGCCTCAATTATTAGTGAGAGATAATAATGTGAAGCCTTTGTGGAATGTTGTCAAAATCAAAATCAAAATCAAAATCATAATCAAAATCGACAAAATCAAATAGACCAGTGCTATGGTTTTATCTCAGATGGCACCACACATCTTTGATTTCCATAACACAAGCCCATGAATCAAACTAAGAAAAATCAAT